GGATAGTACGTATGTACGTAGTATTCATGTCAACTACGTATCAATATCATTTTATTTCATGTAAATACTTATAAATGAACTAGGTCTAGGTTGATCAATTAAGTTTTTGGAAACGCAATTAAATTCTCTAGGATAAGTATTAGTAAATTGTATTTATTTTTCTATTTTAAGCTAATACACCTTGAATAGCGCTTTCCAAGTTGGTTAACTTAATTCACTCGGGAAAAAAGCTTGAACCTAGGACTCGAAAAATGCCTCTACAGCCATCTACAGTACACATCACCTCATCGTCGCCGTCGAATTTTATGCCACGCAAGTGATTTTTCAGGTGATTAAAAAGTAGAAATCACTTGGAGCTAGATCCAGAGAATGTGTTAGGTGCTGCATCAACTTAAACCCAGCAGTTCAGATGGCAACGCCAGATGCAACATCAGATGGACAGAGACATTATTATGATGAAAAAGCACTCCAGCACGCAATTTTCTTCGACGTTTTTTCTTTTAATTTTCGCGTAGTTTTTTGATTAATGATGCGTAATAATCTCCGGTTATTGTCTCTTCCTCACTTAAATAGTCGATCATTATTATACCTTCCGCATTCCAGAAGACAGGAGCTATTATTTTTTCAACGGATGATGCATACACCTTAAATCTCTTGGCTGGCGGGGAAGACGGTCTTTTCCATACCTTGCTTTTACTTTTCGTCTCCGGGTCAAAATAGTGTACCTACTCACGTTTCATCTGCGGTTACGAAACAAGCACAAAAATAATCTGGATCTTCTTCAATTATTGCTAAATTTTGCTTATAAATGTTAACTCTTTCCTGCTTTTGGGCGTCCATTAACATTCGAGGATTACACTCCTTTTGTACAAACCTTATTAGACTTCATATCCATTAATAACATTAAACTATAGTACTTTTGCCATGTATCTATATCCATTTTATTATATTAGCATTAATTTTGTAAAACTATTATAATGTTAATTCATTCGAAAATAACTACATAAGTAAGTTCGTAACATAAAGCTAAGTAAGTGCATATATGGAAACGGAAACTAGTCAATACTGTGTGACTCTCATGAACACAGAATACTTTACTCCTAGCGGCTCATGAAATATTTGACGCTGGCAGAATCCATTGGAAGTTGCCAAACTAGGAAAAAAAACATTGAGGAACCCAATGCACGGCTACCTTTTTGAACTTTAAGGTATGAGTAAAAATAAATCGAATTGTCCTAAACGAAAGCTTTAGTATCTCAGCTAAATAATGGATGGTCACATGTCGATCTACCTTAAAAATTTCTTCGATTTTTTTTAACATTTTCTTGCGTAGCGGCCGTTGTTAGCCGCCCGGAGTAAGTGTCGTCATAACAGCTGTCAGTAAAATAAAATAATTTATTTTTCTTCACAAAACTTAAATTAATTAGATAGTTGATTGGGGTCTCCATTTAAGCAAGTAACGCTTGTGTTTGGAAACCCCGCTCTTGCTTATCTAAACATACATTTTAATTCTAAAAACCAAAAATGGCAAACCAATTACCCTATTTTAACAAACCAAAAATAACAAAAATTAATTTATTCTATTTTTATAACCAAAAATTAAAAAGTACAAAAGTATATGTGTGCATGTATGCAAGTGTGTGTGTGTGTGTGTGTGTGTGTGTGTGTGTGTGTGTGTGTTTGTGTGAGTGTGTGTGTATGTACGTGTGTACATGTGCGTGTGAATGTGTGTGTGTTTAGTAGTGAAAGTATTATTATGTTATATATCGTAAAGAACGGTGAATTATGAGATGCGTTCCATTAGAAATTCAGTTTCGTCATATGTTTTCGACTGCACCCATTTTAGTATAAGGTTTTTACACTCCTTGTACGTTTTGTCATATATGTTTAATTCTCTATTTATTAAATTATATAGGAATGTAGAACGGGAGCTAAATTGCCTACTAGCAAATACTGTTTTGGAACCAGAAGACACAGCCACAACATCTTTTCGCCGCTTTTCCAAGATGCATGGGTACGGATTTGTGTGCTTTGAGCGTTGTCATAGTAACGTATAATTGTCTAACTGAGAGTAGACCACTTATTTGATACAGTTTTTTAGTGGAGAAACGTTTTTTTTTAAAATACATGACCTTAAGAAGGATTCGCTGAGCTCTTTCCAAGTTAAGAAATTGGGTCTTTGTAGCTCCACCCCACACCGGAATGCAATAAGTTATGATAGATTGTGCAAGGGATATGTATATTTGGTTTAGATGATATCTGGGAGAGTCCGACTGTTTAGTATTATCTGGTATTACGTGTCTTAGGGTTTTGAATATCAAAATCAATTTTCGTGTCCTACTGATGACATCCTCCAGGTGTGGGTACCACGATGGCCTCTGATCTACAATGACGCAGAGATATTTAGTGTGAGAGACTTTTTCAATTGATGGGCAGTCACAAGCTTTGTTTTTAGCATCCTCATTACATGCATGAATTTTAAGGCAAAAGTCAGTCTGTGGTTGCGAGTTGTTAGTAATGCTAAAGCAAATAAAATTTGTCTTAGCTGTATTTAGAGTGAGAAGATTTTGTTGCAACCACAGAGCGACTCTAGTTAGACCACTTTCAGCACTAGTCTTGACAACCTCCCAAGATTCACCGGCAAAAACTACAGCCGTGTCATCGGCGTACGACAGGATTTTAGCATTTGGTATGGTCATACTGCATAGGTCGTTGATATAAATTAAAAACAAGGTTGGCCCCAGAACGCTACCCTGTGGTACGCCATATGATGCTACTCCCGCATCCCCACTAGTGAACCCAGGAAGCTTTACCTTTTGTTTTCTCTCTGACAAGTAGCTTTCGAAAAGAGCAAGCGGCGTCCTTGTGCACAAGCATAGGGACAGAGATGGTATCGAATGCTTTCTTCAGATCAAGGAAAACTGACAAACATTTTTTACTGTGATCGAGTTGTTCTGTTACAAATGTGCTTAATTCAAAAATTGCATCTTCTGTCGATCTTCCTTGTCTAAAGCCAAACTGTGTGGGTGCCAATATATCAAATTTATTTAAGTAGTTGAGTAATCTAATATTAAGTAACTTTTCTAGAATTTTAGATATTGCTGGTAGAACGGAAATTGGTCTGTAATTATTAATGTCATTTCTGTCTCCGCCCTTGTGCACAGGCGTAATAATAGACTGCTTTAATGGTGCAGGGAATATCCCTGTATCGAAACATAGATTAGTTAAATGGGAAATAATAGGAGCCAAGTCATTGACTGCCAATTTTAAGAAGGCATTGGGGATATTGTCCCAGCCTGGAGCGTTGTTTGATTTTAAGTTTAAAATTATATTTTTAACTTCGTCTATGTCCGTATATAGAAAAACAAAGGAGTGTAATGTTACCGGATTGTTATCTACGGGTCTACTAAGGGTCTCTTTGACATTCTGGATTTTATTGGCAAGTTGGATTCCTATATTTAAGAAATAGCTATTTATGAAGTTTGCAGATTTGGCGGGCGATGATTTCAGATTGAGTAGTTCAATGTTAGTATTTCGTGATTTATTAGTGTAAGTAATATTTTTTATATTTTTCCATAATAATTTATTGTTATTTAAAGATTTATTAATATTTTCTCTATCATATTGTATTTTCATTCTTCTTATTAAATTCTTACAGTAATTCCTGTATCGTCTGTATGTAAGGCGAAGAATGTCATTATGTGGGTCTTTTCGTAAGTTTTTCTGAAGGTTATTTCTGTTTCTTATACAGCGTAAGATTCCTGAAGATATCCACGGTTGTATTATTCTTTTACTGCATGGAATAGTAGCCACTGATGTATTTAGTTTAAGGCTTTCGGTAATTTTATCTATTAATTTGTTAGTTACAGTCAATGGATCGCTACAAAGTAATAATTCTGATAAGTTTTTAGTCTGTAGGTATTTTAAAGCATTTCCAAAATTTGTCATTTGTTTAGTTTTATTATCATTTAGCTGTCAGTATATCGTATACCAGTATCACAGAATAAATAATAGTACCAATATGCCATTATAAAATAAGACAAAGCATTTTCTGCCAAAGTAGAAGTTCGAGTTTCTCCATTTTGCATACGAATCAAATTCCAGTAAAATATGAAGTTTGAAAAAAAATGAGCATAGTTTTTAATTTAGTTTATTCTGGCCTTGGTTACTAACGAATTTTAGATTCGAAAAAACTAGAGTGCATTTCTATAACTAATTGATAAGTGTCCCATTCAGAAAACTTATTGATCAACCTAGTATTACAGCTATTACGTATATAACGCATCTATAATTTTATTTTTGGCTGAAGCGAGTTCCTAGACCTTATTCTGGCACAGCGCCAGCTCTCTGCATTCAATTATTGGAACGGTTATTGCAACAATACGCCATTTGCTTAACACAATATGCTGTAATATATTTATTACATCTTAATATATTATTTTGATCATTAACAATTTATATTAGTTGATTTGATGCGTAGAATGGCTGGATTTTAAGTTATTTAATGATTATAGTCAAAATAAAGACGCTTGCTATAAAATTAAAGGCTCCTGCTCATAAAATCCTTAACCATAGTAGTTAAGTATTTAATATATACAACTTAATTTCCTCATTCTCAAGTAATCGTATTCAAATGCTTTAACGTTAAGCTATTAATAGTTTATTTACATAACATTAAAATATACAATAATTATTACATTAAAATATAATAAAAAAAAACTTTAAAATTAAAAACTAAAAAAGGAACTTGAATAATCATACAGTCCTACTCCCCGCGGTATAGGTAGTGCCAAAATCGCTGGCTGCTTTTCCTTACTGAATGGCTATACTTAACCTTTGAGCGAGAAAAGAACCAATCCTCTTATTACCAGCAGCGACGACAAGTCACGGATACAGTTATTTTAGCAACTTCACAGCACCCACGCCATGGACTAATAGTCTATAAAGCAAATGAGACAAATTTGCAATCTCTTAGACACTAATACTTGCGCTACGTACTCAGTTCAACCGCCTCTAATGGTTACGATGTTGTGACTAGGATTAAGAAAGGAATACTTCTGTTGTGTGGAAGAAATAATGAATAAAGAAAGAGTGACAAAGCAAATTTGTGCTGCAGATGTGAAGTCTTTAATAGATTTTTTATTAAAGGCTTAACTAAAGTTTTTTGACGCATCCTCATTTTGGCCGACTGAGGTAGAGACAGACACCAACAATTAAGTACACATAGTAGGTCGATGATCGTAATATTTTCATTATAAATTGGTATTTGTATGTACAGTCAGTAGAGCACAAAAATAGCTTCCCGGGTGTCGCTGCTTACACGCAGCCAGTAGACAGAGAACCGCCGGTCGCCTAACGCGGTAAATTCTCGTCTACACGCTTTATATAGTGATTTATCTTAGTGTTTCATTGGAACACGGTTGTCCAAGTGATTTAACAGTGATATTTAACTTCCAAAGTGTTAACAATAGTGAAATGAGAGAATGTGAGTTCGCAGAATTATCTAGTGATTGGAAATAGTGCATGTTGATTGTGAACCTTATGAAGAAGAGAAAAGGTTTATATATGTTACGTCTATTAATTCAAAAGCCACCCGGACCATTAAACTGATACCATCATACATAGAATAGTTATGACTTATAACCCATTTCACCGTACGCTTTCTTTATCAATGACAAATATTTTAGAAGCTTAAAATAAGAAGATGCATTCGGAAACACAACGTATTTAATTTTTTTACAGGAATAATTAACTTCTCAACTTTTTATTTAATGCGACTCAAAATTAGAAAAATATCTAAGAAAAAGTTCTTATTGAATACTTTAGGTTAATATTATTAAAAGAAACATAACATCTGAGCCCTGTTAGTTCAGAAGCCAGGCGCATGCTTTAAAATTGATATGTATAAAGCTGAACGCGGACAACCCTCGGAAACTTCGCCGGCAGCATTAAAGTTTTAATCCCAGTTTTAAGTGCTAACTTATCACGTGCTCATCGGTGATGGAAACTCATCGAGAGGAAACCCGCACGTCTCAGAAATTGAAAATATTTCGAAGATGCAACGGACTCTCCTTGCTCAGGGAGTTTTCAGCTTTGGGAATTATTTATGCTTTTACTTTGCAGAGCATAGCTTCCAATATATAAAAAATTATTTTTGTTTCTTCGTATTTTATGCACTGCCATATCGTTCATCAGATTACGTTAAAATTTTGTCAACATATTGCTTGCACTTGCGCGAAGGTTATAGGCATAGTACAATTAAAGTACAGTAGGTGGCGCGCATGTTGTACCGACATATTTATTTGAAAGTCTTAACATGTCATTCAATTTCAATAAATTTATTATCATTCCTAATTAAACAATATAACCCTTCCAAATTCAAAACGATATTTGCACAAATATTTTTTCTGCGGCAACAACACGCCGGGTACCAGCTAGTAATATATAAATATATTTACACAAAACTTTTTCTAGAATTTTATGAAACAATGAATTCAGTCGAAAACATTTTTTTTTTAAAGAAGAGGAGGCAAATGACCATACGGCTCACCTGGTGCTAAGTGATCACCGTCGACTACGGACATATGCAACACCAAAGGAATTGCAGATGCATTATCTGCCTTTGAGAAAAGAGAGTTCCTTTATCACTTCTTTGTGGAAGGGGATTCCTTTCGGTCCGGATAAACCGTTGGCGACAGAACATTCCACACTGTGGTCGTGCGTTGTAGAATAATCCTTGTCCGCGGTAGTGAACTGCCAACGATCGAGATGATGTTGATGGAATTTCGAGTTCTGTCGCAATTCACAATAGTGCAATTTAGTAGCTGGAATTCATCCAAATAATTCCTCTGAACTCTCCCCGTGGTATATGCGATAGAAGATGCTCAGAGATGCAACATCTCTTCACAAGGTCTGTGCATGAACTTTCTTTCGGTCGGAACCGATCGGAAAGAATTTCATTGTTGACGATTCGAGTCGGTCTACGTTGAATGTCAGACAGTCAATTGGAAGGAGCTGGTACTTGGATGCCTCAGCCCAGGAATGAGAACAGTATTCCATAGCACAGAATAAATAATAGTCCATAGTATGTTGACGCAGAGGATTCCCATGCTGACTGAGACAACAAAGGGAGTGCCCTGAAAATTACGACAGTTTCTAGTTAACCTGCCAACTTGTGCCTTCTGAGGGTTAAATTGGTCTAGATTTATTCCTGAGAAATAATATATAGTTCTATCGTCTGCATAATATCGCGGGAAGCCCATAAGAAGATAGTTTTGATAAAAGCGCTGTGTCAAACTTTCAGGCTTGTTGAAGGCCTTCGTTGTGTCCAAACTTACCGTCATAGACCTGTACTGTCACAGGTTAAGAAATTTTAATTCAAAAACATACATGTTTATATGAGGAAATTAAAGCAAAGTATTGTATACAGTCCTACTTCCCGCGGTATAGTGTCAAGAACGTTGGCAGTGTTTCCTCGCTGGTTGCCCAAACTTAGCCTTTGAGCGAGAAAAAAACCAGTCCTCTTATCACCAGCGGCGACGACAAGTTGCGGATACAGTCCTTTTAGGAACTTCATCGCACGTAGACCCCACACCGATAGTTTTTACAGCAAATGACAGAAACATGAAGTCATCTTTCAGAGATTCCATATTATCTTATAATCCATTTGATTTTAACATTTAGCTGGAACTATCGAGGTGAATTTTATTGCTCGCCGGTAAGTAAGGGATCAGAGCTCATACATCGAAGCTCATAAAGCGTGCCAGCGAGGTCGTGAGAGTCCCTCGCATCAAACTGATACCAGGAGCTAGCAGCTTCAGAGTGTATGTATTAGTAGTATATCAGCGACAACTTACTACTAATAATCACAAAACTTTAGCGTTCAAGCGCCCCGGGTCACCGTTCCAAACAAAAACATTCACACATACAGTGACACAGAAAATACAAAGCATTTTATACGTGGTAAAGCCATGCTGCGGCTATATTATGGTTGTAACACGAATTGGTCGGTGAGATCGGGTTAGGTACCACGCTCTCACAAAATATCGGATTAAAATAGCAGTGTGTATGTGTGTAGCAGTGTTTCGTATGGTGAGTGCAGGAAATCGGAGACCCTTTTCTACTGGAAACGAGGCATTCCAACTTAGTCCTCACGGGTGAGAACGCATCTGCATTTTGATTCTTAATCGATGATAGATGTAGGTGTCTATGGGCCACAGCATCCATTATCTATCAGGTGGACTGTGTGCTCGTTTGTTACCCTTATTCTATAAAAAAGACACCGTGCACTATTGAATGCATACATATATGTATATTATCCTAATCATCATCTCATTTCATTTATCATAGTAGGCGATTCTTTCTTTCGATAGGCGAAATAACTATAGCGCTTACAACAGAATTAAAAAAAAGTGCCTGTCGTTTCATTCCTACAACGGGGGAGACCCATTTCCAACATTAAAATTTTACGATATGATTAAAAAGAATAGAAGTAATACAGCTGACGTACTCTTAGAAATAACTATAGCGCTTACAACAGAATTTAAAAAAGTGCCTGTAGTATCATTCCTACAACGGGGGAGACCCATTTCCAACATTAAAATTTTACGATATGATTAAAAAGAATAGAAGTACATATAATACAGCTGACATACTTACTCTTAGAAATGCCAGCAGTGGACTTAAAAATAATGATGTTAATGTATGTATATGTATTATTATATATTACATTTAATAACATAAATATATATAATTGTTCCGGGTCTGGATGTTTGACCTCGTGCAATTTATGTTTGTAAACGATACAGGAGAAAATCCTAGTGTGGAAGTAACGTTTTAAAAAAAAATACTAACCACCATATAACATATTGAGATGTTTATGGCAGAGGTCATGCGGGGTACAGAAACTAATGCATTTGAAATCCATGATTAAAATATATACCAAAGCTAACTATAGCTTAACTGGATATTTAAATGGCAAACAATATAGATCTAGTTTAACACTAATAGCTTTGAGCTTCTTATTAGGTTATAGTATATTTTTTTTATAGAAGAGAGGGTAAACGAGCATGCGGTTTACCTGATGGTAAGTGACTACCGCCGCCCATGAACAACCGCAATACCAGGGGAATTACAGATGCGTTGCCGGTCTTTTAGAAAGGTGTAAGGTCTTTTTCTTTCTTCTCTTTTCTTGCTGTTTCTTTTTTTTATTGAAAATACTGACACTGGTAATGTATCAGAGTACTGAAAGCTTGGTCGCTAACTTAGGTAACTAAGGCTAATAGTTATAAACTAGCCAAATTTTATAATTTTGTTGCATCATATCACCATCGCAAAGCGCAGACGTGTATCATAATCGCTAGTTTGGAAAATTATATTCGATCATGTGATACGCCGTTGTGATACCGTATCTGATTCACCTCGACTCGGAAATCGGAATTACGTATCGTGATCCGCAGTACGGAAGTTTTGATACATTTTTTCCCGATCTCCAAAGTGGATACTACACGCCGAGTTAGAGTTACAAACGAGCACACAGTCCACCTGATGGCAAGTGGTTGCTGTGGCCCATGGACATCTGCATCTATCTTCGTTTGCGAATTAAAATGCAGATGCGTTGTCAGCCTTGAGGACTAAGATAGAATGCCTCTTTTCCATGAAAATGGGTCTCCGGTTCTCTACACTCACCATACGAAACACAGCAACGTTAAACTGCTATTTTACGCTGGTATTCTGTGAGAGCGTGGTCCTTCCCCGGTCAAGCCGACCCATTCGTCTTACAACTATACTATAATATGCAGCAGCATAGCTCTACCACATAAAAAATGACGGATGACGTGGCCTATAGACATAAATCCTCGATCAGGAATCACAATGCGAATACGTTGTCACAAATTGTAGCTTAAGGCGATACCCAGACCAAAACCTTGCGATAGTGCGTTTTTCTTCGTTATTCAGAGACTATTATCTCATTAGTTATGAGAAATAAACTACATCTAAAAGCATATTATTAATGTTCGATATCCTATCATCACATTCCACGTTCTAGTTTGTTTTTACGTGTTATAAATACATTTAAAATGACTAAAATTATTGATTGCATGCATCTGTTGTTAAATTTTATTTGTTAATAATTGTTATTTGGTCAGGGAAACGCCTTAATTGCAAATTTTATATATTCTGTTCTATTCTTCACCTACAGACAGACACATACGTCTTACCTCGAATAAGATTCAAATTGTAGATGTGTTGTTACCCCTGAGGACTAAGATAGAATCCCTCTTTAGCACTTATAAGTCTCCGGTTCTTTACTTTCACCATACGATACACTGCAGCATTAACTGCTATTTCACGCTGGTGTTCCGTAAGGGCATGAATCTTCTCCGGACGAGCCGATCCATTCGTACTGCCACCATAATATGGCTACAGCGTGGCTCTACCACGTAAAAACTGCATTTTCAATTGCATATTAACTAAAGGGGTTTCTTTTATAGCCTGTTTGCTTTCATTGCTTATTAAATTGAGCAATGCTTGTAAACAAATGTAAAATATTATTAGTTGATTGCTCATTTGCCAGTCTTAAATCTATTTGGTAAACATAACACACATGTTTTAACATTTTTCTTTTCTATTTATAAAACGTTGGCTACAATGAGGGCTAATAATTTTCTGCTCACCAGATGTCGCTAGTTGACAGTGAGTTAAAGTTTTTTTTGTTACACAATGTAATTTAACTGAGAAGTTGTTTATTAATAAAAGTTTATCAGTTTCTAGAGTATTATATTAATACACAAAACAATGCGTCAGTGGTTTGTTCTTTAACTTTTTGCACTTTTTTTATTTTTCTACTTTTATGAATATCTGTTGTTTCGTTTATTTATTTTTAATGTTCCTAATATAAAATATAGCTAATAGTACAGAAAAAACAATACCTTTTACATTCTCCGAACAAATTAACTTCCCCGCTATGAAATCTGTCAAATATTATACCTCACTTTCTAGTGACGCCGCCCTGGTGACAGATGCGATAATTGGACGTTCTAATAGGTAGTACCTACTCCTTTACTCCTTAGGTGTTCGTCTAGTTAGGTAATACCCTCTCAGTTTTAGTCTCTCTTTTTTGCCAACCATCAGCAGTGCGTTGTAGCAGGAACATTGCAATGCTCCAGTTCTGAAAGGTTTAGTCCATTTTTAGTCCTAACAATAGTAACAACGCATCTGCAGTCTTTTATATTGGAAGTTGGTTGCAGTTGTCCACGAGCCGCAGTAGCCCCACTGGGTATTTTTAATACGAAGACACTTACCATCAAGTGAACTGTCGTAAGTTCGTTTGTCACTTCAATTTATTATTATAAAAACATATAAGTCACCAATAAAAACGCTTAGTGGTCACGTAACGTCGCCATAAGTCCAAAACTCAACTCGTTACCAAAACACATATTGTTTATTTTACGGGTAAGATTTTGTGTGGTCCTCACGTTAGTATACTTACCTAAGATCTTAACAGATTAAATGTTACATGTAGCTAGTGTATTAAAAATAGGTTCCTCACCTAGCACGTCCATGCTAGCGCTCTCTGTGCTAGCTTCGTACACTTCTTACACTACCGAGACTATTGATTTTTTTTTATTTGGTGCACACTCCATCGTAAGAGGCGAAAAAGGGAAACTGAAACAGTGGATTGGTAGCTGCATCTTCAATATTCAAAAACCCGCCAGCCAAGTGTAGCAATTATTACAATCCCCTCTATAAGTCAATCGCCTTTGTAAAGCTGTAGAATTTTATAAGCTGTAATGAATTAATCAATGATTGTATGGATATATATTATTTAGTATAGTGTTAAAACAAAGAATTCGTTTTATCCAAATATAAATAGCGACATGCATTTCTTGTTTTTTTTTTTATTTTAATACAAGACATACAAACAAGCTTATTTACAACAATATACAACAATAAACTATATATAAAATGGTCACCGATACTTTGACGCCCCTAAACTACGTACGATATAGACTCACAGCCTGCCTCTCATGCCCTTCAAACCATTCATTTCTTTAGCTGAAGATATTGTTGATATCAAACAAAACGTTCTATTTATAATCAAACAATAAATTGGTCCACTGTTTAAATTGTAATTAAATTTTTTCTTCCTCACACAACTTCCTTGTGGAATCGACTACCACCAGAGATTTTTCCGGACCGATACGACTTAGGGACGTTCTAGAAAAGAGCGTACTCCTTTTTAAAAGACCGGTAACGCATCTGGAATTCCCCTGGTGTTGCAGTGGTTCATGGGCAGCGGTAATCTCCCCCTCTCTTATAAAAAGAAAAGTTACTAACAACGCATTAACATAGCCTTTAAATTGTTTGATTTTGTAACCACTGAAATTCACTTAAAAGAAATAAGTACACAGAAATTTATTAATGAAAGTTAAGAAGTGGGTGACGTCATTACAGTTGTCTGGATCTAGAGTAGACATCAAACCCTGGCAACAGTCCAAGATTTTTCAACAGACGATTCCAACGGAAATGAGGACGTGTAGTTACTTTTATTTGGGTAGTACCTGAGTTCCTACAAAATAAACACTATTAAATGCATATAACTAGGCCATACATACATACATAAATAAACTCTCACGCCTATATTACGCAGAGGGGAAGGCAGAGACTACGGACTTCCATTTGGCACAATTCGGGCACACCTCTGTCCCTTCTTTCACGTTCATACACCTATGCAAACATGCTGGTCAGTTAAAAGGGCGCTTTTAATTTGGCTTATTTTGGTATATCACTAATTTAGTCGATAAATAACTGACCAGGGCGACCCTTGCCGGCTATGCCACTCACATCTGCAACATAAATTTGCTTTGTCACTCTTTACTCATTCATTCTTTGTTTCTCTAAATCACTGAAGCATTTCTTTCTTATTTCTAGTCACATCATTTTCTTGCAAACCACACTTTTCTCTTATCACACAATTTCTCACCCTATTTTGCAGAGTCAGGCCTGACATAATTCTTAATGATCGCATTTCTACAGCAATAATTTTACTTTCATGCTTTTACCACACCCACCTTTCCCTACCATACATTAAGGTAGGGACTAACAGAGCATTGTGAATTGCCATATATGCCTTTTGTAACATATTCTGCTTCCCACAATAGAGTGAAGAGCCCCATTTACTATGTGTTCTGCATTCACTCGTCACTCTCTATCCTTGTCATATTTACCAGCCCTGCCAACACACTATCTATTTACTTGCATTTACTTTTATTTCAATTTTATTTTTTAATGACCTGTTCATTAATGTAACCTTCGTTTGAAACTCACCCGTCGACGACGCAAGTAAGACTTGATCGTCGGCGTATAAAAACATTTGACGGTTAACTCACCCATTTCTTAATCCACATTTTCAACGTTCAAAGTTTCCTACTATGCTAGGTCACTAAGAAGGAAATACTTTAAATAATTTTTTTTTGTACTTTCAGTTGCCAACGTAATGAACTCAAACAAATAAACATGAATAACGGCACCAAGCGAGCCTTGACGGGCTCTATACATAAAATTAGAGAATTTGAGTTAGAAAAAGTAAGTAGTTGTTGTGCCTTAATCGCGAATTTGTACAAAAAACAAAATTCTTTGTCAACTGTGTAAATTCCTCTTTTAGGTATGTTTGGTCGAAGAATTTGATATTCTACAAATAGTTGGAGAGGGATGGTTCGGAAAAATACTTCTAGTGGAACACAGAGCGTCCGACACAGAAATTGTTCTCAAAGCTTTGCCTAAGCCCTATGTGTCTATTAGGGACTTCTACAGAGAATTCCATTATAGTCTTCATTTAAGTGCACATAAAAACATTGTGACTACATTCGATGTCGCGTTCGAGACAGCTGGATTTTATGTATTCTGTCAAGAATACGCTCCTTTAGGTAAGATTTGATTGTTAATTTAAAACAATTAGTTCACTACTCAAAACCATCAAAACATCATTCGGCTGAAACGTAACATTACAATGTATGCAATTTTCGCACGGAGCAAGACAAATGCAAAACTAAACTGTTTCTTATATGCTTTATGTTGGATTGCAGCCAAAACGCTGATTTTATTAAATATTACAGCCAGTCCGTTTATAATGACCGTCCTAATTTTTATAGTTTTATCCTTCACATAATTTCATTTTTTATTTAATTTATTCATAAAATTTTATCAAAAGTCCACTGCTGAATATAGGTCACCCATATAGATTGCCTATATACTTGCCAGTTGTCACGCTTGGCAGGCGGGTTGGCAACCGCAGTTTTTTTATTTGTTATCGGGAAGATAGCAAATGAAAAAATTATTTTCCCGATAATAAATTAATAAACTGAGGGACCCATCTCCTGTTTCATTTGTCTCTATCACCTGTTACGACATCCGAGGGATGACGGGATGATAGAGGGTTCTATCACTAGTTCGCTATTAAGTAAATACTCTTCGGTGCTTAATAACGATCTTAAATTATGTGTAGGTACCGAACAATAATAAATATCTCTTTTTAGGTGACCTAACTTCGAATATGCTCGATACTGGAATTGGAGAAATTCACACTAAAAGAGTGGCAAAACAATTAGCAGCTGCATTAGAGCACCTTCACCAAAGAGATCTTGTACATAGAGATGTAAAACTAGACAACATTCTGATATTTAAATCGGATTTTTCAAGAATAAAGCTCTGTGATTTTGGCGAAACAAGGAAAGTACAAGCTGCTGTTAGAAGAAGAAACGAATGGCTGCCGTATTCCCCACCAGAAGTGTTAAAACTGCCGATGGATAGCAGCTACAAGTAATAAACATTAATATTTGCACTTTAACAGCGTTTGTTGCCTACTACCAGATACTAAACAATGTGTTACCCAAATGTTTTATCCAAATAAACAGTAGAGAACACATAGAATAATATTCTATAATTTAAAAGATATAATAACTAAAATTTTTGTAATGTAAAATGTTGAAATATAAAGTGCTGAACGATTTTAAAAATTTTGTTTCAGAGCCCTAATTAGTCATGACATATGGCAGTATGGTATAGTTATCTTTATTTGCCTGACTGAGTGTTTACCTTGGCAGAAAGCAGCGTTCGATGACCCCAGATATGTCAGGTGGACATAATTTACAATTTTTATTTTCTATTTAACGAGAATGGAAATGTTTAATTAAATATTTTTTATAATTATTTTTACAGTTACTTAAATTGGTACAGTAGTGCAAATCCTCTGAAAAAGCAGCCGAAATTATGGAAAATGGTTTCTTCGAGAGCCCAAAAAATGTTTAAGAAATTTATAGAACCAAGAGAAGATAAAAGAGCTACAAACTTTGTAGAGCTTTCTAGATGTTTAGATGACCGCTGGATGGCGAAAGGATATACGGACAGAGTAGGTAAGCTTCACAAATTGTCAACAAAAGTTTGTGTAGTTCTATATAAAGATATATTAAAGTTTGATACTTTTTTATTATAAAATATTTTACCCGGTGGCAAGTGGACACTGTGGCCTTTAGATATCTGCATCTATCCCTAGTTAAGTTTCAAAAGTTGATGAGTTGTCACCCCTGAGAACTAAGTTAGAACACCTCATTACTAGTAAAAAGGGTCTCCGGTTCTCTATGCACACCATAGGAAACACAGTGGCATTAGCTACTATTTTACGTTGGTATCCTGTGAGAGAGTGGTCGTTCCCCGGTCGATCCGACTCATTCATGCTACAACCAATAATACCTACAGGCCTACAGCTGCAGCTCGGCTCTACCACGTAACACCATGTACCACATACTTAATATCATATGTAATATTATTCTTATCTAATGGTAATTAGCTACTATAACTAGAATAGTACCAGTATCCATTAGAACTATGAGCGTTTTTCAATTTTGAAATTGTGTATTTAGGCGTACGTGACCGAAGTGGACACGTCGTGGGGGTCGTAATCTAGAGCTTACGACCACAGAGTATTTTTAAATGTACGTTGTTTATACAACTGAAACCAACGACTGGCTATGGCCGGAGCAGTGAGCCGGGCACTGCTACCAGCTGCTGATACCGCACACTTTTAAATTATATTGTGTAATAAATACATTATTGTATCCGTATCGAAATGCATTATTTCACTTTTCTACATCTTGGCCTCAAATAGGAGCACATAATATTAGAATCCTTTAAGGGGGTATGAGACTAAAAATTAACATTATTTTCCAGCCGGCGGTGATATTGATGAGTTGTGTCCTTCAATGTACAGCTATCACAGTGATCCTAATGAAAAAAATATCCTATTGAAGCATTTCCGTGACAATGGTGTTGAAACTGTAGTTGATCGGCAAGCGAAGAAGCAAAGGATTCGCGAATGGATACAGAATAGTGTTATTGAGGAAGCGGATGAAGAGGTAAACTACTTGGTATTCATGAATGAATCCCTTAATAAATTTATGAACATTTCATTTTACGTTTTAAGTATTTCGGAATGTTTATTTTTTGTAGTTTTTTTTTTTTATATTATCGACGATCACCTCACAACATTTTCATTTACTATTTTTTCATAACCCTTAAAACATTCGTTTTCAGGAGGAAAGCAATTACGATCCTAGTCTTATAGAAGAAAGCGATGGTGAACTAGAAGAGAGGTCAAGACCTCATCCAATCGATGAAAGTCATAGAATTACTCTTCGTTATGACACAGAAAAGCACATAAATCCACGTACGGGTGAAATCATCGATGGTGTGAAACATCCAGACAAAAATCCTTTATCTTACGATGTCAAAAATATAGAACCAGTTGCGCCTGGAAATATCGCAAGAAGATATGGAGTAAAAGAAGATGTTTCATCGCATAGCTCTACAAAAGACAGTGCATATGGTTCTTTAGACGTCAATCCACCACCGAAAACTTCCACAAATAGACCAGATATAAAACACATGTCTGTCGATAGAGCAAGTGACATCTCTGCGAGTAGGTCGTTAGGTGGTTCATCGATTCGACAAAATACGCCACCCTTATCTACACATGTTCAGAGGTTTCAGAAGAGCGAAGAAGTTTTCTCAAAAGAAATGGAAAGCATAAAAGGAAGTACATCGACAATACACTCCTTAGGCAATTCCTCTAAATCTAACAGTCTTTGTGTGACACGAAATAGTTCTTTAGAAAGCACTACAAATGTTATCAACGATATGCCTCTGGAAAATGAAAATTCGGGCTCAACATCCCGACCTAATAATCCTGTAATAACACAAAACGGTTTTAGCCCCGGTTCTAAACAGAATCAAAACAAAACTCAGCCTTACGTGTCTATGAAAAACACAATCTATGAAAGTGTAACTTCCCGAATAGACAATAATCAAAATAAAGAAGATGATAATTCAAATAATGCTTCGGAGAGTCCATACACATCAATGATGAATATTGTTCAAGGTCAGATAAAAATTAGCCCGCTGGCTAATGAGTCTGACAAAAATATTGTCAATGTGTCGGTAACATCAATCAACCGAAGTAAAATCTAATTGCTCAAATTGAAAATACGTTATTAAATTTACACCATTTTATATTTAATTAAATTTGATCTTGGTTTTGCCATTTTTCTACTAGAGTCAAACGAAATGCTTTTATAAAAATGTTTTTCATAAACGATACCACACAGAAACATGCATGAATGAGAAAAGTGGTTTAATTTTCAAATAATAGTGTATGTACATTTTTATATTAGGTTCGTGATTAGGTAATGCTGACTACTTATAATAAAAAATCCTAATGTATCATACATATTTCTTTCTATTGATTGAATTGTAAATCACCTACATATATTAATTAGTTATTTTACAATAATTTCTTTTAAATATAAATAACTGTAAGATTCCATAATATAATTATGATTTCCTTGTTATAGATCTAAGGATGGATTTCCACATCCATCCCTAGATCGATGACGTCTTTGTTATAATATATTTATTTTATTCGGAAAACAAACAGTCATTCATTGCTTTTTTACGTAAAAATTTAATAATTTTAGCAAGCTGTAAGTTTGGTTTCGTGAATTTTACAGATGATTGTTATCGATTAAGCGGTTTTTAATCGACTTCAAAAAAGATTATTGATACGAGTGTATTTCATTTTTATCCGACTTCAAAAAGGAGGAGGTTCTCAATTCGTGTGTATGTTTTTTTGTATGTATGTTATGCGATATCTTCGCAGATTGTGTACCAATTTTGATGAGTTTTTTATTAAATAGGTTATAATTCAAGGGTGGTCTCATATAATTTTTTTTGAAAAACTCCACCCATAAGGGTAGCAAATAAATAATTTATTTTTTAGCAATTTGAAGTTGGTTTTTCTTTTTGTTAAAAGTTATAATTATTCGATGCATGTACTATGCTATCTCCGAAATAAGTAACACGATTCAGCTTACAATTTATTCGCAGTTGTTCCTTATACAAGTATGTCCGCTCATAATTACTTATAAACTTAATTTCTATTTAAATTCTATTTAAGTTAAACTCGCTAAAAATACTATTAGGACTATCGGAAAGTTTTGTCGGTTTTTGTAAACAAAAGTCGCGGTTAGCTTTAAAGATGTAATTGTTTAATTCAAGCCAATAACATAGTACTTTTACAGATTTTCTACTTCTACTTCCTTCTTCCATCTGTATACTAACTTATAGATGCCATTCCAATATATTTTTTCTTTTGGCACCAAAAATCCTTAAGTTTCAGAACATTCACCTTCCCGACTCCTCCTCCCATTTCACTCCTCAGGTACAGCATTGATCTCCACCAGTGCTATGGACAAGCTCCAGGAAAACGAGTATCCGTTTCCTTCTTGACCTAAGTGGGGGATTTGTTCTATGGTTCAGCCGAAGACCACGCTTCGGCAGCGAAGGGGTTGGGGAGAGCGGCGCATTGCAATATCGACAGTCCTCTCCCCTGGCAGCTCCACCACATTAGCGGTGCGGCCCCGCCTGAGTTGCGAAATATAGAGTGAGTGGTGCCTCCCGATACTAACACTCCTTTTCCTCAAAGTTCTCTTTGTCTTTGTCGGCTGGACAGGATCAATCCTCACCCTCCAAAGTGGGCTCGCTATGTTATAGTTCGCGCGGTACCCACTGAAATATTCGATACCGTAAATATTATGACGCAATATTATTTTATACCATTACATACCACAATGGTATGTATGGTATAAAATAATAATGCGTAGATAGAAGAAATAATTTGAAAAATGTCTGTATCCTACCAAAACCGACAAATTTTATCGTAAAAAATTTACGTTTTTACCATTGTATACATCTTAGTTTGAAGTCTGTACGAAATTTTTATTCCATTTTACATGTAAAATATCAACATAATTAATAAGCTATGCTCTTCACTGAGAACCTTTATTTTTTTAATCCTACAATGCGTCCGGCAAAGACTTCTATGTACACTACAACACGGGCACTATGGTCTAAGGTATTAATACATTGCGCACTTAGTTACGGTCAATTCTCCGTAACTTATTTACGCGCCTGCGAGTGGGCGAGCAGGCTAGTTTTTTGTTTTGTAAACCGGAACGCTGTTTTCGACAATCTAACACAGATTTTGTAATTTATGTGCGCACTTTGTCAACTTGTTTTAGGGTTTTTTTTTTTCAGATAAATATGTAACATTATTTTGTATTTACCTAAAAACAGTAACTGTACTATCGTAAATGAAAATGCAATTGCCTGGAATATTTTTCATGCCAGCTACCTACCTTGTCGGCGAGGCCCATCCGCGCGATCCACAGCTGTGACACAGTTTTTATTTTGAATTGTCGGTCTCGTAGTATACATAGAAGTCTTTGAGGTCCGGTCCAAGATTTTGCAATCCATACCATACCATATACATACCCTTTTAACTTTGGTTTAAATATATTAAAAACGTATGTTCTTACTCTACTCTCTACAGATAAAACAGCAAAGTGTTTTTGTAACTATTATATAATATAATTTCATTTAAATAATGATCTGAATCTGCTGAAAAATGAAAACATATATTAAGCACAGTTGTAATTAAAATGTAAGAATTATGTACCTACTGTGAATATTATTTCCACTTTTTGCACGTATTATAAAATTCCCTGTTATCTTTTATTTTTCTCCAATAGTTTAGTTTGTTAAGAAAAATATGATACTAAAAGCATTAAATAAAATGTTATAAAACTTTGATGCTTAAATTACTTTACGACTTACGACAAACTTAGGATATTTACCCAAAAAATGTAATAAATTGCTCAATTGTCTTGATACATTATCTATCTATAATATAAAAATGAATGGCTTAATGTGTTGCTAAGCGCAAATCTCGAGAACAGCTGAACCGATTTCGCTAATTCTTTTTTATAATATTCCTTGAAGTACGAAGATGGTTCTTACGGAGAGAAAAATTTAAAAAATTGCCTGAAAAAGTCTGAAAACAACACTTTTCTATATTCCTATACAAAAGATTCGTAATAATACTTAAAAGTGAATTTGAACTTTAATACCATACCATAAAGTTTAAATGTTAGTGGAGGGGTTCCGGGAAGGCAAAACAATTGAGTGACGTTAGTATCGTATAAATATTAATGTCAATATTTATACGATGGTAACATTACTCAAAAACAAAATTTGGGTCCCGCGAAAATTGATATCCATGAAATCGTAGTAAATTCCGCGCGGGCGAAGTCGCGGGGCACAGGTAGTTTATAATAAAACATACTGTTGATTGGCTTATGCCATTGAAATCACCACACACCATCTGAAATATCAATGAATTACTTAACGTAAGGTAATACTTAACTCTATATATAAAATCAATTGCTGTCCTTTATCATCATCATCATCATCATCATTACAGCTCTTCACAAGTCTACTGCTGAACACAGGCCTCCCCAAGGAATATTACAAGCCATGGTCCGGAGCCACCTGCATCTATCGACTTCCTGCATGTCTTACCAGATCGTCACTACATCTAGTGGGGAGTCGCCCTACACTTCGCCTACCGGGTACGAGGCTGCCGCTCGAGAACATTTTTTCCCATCGTTTATTGGTTTTCTGAGCTATATTGCCGGCCCATGGCCACTTCAGCTTACTAATCCGTTAGGCTATGTCGGTCCCTCTGATACTACTGCGAATATCCTCATTTATAAGTTTATCAGGCAGAGAAACCCCGAGTATAGTCCTCGCCATAGTTTGTCGAGCGACCTTGATCGTCCTCATACGGGCCGCAGTGAACGATCATGTTTCAGATCTATAAGTCATCACTGACAACACGCACTGGTTGTACAATTTGGTTTCCAGTTTTGAGGTATACCTGACGAGAAGATGTGTCGTAATTTCCAGAACGCTGCCCAGTCGAGCTGAATCCGTTGATTGACTTCTCGGTCGAAGTTAGACTTACCTAGTCGGATTACTTGCCCCAGATAAACATACTCGTCAACAACTTTGGGCTTAGTGCTTCCAACAACTACCGGCACGGGTGTGATATGGACGTTACATATGATCTTTGTTTTGTCTATGTTTATCTTAAGATCTATTCATTGGGACGCGCTATTGAGTTCATTAAGCGTAGTGCTTTAGGTCCTGCAGCTATTTTGCTATAAGGACTATATCGTCGGCAAATCGCAGGTGAGTGATGTACTCGCCATTGATGTTAGTACCGTATCTTTTCCAGTCCAGTAACTTAAATTCTTAAAAACTTCCGATGCAGCGGCGAAGAATTAAGGAGATATAACATAATCCTGTCTTACACCTCTCTGCAGTTGAATAGATTCCGTATACTATTATATTGCTGTCCGTTATTTGTTTATATATTGCTGTCCATTAGTCTCGCTAAAACTAAAAACGGCTCGACCCATTCTGATGAAATTTTTGTGTTTGAAATTTTCAATGGGTCCCTAGATATTTTAGATTCACACTTTGATTCACTCACTGGGTGTAAGTGATGCAGAAACGGAAACAACAACTTTTTTATTCAATATAGATTATAAATAATATTTATTGAAAATCACTCTTTTCTTCAATTACCACTGGTTCGAAAAAAAACCTCTGTCCTGGGAAGAACCAGCATGAAACCCAGCGGGACTCACCCGTGAAATCACCCGTGCGAAGCCGGGACGGATCACTACTTATGTACAAAATATAATAATTACTATATTCAGCACCAATGATAGACTCTTAACTATTCGAAAGCATTTGTAAGATTATTTGAATATTCTATTCTATGAAACAACAATTACCTGGAAACATCTTGAAACATCTTGTAGCATATTAATGCAATAAGTAATTGCAGTTTTGAGGAATCGGCAAGCATCTATTGTCGAAATTGGCAATTGTTAATGGTAATATTACATTTAAAACAATGAGTTTAGTGAAATGGCATCTTCTTCTAAATTCATTTTCGTCATACAGCTCAAAAGGCTTTTGGTAAGGGCTTGGGTTAAATTTCGAAAGCGTAGGTCGAATAGGTAGGTATATAGGTAGGATTGGAAGTCCAAGTTCCAAAGCCAGTCGTAATCATTAATTTAAAATATTAATAAAAACTTCAAATGCACACAATTATTTTTATAGCATATAATCATTAAAGGGGTTTACGACATGCGTGGGACGATATTATTACAAAATGAGCACCGGTCTCGTACATTTAGCAACTGCCAACGGTTTGGGTTAGAAGTACGTTGGCGCCTTCGGTTGGGTGTATGTTCTAGTATACCGCAAACGTTTGATTTATAATTACCATAGATAAATATATTCTTTATGTATGATAAAGAATATTTTTATTATGCTATTTTCATAATTTACAAATATGGCTGGTCACCATATGTGGCAGGTTCCTGCCATTTTGGCAGGATTGGCCTCTTATTTTAGACTCTGGCGTGATCGGTTGACGTTTTATAAAATCTGGCAGTATTTGGCAGTATTCGGGTATTAAAAATAGATTTCATTATGGCAACTTAAAATGCCGAAAATGGCAACCCACTACTTTGCCAGCATGTGGGGGATTTCCCTGTACTTATAGTGTTATGTTTGTAACACATTCAATAAACAACTTTCAAAGTATGGGTGTAAAGTTGATAATCTTAAAACGAGTATTCGTAAACACTAGTTAATGGTTAATATTTCAAGCAGTCATAGAAAAACGTACTTTAGTTTGTTATCGCATTAGATTTCGTGGTGACAATAACTTGTTAGCGATATTTTGTTAAATATGTTTCGTGGACGATAGTAATTATTGGTGGTGATGATGAAGCGAAAATATGAAAGGCCGTATATAGCGGAGTGGAGTAAGGTCCTTTACTTTCATCGTGGATCTTCAAAGCTAAAAATAATCAGATCCAAATTGGCATCCCGGTTGTCTGCTTTAACGGAGCATGCCGCTGCTAGTAAACATAAACCGTGAGTGTCGTGGAAAACTCGATTGGAACGAAGTTCCTTTCGTAATGTATTACTATTAATATAAGTATTGTTGCGCGCCACTATTAATGTCTTGTACATGGCAACACTTGTTACACTAGCGCCCTCTAGTGTCGAGTAGCAGAACTAGGAGAGTCAACATCCTTCCAGAAATTTCGGGACCGATATGTACTCGAACATTCTAGATGTCGCTACACTAGAAGATTCTGGAAACTATCTGAGGCCCTAGATAAGGCCGGTATAGACCACGACCGAGGCAGTATTGAATTGGCGATACAAGAGAATACTTCGAAGCGAAATAACGGCGAACTGTGTTTTATTATTAGTGTGATTTAGAATGTAATTAGTGTTGTGTAATTAAAGTGTCAATTTTGGTAATTCAATCGGCAGTTTTTAATTGTCTCGAACCCCAAGCTCGTAATAGTATTAATAAGTTATAAGTATTATATTATTGATTAATAAATACAAATAAATGAATTATTAGCGTCTAAAAATGAAGCGTCATATAAAATAAAATAATATTTCTTTCATGGCAAAATACTAAAAAGTGCGAGGGAGTGTCACGTTATTTGATAAACAAATAAATAATAACAACAATTATTTTTAAGAGGGCCCTTCCCGGCCCGTCTATCGTCAACGCGAGCATGGTTAAAAAGCTTGTTGTTTCATCCAGCTCAATGTTAGAAAAAGAGGCAAAGCGAAAAGAGAAAGACAGCGCCTGAGCGTTCGGTTGGCATTCGGTAACTTACGGGCTCGCTACTATGGCGCATAGCTAATAGTTTTGTAAATTTCTCTGCATGCCTACATTTAGTAGGTACCATATTATTTTATTATATTACTCTTTGTCTAGTATAGACGTGCCACTTGGCCTCGGAGATATGTAGATACCTAGTTTGGTAAAAAACAACACACGTTGTTTTTTACCAAACTAGGTATCGTACATGCGCTATTTTTGACACGGAAATTATTTATGTTATAATTATAAATATAATATATTAAAGAAATTATTTATGTTATAAATAATTTTATAATGTTATAAATAATTTTCCATGTAAAAAATAATATGTCGCAAATAAAAATAACTGTCACTCAGAGTCGGCCAACTCGTGTGTGTAAGTACACTCGGCGACACATCAAGCTACACATTTCCAGTATAACATGGCCTCGCTTTGTTTCAATTTCCCGTACAATAAGAGTACCGCATAAACTGGTTTATATACCTTGATTTGTCGTCGTGCGTACAAGCCCGGCACGCAAACATTCACAACATATTAGTCGGCCGTTACACGCGCAAGCATCAATACTCAGACATAAACTGGACTCAGTTTTGTTTTAGCAGGGTGTTCCATCCAACTTATATTGTTCGTCCATGTTATACCTAAACAGAGCACGAAAATGTAAAGGTAAATAATTTATTCTGCTTATGGAGTAGCGGTATAAAGAGAATAAACTCTTTACCTGTCTAGGCCGTTTGTATTTAGGAAGCTGAAATTAGGTAACGTACCTACTTGTACCGTATGTAAATGTCTCCAAATGTTGTTTAGGTACTAATTTGTAACGTAGTACAGGTGGTTGATTACAAATAAAGTAGTCTAAATAGAGTTGGGTATAAATATATATTTTTATTCTAAAGAACTTTGTTACACTTTATGAACAATACATAAAACAACCCGGTTGTCGAGACGATTCCGATTTCCGAACACAAAGAGTTTACTGTCAGAAGTGATTGAAGATTTAGTAAAAAAACATATTATTATCTAATAACAATAGTAATATTCTCATTCTCAATAGTAATAAAATCGATCTGCTTCAAAATCCTTATCCAAACAAAGTCTGTGTCCGTATTCACAAATGCCAGGTTCGTTTCACATAATAAAATAGCTAAACCTTCGCTAGCAAAATCAGTGTCCGGTATAAAAAAAAAGATCGTTGTACTAGGTAAAACAGATGTCACTAAATATAAAATGCAACGGCACATTGACGAAGCGCAGTCAACAAATTGAATACCTACTAACAATTCCGAGAGGCCAGAGAGCCGAACACGTGCGCCACCGGCGCTCGTCATTCAACTCCCCCGTCTCACCCCGCCCCTACCCCGCACGACTTGTCCCCCGCATACCTCTTACCGCCACTTGGCTAATAAGCAAGTGAGAACGCGATATTATTGAACGAAAAATAGTGTGCGGGAATTTCATAAAACTTGTTCCAGGAAATACGTGTTTTTCAGTAACCCACAAGTTTGTGAAATAAATTTTTGTCATTTAGTCAGTCTCCATTACATTGGCGAGGTTTCTATAAAATAATTTCTTTACTTTTACTATTAGTGAGTACATTATGAACGACCAAAGTTCAGGTAAAATTTATGCAAAAAAGCAGATTTTTGGAGGCTTATACTGAATTTGTTTCTACAAATTTAGATTTTTTGTTTAGATAGGAACCTAGATATAGTGCACAAAATACCTATTAATTATATTATATATTAAAATTTTCAAAGAAAGATCTATTACAACGCCATAATCACATACAAGCTTTTGTATGAAAAGTTAGACGGGTTGGCCGCTCTTAAGGATATTTAATAACACTACTTATAAAAATAACTAATATAAATACTTCTAACAAAAAATAATAAGCTGACTAATAATATATAAAAAGAAAAAGTAAAAATACACATTAAAATATAGCATTTAAATGTGTATTTTTCTTTTCTTACTTTAATACAATTAGACAATGGTAAATAAAGTTGGCAGTACTTAGATATTTTTCACTACATACTTTGGCAGGATTTGGCAGGTTTTAACCAAAATAAGGCAGGATCTGTACTTTAAACATGGTCACACTACGGCAGCACTGGTTGACACTGAAGAGTTTTGGCGGGAACTTGACCGGCGACGGCTTGCTGCTCCTGTATTATAGTTTAAATAATAGTTTGAATTGGATTTTGATATGTAAAAGTGGTGCGATTTTATGTATTAACTGTCAACGCATGTGTACTATTAGTGGAAACGGTGAAACAAGTGCTCTGATGGTGATGTGATTCTCAAGATAAGCTGCTTGTCTGCATAGGCGCCTTGAGATACCATCGCTAACTGTCAGCTGTCTGCTGGCTCAAGTTGCCGTCAAAATCTCCCAAGGGCTGCACAATGTGACGCATCAACATATTGTGAAGCAGTGAACTATGAAGGATAATTATACATTTGGGGAAATTATAATAAACCGAATAAAAATAATCAAGACTTGGCCTAAAGGTCAAGATACCAGGCCATAAACTCAAAAAAAAAACTGGTTGACACTGACAGTTGACAGCTGACACTATAAACGTCAAGCAAGTCTGTCAAGTCAAAATTGAATTTATCTCCGCGCGTACCGTATTTGCGGTTTACAAATGAAACATTTTATTCAGCTTTGTGTACATAAAATCTAAATGTAATAATCACTCATTAAGATAACAACTGCCAAATTTTACAACATCATTCGTTCTTAAAAAAAAAACTATATATATCAGTAAGATGTCGTATAACCTTTATTAGTCCCTAAATCGGTTTTAGTTTGTTTGTCAGTAAATAATATATTGTGTTAAAATGCAAAAGTTACAAGACAGCGTTTTCTCTATCGTTAAAACAACCAATTTGTCTTCAGCAGTGTTTAGTTTTTTGCAACCTACTGAAGATTACACTGGTAAGTTTTAAATAACTGATTTTGAATATTCATATCAATTGAAATTATATCGATTAAAACATTTTACAGATAAAACACCGCTCGGTGGTATCTTACGAGACACTAATTATGGATGGTTGGCTCTTGGTCCTAAATTTTGCGTTGTTGATCTGAGAAGCGGATTAAAAGTTGCGGCACGCACTTTTGGTTCTGGTGTCAGGTAAGTCATCGGATGTGTCCTTGGCACTCCTACACATTTTTTAAAGCAGACTGGTCAATTAACAAACAAATAATTTAAGTTTAATTCTTTTTTTTTAAATGTCTATCACAACTTAATAAGAGTTTCTGGCCAAACAACATCATATGACAATTTAAAAAAATGCCACAAATATTTAACATCCATATATGTCAACATGATCTGAAAATATATTCAAATGAATAATATTAAAGTCTAATTATTGTGTACTAAATTTTGCTTAACCTAATTCTTTATTCCCTGCTCAGGCTAATCCCCTCCTATAACTAGATTTTATTGTGTTGTCCACAATTCGTGTATTTAGTTGTTTTGTTTTGCCAACTCCTTTCCCACCAAGAAGCCTCAAGGCTTCATAACCACAATACCAAGGGCCATATTGATAAAAAAATGTAACAATTTATTTTATGAAATTTTGCTGTATGTAAGCAAGAAATGTAAAAGTTTTTCTTAACTTAGCATATTAAGTAAGATATCATAGAAAGGTCTATTTTAATGATTGTATTCTATGAGAGTGTGGTCCTCCTAACCTGGTCGAGCTGACTCATTCGTGCTACAACCATAATATAGCTGCAGTATAACTCTACCATGTACAAAATTATATTATGTATGATATAATATTATTTTAAATTACATTATGTTACAGTAACAACCGCATCACAGTAACTAGTGTGGTAGAACTACCTACACCATTAACAGACAATTCAAGACAGCTGATTATAAGTCTGGACAATGATAATGTGTCTGGTATGATATGTGTACTCCATGTCAATGGATCACAGATACTGCGATGCATACAAACAGAGGTTGTTATAACAGAACTTACTGTGTGTGATGGTACACCTGATGGACCACTTACAGCATTTGACAATATTGTTGTAGCAGGAACAAAAAGAGGAGAAATTTTAATATTTGATCTCAATAGAGCCAGTTTAATGCAAGGTATGTTTCATTTCTTAAACTACAATTTTTGCTTTAATTCAGCGAATCACTAGTGCAGCATTTAATTTACAATGTTATCAAGCCCAGTGATTAAAACAGTAATAAAAAACCCACCTGTATAAAAGTTAACTGAAAAGAGAAAAGTATATATATTAAAAGTATATATACATGCATACATAGATACACTCTAAAAATGTTACCCTCCTTCTGGACAGTTGGGTAAAAATTAAAAGCTGCACTAGTGACTTGTTTATGTATCTTTATTTGCAAACAGATATTTGGATGCAAAACCTAAAGTTGCAGAGTTACTTATTAAGAGCATATCCTCTTGAATTTATTTTAAAAATATTATGGGGCTTACATCACATGCCCACCAAACATAATTTATTTCTTGCAGAAACTGGTTTTCCCATAATATTTCTTTGCCACAGAATAAACACTTCATTTTTCATCATCATCGACATCAAGAAATTTGACATTTAATGTTATGGATCTTATTGATTTTTGTGGTGCTAACAGAATACATATAAATAAAGTTGAAGTGTCTGCCTGTAATACCAAAAAAACTGCCTCATATTGAACTGTGGGGGTTATTTCAATGCCATTAAGACATAAGACATAATTAAGTGTGCTAACAAAGACTTAAAAGCCCAACTTTTACTTTTAGTATATTTTTATGTAAATATTAAGTACAATTTAACAAATATTTCAAATTTAAAATTAACAAAAATAAGTGAAGCGTAATATCATTATGAAAAAGAAAACAAAAAAATTTATTTTGTTGATTTTTATGTTCGATGGTAACATAATTTTTTTTAGGATAGGTTGACAAATGAGCATACAGTCCACCTGGTGTTAAGTGGTTGCTGTGGCCCATAGACATCTACATCTATCCTCAATAAAGAATCAAAATGCAGATGTGTTGTCACCCGTGAGGACTAAGATGGAATGCCTCTTTTCCAGTAAAAAGGGTCTCCGGTTCTCTACACTCACCATATGAAACACAGCAGTGTTAAGCTGCTACTCTGTTAGAGCATGGTCCTTCCCCGGTCGAGCCGACCTATTCCTGCTACAACTATACTACTAATATTGCTGCGGCATGGCTCTACCACTCTAATTACTACTACTTAAATGTTATTTTGGTTAATTTTCAAAATTTCACATTGTTTTTTGGTCCAAAACAAGTTGTGCAATATACAGTGTAAACTCTATATAACGACACTCAGGGGACTGCATATTTTGACGTTATAGAGAGTTGTCGTTAAATGGAATGAAGAAAAATCTGTATTAGAAAAAAAAAGTTTATTTCAGACCAGTGTTAGTAATTACATAAAAACAATTGTTATTTGAATTTCTGACGACTTTTGCTGCACCAGTAATTGTGTTGTATTTTTTTACTTATTTTATTCATATCTTGCAATATTGAGTCATATTGGTGATATAGAAAGTACTTTTCCAATAATTTTGCTGCTTCAAGAGTTTCTTTAATGGCCGGCAGAGGCTCAGGCTCATCGTCTTCATCGCCTTATTCTTGATCATCAGTTTTTCTTACCGAATCCAAAATTTATTTGTCTTTTTCTGTAAATTTTTCTGCCATGTTGAATTGTTGAATCCACTCAGTTAATGGAAGGTCGTTGTCACTATCAAACTCCGGTTCCGTTTCTACCTCATCACTCATAGAATTTGTAAAGTCCAGCTAGTCGAAAAGAGTGTTGTATAGTTATGGGTGTCACTTCTTTCCAGGCTTTAGATAAAAAAATTACTGCATGCAGCATTTTAATAGAAGTTTTATCATCAGATTCTACTAGCTCCATCAATAATTTCCTTCTGTAGTGACCCTTGAGGCTTTTAATCACACTTTGATCCATTGGCTGCAATACACTAGTCATATTTGGAGGAAGAAATGTCAACTCTATGTTTTGAAGGTTTGATATAAGAGGGTGGGCAGGGCAGTTGTCAACAAGAAGTAAAATTTTAGTCCCTTTAATTCTGCATCCCATTTTCGCAATTCTTCTTCAAAAAGATGACTGGTCATCCAAGCTGATTTATTAGCTGTATATGTCACTGGCAATTTTTTAATGTTCTTAAAACACCGCGGATTTTTCGATTTGCCTATTACCATCAGCTCTTTCTTTTCTATGCCATCCATGTTAGCAACCACCAGCACTGTAATACACTCCTTGGAGAGCTTTTCTCCTACACACTTTTCCCCTTTAAATTTTAGAGTTTTATCTGGTGTCAACTTACAGAAAATTCCTGCTTCATCAGTATTCAAAATGTCACTTGGGGCGTATTTTTCTGTCAATTTTGACCTCACTCTATTAATCCAGTCATGAGTAACATTTGTATCAACACTTCGTGCTTCTCCAATAATTTTACCATAGTTGATATGATGACGTTGTTTGAATTTTCCGAGCCATCCTTCTGATGATTTGAAAGAAGTTAAACCAAGTTCTTCAGAAAACTTCTCCGGCTTAGCTTTTACAAATGAGTTTGTCGTTAAATCGAGTGACGTTACATGGAGTTTACATTGTATTTAAAATCAAATGTAGTTTATTTCTACTACATAAATAAATGCTATTTCAGCTTTGAAAGACATTTCACAAGGATACGAAAATTTAGTTCTTAATGAAGAGAATCCAACATATATCAAATTCTTACCTCTCAAAAATTTGAATCAAATTGAAGAGCAGAGAGAATTAGCCTTGGAAAATAATGACCACCTAGGTGTTATTTTAAATGAAGATTCATTATTTGATGGACAATATATTTTCCGAAACCCTGATGGCACTGTCCGGATGAAAGCTAAAAGAGATCACATTAGAGTGACTAGTGTGGAGTACATACCACAACTAGGAAGTTTAGCAGTTGGATATAACTTCGGAGCTTTCCAACTGTGGAATCTTTTGACTTTAGACTTGGAATTTACCTCTCAAGTCAATGTTGAATGCTTGCCAGTCACTCATTTTGGATTTCAGGTAACAGTAACTCACTCATTTTTATATCTCAGTAAATATGATAAAATGTCATTATTATATTAGGTAACAAGATACTGAAGTTATTCCAAAAATGCTGTTATCACCTTAAAATGAACATAATTAAACAGTAAATCTGACTTATGGATATGAGATTAAGGTCCTTCACTGCTGTCTGTATAAGGAAGCTCAAGGTTGCTGAGCAAGCTGTGGAGAAGATTATTTCATGATAAAGTTCAAAATGAGGATATCTTCAGTAGAATAAGAGTAGCTGACATAGCATAATAGATAAGTAAGCTGAAATAGCAATGGGTGGGGCATATAGCTCAATCACCCTACAACTGATGAGGAAAGAAGGTTCTCGAATGGCAGCCTCATACCTACCTGTAAGCGAAGTGTAGTGCGGCTAGCTGGTAAGGTTGCAGGAAGTCGATGGATGCAGGTGGTTTAGTGTCTGTGTTTTGGGGCAATCTTGGGGGAGGCCTATGTTCAATGAAGGGCTGTATTGATAATGATAATGAAATATGAAATATATTTTAAAACAAACTTGTATAAGCGTTTTTATGGCCTGCATCGGGCGTCAGATTGTCATCAGATACATTATTATTGCTTCTGCTTCAAAAATTGTTTACAAACTTTGAAATAGAATGATAAACAAAAAACCAAGCAAGTTAATGAAAAGCTTCTAATAATATATTTAATTAAGGATTGTGATTGATTCTGCCTAATTTCATGTTATATTTCATTTAACCACTAAATTTATTTATTGCAACACAAACAAGCTTATGCTTACAACCCACAGTTATGGTTTATGTGACTTGTTTTCTCAAATTTTTATTATGATTTTAAGGAACCTTGTGATGATCCCAGAGCATTTTGTTACCTATGGGTTGTTTTCTCAGTAATAGATAGATTTGAGGAAGAAGAGTTCCCTCTGGCTGTGATGTATTCATTGACATACCAAGGAAAAAGGATTTTGTCTGAGACTAAATGTTTATATCAGGTAGGTGTTTGAAAAAGCTTATAATTATTCACAAATATGCACACACCCACACACATAGTTATATAGAAAGAATAAGGGTGACAAACAAACACACCATCCACCTGACGCTAAGTGGGTGCTGTATCCTCGATTAAGAAGCAAAAGGCAAATATTCAAACAAACATTATATATAAACACACATTTTATACATGTGGTAGAGCCATGCTGCAGCTATATTCGTGGACCACGCTCTCATAGAAGACCAGCGTAAAATGCAGCTTATTTTGTATGGTAAGTATAGAAAACCGGAGACCCCTTTTACTGGAAACGAGGTATTCCATCTTCGTCATCACAGGTGACAATGCATCTGCATTTTGATTTATTGTCAAGGATATATGTAGATGTCGATGGGCCACAGCGACTAAGTACCATCAGCAGGGCTATTCACAATCGTCTCGGAAAGCGAAATCGACTCGGATTCGATAACTTCTCGCACCGAAACCAATAAACGCTATTAACATTTAACGTTCGGATAAAGGTCACTTAGATACAGCCCATAACTATTGTATCGTCATTTAGTTACATGCATTTACGAATTTTGTAGATAAATAGGCTTTTGTAATTTTTTAGAGTAACGCCTGCACAAAAACATAATGCAATATTTTGGAGTTAGCCATTGATATCGAATATAAAAAATATATAATTTAACTATATAATAAATAACAAAAAAACTGAGATATGTCTCGTTTCTGTCGGGTCTGGGTTTTTTCTATGGGGCGTTCTTTGACGTTTGTTTTCGATAATTGTGACAGTTTGCATCGGAAACTTTACGAGAGCTCTGAGGCTGGCGAAAACTTTTCGAATATTAGATTGATTAATTTCGATGATTAGAAGAGATAAATAAACCCTTTTAATTATAAGGTAGGTAACAAAAATTAATTACAATTATCTATAAGACGTATTTTCATATAATTACTTCAATATTTGCACTTAATCGTAAAGCTGAATTTTTGTGAAAGGTGTGTTTTTATAAGTTTTCTATCACAAATATATATATATATATATATATATATATATATATATATATATATATGCTGCTTTGTGAAACGAGACATATCTCAGTTTTTTTGTTTTTAAATTATATATTTTTTATATTCGATATCAATGGCTAACACCAAAATATTGCATTATGTTTTTGTTTAGGCGTTACTCTAAAAAAATACAAAAGCCTATTTATCTACAAAATTCGTAAATGCATGTAACTAAATAACGATACAATAGTTATGGGCTGTATCTAAGTGACCTTCATCCGAACGTTAAATGTGTATAGCGTTTATTGGTTTCGGTGCGAGAAGTTATCGAATCCGAGTCGAATTCGCTTTCCGAGACGATTGTGAATAGCCCGGCAGGTGGACTGTGTGCTCGTTTGTCACCCTTATCAACAAAAAAAAACATACACTCATATACAAAATAAGTCTATGTATTTTTTACCTAATATCTGAATGTTGTCCTAGGACTTCTCATCAGCAACGATAAGGTTCCAAGTTGAACTAAGTGTTTCAGAAGATGTGAAATATCTTCTTGGAGGGAAATGCGTTTCATGTCACACCTACTCTATTAGCTCTCCTTTAGGAGAAGAAGGTGAAGATAGTAAGTATCTTTTAATTTTATCCATCTAGTTTCCCAATAAAATTTTTTTTTAAATAGCTGAGATTATGTGTACAATATGTGTAGATATAATTATAGAAGTTTTACATACATACATATACATATACACTCACGCCAGTCACCCAGAGGGGTAGGCAGAGACTACGGACTTCCATTTGGCGCGATCCTGAAACACCTCTCTCGCCTCTTTTACATCCATATATCTACGCATACACGCTCGTCGGTTAAGGGTACTCCTAATCTGGCCCATTTTTAATGTATCGCCGATTTGGTCGATAAACCTTCGTCTAGGGCGTCCCTTCCCGACCCTGCCGTTCACTTCTGCAACATAAATTTGCTTTGTCACTTTCCTCGTTCATTCTTTCTACGTGACCAAACCACCGAAGCATTCCTTTCTTAATCCTTGTCACAACGTCATCTTGCAAACCACACTTTTGTCTTATTACACTATTTCTCACCCTGTCATTCAGATTCAGCCCTAGCATACTCCTTAAGGTGGCACAAGTCGCGGGCTCGAACTCGCTGGTGGGCGCGGCCAAAAAGCACGCTGTCTCACCTGGCATCGTGCCCGACAGAGATAGTATCAGTGATGAGCATATCGACACTAGTATTCACGCATGTCTTGTTCGTACGGTGTTCCGAACCGTTAGAATAAAAACGAAGTTACACGAACACGATGCAACATCTATACCTAATATAATAAAGCAGAAGAGGGTTTTTGTTTGTCGTGCTAATCTCTGGAACTACCAGTCCGATTTGAAAAATCTTTTTTTGGATATTATAGCCAGATTCATGTTGAATAGTATAGGCTATACAGCATTAGGCTATATATAGGAAGTCAGAAGAAAAAGCGCTGTTATGGTTCGGGATACGTAAATACAATGTTCTAGAAAAATATAGATCTTTACTCCGTCTAAAAAAAGTCCGCGATACCATATGTCTATTTCTTATATATAAGCCACAATTAGGCATTTTGTGACAAAAAAAATGAAAATTTAATTATTAGGCACCTTACGAACCAAAGTTACTTCATTATCAAGACAATTTTATGAAGATAAACTTCGTTCTTTATACCATGTTTATATAGTACATAGTTTAAGAAATAATGTAAAATTAAAATAATTCAATACCTACTTGGCTTGACGCGCAAACAACGCATAACCCCTAGCCCGGTGCGAACTGAGAAGCCAGTATTGAAAGCTTCTATGAGCGAGGTTAGGTTAGCCGTTAGTTCAATCGTTATCTATATATACACAAATAAATAAAATTGAAGTGTCTGTTATAATGTCAAAATAACAGCTTTTTACTAATTGCGTATGAAACTGTATACGGTACTTATAACATTAACACAATTTTTAACATTTTTGTATGTCTGTCAGTCTGTTTGTTGCGGTTAATTTCCAAAACGGCTGGACCGACTTGGGCGGGACTTTCACTAGTAGATAGCTCATGTTATAAGAAGTAACTTAGCCTGCTTAAATTTTAGAAAAATTATTAGGTGTCTTTGCAACAATATTAACGCCCTAAACTAAACGCGGACGAAGTCGCGGGGTACAGCTAGTAGCTAAAATAAATTCAAAATTAATTGAGTACTTTTATCTATCTCCCGGGTGAGCGTAGCAATGATTAGTTACATCTTTATTTCTGAACTCTTTAATTTCACGTTGCTATGGTATTTTGAAAGTTTAAATTTAATTAATTAATAAGTATAAGAGGTTGATAGCAAATTTATCAAGAATCATTTCTTGCCTACACACTTTTCATGAATCGTGTACGTTTTTCTTTAAAACTGGAACAAACCGCGCATAATATGCCGACAGATAAAATAAAAGTACTCCATTAATCATGACAATTTTTCCATATATTACAATAAAATAAAATATTTGATTGCAATTATAAAATGCTGGAACTAGGTGTCATGTCATGCCACGCATCTCGGACACGTGATGACGCGGGTGAATCCACGAAATTATTAGGTATACGTCTGTGGCTCTATATACCTAATATAGATTGCTTATTTTATTATGTTTAGTTTTCCCCGAGTGGTCATGCAGCAATCACTCAAGAGTTCGGCTTCGAACGTGTGTAACTCGATAATTATCCCACGGCAACGAAATATCTGAATAAACGGTATCATATATGATATTTGGCAGCTCCGTGGCGCAGTGGCTTAGCAATGAATTGTTGTACTGGGAGCCGCGGGTTCGAATCAATCGAACAAGTATTTGTATGGTCTACAAATAATTGTTCCGGGTCTGGATGTTTGTAAACTGCCTCCACGATACAGGAGAAAATCCTAGTGTGGGGTAAAGTTTTTTTGAAAAAAAAATTCCGGACTATAGCCTATCTCTGAGCAAAATATCATCCAGATCCCTTCAGCCGTTCTGGCGTGATTGAGTAACATACATCCATTCATCCGTCCATCCAAATATCCCAACTTTCGCATTTATAATATTTAGATAATAATCGTAATTGGTCTGCCTACCTATAAATTGTTTTCAAAAATACTTACTTACCTGGCTTCTTATTTTTTTATATATACTCAATATCACTAAACGTAAACACAGGTTTTTATCAAGACAAGTGACCCATCAAGATTGTTTTCTTAGTACCGACGTACCTACCTAAAGTTTACAATTTTGTGGCCACGACGCGGCGAGGTTTTGTGACATTTTGTTGTATTGTTGATTGTAGGTATCTAGGTAATAACAGTAGGTACCTATGAAAATCCCACATAATATACTTTGTTTATCCGCCGCAAAAGTCGTCTAATAAATAATTAAACTGTTTTGTAATTCTTTATTTATTTATAACACTTGCATTGAGAGCCGTGGTAACTCAGATGGTTAGCGCTCGCTGTAAGTATCACATTACGCGAGCAACCCGGGTTCGATCCTCGTCGGCACCAATGAAATTGTTGCAATTTTATATAGTAATCGAATATAGACTTTACTTTTTTTACTTTTATAATTATATTATATTACAGACGAAAATTTTAAAATATTGTCTGTCGTCCAAAACGCATCATCTCTTTCAATTATATCAATTTCCATGCCGTCTTTTGTCTTTGGCGTCCAAATTACAAAATAGCAAAACTTTTCGTTTCGAATAAAACTCGAATACTTATAAGCGCGCGTCACCGCCTGTGCATGTGTGTGTAAGCATCGTCCTCCCGCACCGCACCGGGGGAGACATTATTCAGTGAGATGCACGATAATTCATAGTAACATGCGCGCGTAAAAAAATACGAAAAGGCCTTTGGAAGAAGGGGTTTTATGAAAAAACCACTGCATTAATCAATTACAAATAAAATTTATTGAGTTCTTCGATAATTTACCTGTGTCGGTACCGACTTTGTTTTGGAAATTTTACACTTCTTTTATTACTAATTTACGCCCAAAGTTGTGTTAAAATTGGCAATAAAAACGAATCTTTGGTAGCTCGTAACTTTTTAATAACATTTTATTTTACTATTCTGTTTCCGTACAGACAAATTTAATAATGAGACAAAACGATATCATGTTTAATTTTGGATGTACACTGTCAAACAGCGGAGTAAAACCCCTCCGAAATTTCTATGGAAATAATGTCGACTAGTGTCACCTTAAGGAACGCATTTCTACAGCATTTATTCTACTCTCATGCTTCTTCTGCCAGACCCAACTTTCACTACCATACATTAAAGTGGGTACTAACACAGCATTATGAATTGCCATACGTGCCTTAGTTGACACATTCTGACTCCTCACAATAGCGTGTAGAGCCCCATTCACTCTATTTCCTGCGTTCACTCGTCGTTCTATATCCTTATCATATCTACCATCCCTGCTAAATAAACATCCCAAATATACAAACTCATCCACTTGCTCTACCAACTCCCCTTCTATTCTTATTTCACATAAAGTTTTACTTTCTTCTCTTTCAAAAACCATCACTTTCGTCTTACTTGCGTTCACTTTCATACCCCTTTCTTTCAATGACCAATTCATTAAAGTAACCATCATTTGCAACTCGGCCGCCGACGATGCAAATATGACTTGATCATCGGCGTACAAAAGGCATTTGACGGTTGACTCACCCATTCTCAACCCACATTCTTCAACTTTCAAAGTTAGAAGTTTTATTAATCTTTATAATGAAATTCTGTTTGGTGCATATTATGTTTGAATACGAGGGCGGCACTGAAAATTTCGGGAATCAAGGAAGTGACACAACATTACTATTTAAAAATGTATTTATTGCTTTTCGAAGTATTCTCCGCAAAATTTGATACATTTTTCCATACGATGGAACCAATCATTTATTTATTTATTTATTTATAAGGGTCACCGACAGATGATACACAGATACTAAAAACAAGATCCAAGCATTGAGAGAAACATGAAATGTGCTCACCCAGTTATAGGCAACCACAGCTTACACAGAGTAATGTTGCGAAAAGTTAATTATCATAAAATTTAATATTACAGTAGCAAAATTGCGTATTTATGATAAATTAAAAAGGGTTTACATTCATCATTAAGATTCTAAATAAAGTAACATTTTTCTTCTGAAAATATTTAAATTGTCATTGAAAATATCTAAATCAGAAGGCTAGATATATCATTATACAGTCTAAACATTCTGCATAATGCTGAATTAAGACCGAGGTTAGTCCTATGAGGTGGGACCATAAACAGCTTGTAGACATTCAATCGTGGTAATCTGCTTGGAGCATTAATGTTAACCATTTCCAGTAATTGAGAACAGTCGATGCCATTATTGCACAGTTTATAGAGGAAGCTCAAATCCAAAGTTTCCGCCTGTTATATAAGGAAGATATACGGAAATGTTTTAGCCGTTCATCATATGAAGTTAAGGAGCGATGTCGGTTAAATTTCAATGCTAGCATACTAAGAAACCTCCGCTGTACTCGTTCAATTCCACTCTTATGAACCTCATAGTAAGGTGACCAAACTTGAGAACAATATTCAAGGTTGCTTCGAACTAAGCTGTGAAAGAGTAGTAGTAAAGTTTGAGTATGTCTGAACTGTCTGGTGTTTCTACATAAAAATCCGAACATTTTGGACGCCTTCGTTATAATACTGTTTATATGTGGTACGAAAGACAGTTTACTATCCAACAATACGCCCAGGTCTCGTATACACTCTACTTGATTGAGTACTGTGTTGCCAATTTTGTATGTAGTTTGGATAGGAGTATGTTTGCGAGTGAACGACATATGATGACACTTTTTAGCATTCAGAAGCATACTGTTTTGAGTACACCACAATTTATTTACAATTTATTCTTTATTTTAGGGAAAGTATAGAAATCATTAGGGCTTAGGTCGGGGCTGTACGGCGGATGGTCTAATAATTATATGTGTTCTTGCTCTAAAAACTCTTTTGTTCTGTGTGCGGTGTGAGAACTCGCATTGTCGTGATGGAGGATGATGCGGCGGTTGCAGTTCTCTTTACGGAGTTCAGAAACGACCTGTGGCAAACAAATGCTAGCATACCATTCTGCATTAACCGTTCTTTGTCCCTCAAGAGGAATAGTCGTAACATGGCCGGTGTTGGAGACAAACGTGGCCACCATTTTTTTTGCAACACTCCGTGAACGAACAATTTTTGTTGGTTTTAACTCATTTTCGAACACCCAAACTCGTGACTGGTTTTTTGTTTCGGGTTCGTACGCGTATATCCAGGATTCGTCACCTGATACGATGTTGTATACAGCATTTGAGGATCCTGCGTGGAATCTTTCGAGAGTTCTGATACACCAAGTAACGCGAGCCGCTTTTTGCTCTTCACAGAGCGAATGCGGTATCCATCGGGAAAACAACTTTTTTACACCTAATTGTTCATGCAAGATTATTTGTATTTGACTCATGCCAATGTCTAAAGCTGCCTGAATTTCGCGGTATGTCACATGTCGATCTTCCTCAATCAGCTTACGCACAGCATCAAAGTTTTCTTGGGTGACTGCAGTTTTTGGACGACCTTGACGGGGATCATCACTGAGCTTGACACTTCCACGTTGAAATTCAGCAAACCAGCGATAAATTGTGGTTTTGGATGGGGCTTCATCACCAAATGCAGAAATCATCCGGTCAACAGACTGTTTTTGTGTTAAACCACTTCGAAAGTCATAATAAATCATCGCTCTTGAATTTTCTCAAGTCAATTCCATTTTCTCAACGACTAAACAAGTTTGACAAAACCTTGTGATAAGACCGAGAATCTTTTTTTAAATAAATAAATGGTATTCAATTTTAAAAAACCAAGGAGTTTTCAATTAAAAAGATTCTAATATGACAGGAGCAGTGGAAATATTACATTCCCGATACTTTTAGTGCAGCCTATGTATAATTGACAATGTCAAAATTAACTTTTATAGGTATGCTCAACATGTGCCAACTAGTGTGGGAGTGTTGGGGTGAACATGCTAACTCAGCAGGGCAATACGGGATGCTGCTGTTTGATCTAGATCAATGGTACAAGGACCAAATGCCAGGTATGTTGCATTTTATATGACAGTATTGTATATTTCGAGATAAATTTGTGGCTTTGTAAAAATCTTTATGATATATCACTCATGTCAAATTGTAGGTAGGACTTACACCAGGGTTTTATTTTAAATTGAAATTAAAATTTGTTTATTTACATTTTACATAATTACAATATTTTAAAGTGTAAGCAAATGGAATGAATACTAACCAAATTAAATGTTGAATGTATTTTATTGCTTAATCTTTATATATATATACAATTCTTTTGTATGTGTGTTTGTAACTGAATTCCTCGATTTAGATTTGCATTTAATGACTCAAGAATTCCATCTTTTATTGGTTTTAAAATTTAACTTGTTTAACTTGCAGCGACATACCGTTTAGAGAGTAATGCATTTATGAGTGTTACTTGGTGTGGTGCATTAGGCTCGGGTTGCCTCACGCTGGACGTTCGCCTCAATCCGACCTCGGTTGTGCCCTACTCCCATGCCACGCGTCTTGAGGAACACTTCTACCCCAACTCCTTACAATACAGTAAGTACTGTTTGTTCATTAACCACTAAACTGTTAACTGACAAGCATGTATGCCATAAATATATGGATGTAAAAAATGCGAGGTGTGTGATGACCAAATGCAAGTCTGTATTCTCTGCCTACCCCTCTGTGTGAAACGCGCGAAAGTCTATGTATGTATATTTGTTATTAATTCATTTACACTTTGTCTACAGACTGTATATGCCTGAATACTTCCGAAGCGAATGTGTTAGGCACGATCGGCGTACAGCGACAGATCATAAACTCTATAGATGAGGCGGGGCCTACTGTGCTACTGTCTCCAGCAAGACTGTACCATGCCTGCGTGACTGCTGGACTGTCGCCATTATATGTTGATACTTACTTGCATTCATATGGGAGAACTGTGAGCCAGGTCAGTGTAACCAAGATAATGGTCTTTTTTGTTTACTTTTTAATTTTTACGTTAAAGAAATAAAAGAGTTTAATCACCACAAAACTGAACCTAATGTGCCAAGACGTTCTTCTCTACATAATTTATGATAATTGTATAATCATGGTTGTCATTTGTAATATTCATAAATACCTATATAATATATACAACGCTCCCACACAGAACAAACATATTCCAGGTTTGTCCCTGTGAAATTTATGTAAACGATACACGAGGAAATTCTTTGGTAGGAGCAATGGTTCTGTAAGAATATAAAAAAAAATATTATCAAATAATTGAATAGTAACAGAAACAGAAACTTTTTTATTCAATATAGATTATAAATAATACTTATTGAAAGTCATTCTTTTGTTTAATTACCACTGGTTCGAAAAAAAAACCTCTGTCCTGGGTAGAACCAGCAAGAAACCCAGTGAGACTTTTTATTTTAAATAACAGCTTAAAATCACGTATGTTACACAAATTAACAACACAACAAATTAGAAATAGCTTGGTAGCGATCACCTCATTTCCAGGGGTTATTATTATCCATAAATTCTTTAATATTATAATAACCCTTTTTATACAAACTTAGTTTAATAAAGTTTTTGAATTTTGAGCAGGTCAAATTTTGTATATTTTCTGGAATTTTGTTGTAAAAGAGTATACATCGCCCCAAGAATGAATTACTGACTCGATGGAGTCGAGTAACTGGTACTAACTAGCTTGTGTCTGTTCCTAGTATTTACAGAATGAATATCACTTATTTTTGTAAAACTACTTTTATTTTTGTGTATGTACATTACATTTTCATAAATGTATTGAGAGGCCAAAGTTAATATATTAATTTCCTTAAATTTTTGTCGCAGCGACTCTTTAGGCTTTAAATCATAAATTGCTCTTATGGCCCTCTTCTGTAAAACAAATATAATTTCAGTGTCAGCTGTGTGTCCCCATAGTAAAATAGCATACGACATTATGCTATAGAAATAGCTAAAGTAAATTAGTCTAGCTGTTTCAACACTGATAAGACTTCTAATCTTTTTAACAGGATATGCTGCAAAACTAAGTCTGCTTGCTAGTTTTGATATATGGGGGCTCCATTGAAGCTTCGCGTCTATTGTGATTCTAAGAAAAATGGTGGTATCTACAAGACTCTGTTTCTGCCCATTTAAAATTACATTAGTATTTAATTGTTTGACATTTGGAGTTATAAATTTCATACATTTCGTTTTAGTGCCATTTAAATGCAAATTATTAACATTGAACCAATTTACTAATTTAGATATAGCATTATTTACTTCGTCATATTTTAGTAATTGTAGACTTAATTTGGAAATTAAAGAAGTGTAATCTGCAAATAATACTATATCATGGTTATCCCCTACTATGTAAGATAAGTCATTAATGTACACAAGAAACAGAAAGGGGCCGAGAATTGAGCCTCGAGGCACGCCCATTTGTACTATCGACCCGGAAGAGCTCATACTGTTAGTGACAACTTTTTGCGTTTTTTTACTTAAATATGAAATAATTAATTTAAGAGCATTACTTCGTACACCGTAGTGTTGAAGTTTCCTGATTAATGTTTCATGGTGAACACAATCGAAGGCTGGATAGGTCACAAAATATAAAATAGTTGCACAGCTCATGTCTTATGGAAAACCATAAATCATGGGTTATTGTGTAATCTTAGCTGGTGTGTAACAGCATTTTGTTTTACCTATTACTAATTTAGCACAAGTCAGTTTCTGCTAGAATACAACTTGCGACTCACTAGATGCCAACGCAATCAGACAGAAAACCGACGTTTTCTTACTTTAAACTTTTGTTCACAGGAGGAACAACGCAGGTTCCTGTTGTCTGTAGCACTCGAAGCCCGTCTCTCGCGTTTCCTGAAGCGTTGCGCACATGATTGGGCGACTGGCACACATAGTGGCATGGGATGTACTCTCAGCTTTTTAGTAAGTATTCAATTGAATGTTCTTTTTAGTAAGTGTTCAATTGAATGTTCTTTTTAATAAGTGTTCAATTGAATGTTCTTTTTAGTAAGTGTTCAACTTAATGTTCAATTGAGTGATAAATAAAATATTTCTAGGATGTGAAGTCTGACAACACGTATTGTAGTAGTGCAGCAGACTCATTGATCGATTCATTCATTCATTAAATCATCATTACAGCCTCTCAAAAGTAATGGACGGGCATATGTACCCGCAGAATATTGGCAATGGTATCTTCCTGACTAAATAATTTATAAAAATAAATAAAAATGAAGTGTCTATTTATAATGTCAAAATAACATCTTTTTACTTAATGCATATGAAAATATATACAATATTATAAATAGAAACAATTTTATAAATAGAAACAATTTTATAAATTTTTGTCTGTCTGTCGGTCTGTTTATTCCGGTGAGAGGTGGCCTGTGTTCAGCAGTACGACATTTAAAGACTAAACATACATCGGGTACATCGACCAACACGAGCGAAGCAGTCAAAGGCGGGGGTCCGCACACCCCCACTCGGACAGCGGTTAAATAGCTCAAAAAACCTCAACAGAGGGTACATGATGATTGGTGACAATACCAAATCATAAGCCATCACCATCCTCACCATCATCATCATCATCGTTATTATTATTATTATTATTATTATTGCCTTTCCCTTTTTTAAATAGGATCCTCTGATTCCACAGAACTTTGGAATATATAACTTGTTTATGATCCGAGTTTGATCCTTTTTTTGAGTTGAACCATTTTTGCGTAATTATATTCAATTAATTATTTACAATTTAGGTGGACTGGTGTTGGAGAAGAGCTATTGAACTAAAAGAAAATGCAAAGGAACTCGCAGCGCCGTTGTTTACTTCGTCCACCCTGCCAGATAGGTAACTTTACTTGGTTTTTTTTTTAATAGCATTAAATATATATTTAGCGTGATAAGCAAGTGATTTTCCATTACTTTTAACAATTACTTAAAAAACTTTTTTAAGTAAGCAATTTTTTTATAGCAGAATCATGAATCAGCTCAACCTGGGAAGTACCACGTTCTCACAGAATACCATTTTAAAACAGTCAACCCGTATTACTGTAAGCAGTGCATTCCAATTTAGTCCTCAGGGGTGAAAACAGATCTGTATTTTATAGCTTTTAATCGAGGTTAGATATAGGCGACTTATTCAGGCAGGACAATGTGCTTATTATATCAATTCGTTCATCCATCCATAACAGCCTATAAAAGTCCCTGCTGAACATAGACCACCTCCATAGATTGGAGGATTTTGTCATAGTTGCCACGCTTTACAAGTGAGTTCGCAACTGCAGTTTTTTTAATATTTTAAGTTGATATCTTAGCTGCTACCTTATAACCAATGTTTCAAATTCCCTCTGTCCATGGGACAATATGGGGTAGTACATATTCTTACCACCGCTACTACAATAAATATAAATATAAATACTTATTTGATATAACTATTCAGTCATATCAAATGAAGTTCAGATAATATATGTTTCTAACTGAAGTGACATATAAGCTATCAGTTCACCTGATGCTGCAACTCATGGATACTTGCAACCAACTTCAAACAAAGTCGCTACAAATGCATTATCACCTCTGAGAACCAAGATAAAATATCTTACAGCTTGTACTGGCTCTTTTTAGACTGAAACACAGCAGTGCAGGCACTGCTGTTTGTCGGCAGGGGTAAAGATCTCTGGACCAGAAAATGTGTCCTACCACTGTTTACATGTTTATATATGTTTTCTTTATTCAGGAATATTGTGAGATGCCTGGAGCATTGCGTTCAACAGTTGACACAACTGACCGGCCTTCTGGATGCAATCCTGACTAAGTGCTGCAATCTGGTTGTCCCTGATGGTATGTATTATAATGCATATATAATTCACTAGGCTGAATGCATTATCTTTTGACATGTGTAAAGACATCAATTTCCTGCATATCCATAATACACGATTTGTATATTGTCTAATACATACAAATATTTTTTAGTGATTAGTTGGAGTTCTGATAAGTTGGAGGAGTTAAGTAATAAGTTTAAGTGCTGATAAGCTCCAAATTTATTACATCCTTTTTTGAGTGCATCATAGAACATGCTTCAATTACCGATCTGTTATTGTTTTTCATTACGTATATACTATGCTTTTGTAATAATATTTACTTTAAAAAAATTACAAAAACAAACCTGTAGTTTCTTCTACTGTTGTTTCTTCTCCGTTTATTAAAGAAATTTTTACAAAAAGGGTTATTATAATACCAAAGATTACATAAATGAAAATAATCCCTGTGAATGAGGTGATCGCCACCATGCTGGTTCTATGAAAATTCATTTAAAAATTGTACAAACAAAATTATTGATTGTAAAGTGAAAAATTAAAAAAAAAGTCCCACGGGGTTTCTTGCTGGTTCTTCCCAGGAAAGAGGTATTTTCCGAACCATTTGTAAATAAAAATATGACTTATAATAAGTAGTATGTAATAATCTATATGGAATAAAAAATATTCTATTCTATTCTATTCCGATCAGAGGAACCTCATTTTGAAATGGTAGTGGATTTGAAAAAATCGACATTTGACCAACTTAATTTTATTTTCTTACTTCAAAAAATAAATATATTTAATTTCATATAAATAAATAATCACGCCTGTCACCCAGAGGGGTAGGCAGAGACTACGGACTTCCATTTGGCACGATCCTGACACACCTCCCTCGCCTCCTTTATATCCATATACGCATACATGCTCGTCGGTAAAAGGTATGGCCCATTTTAAATATATCGCCAATTTGGTCGATCAAGGTATATTCTTTGTCTAGGCTAGGGCGTTCCTTCCCGACTCTGCAGTAGTGTTTAATTTTTAATAAGTATTTTTTTAGTCAAACTCAATACCAGTATAGTTATAAGATTGCATTTTATAGACATAATCTGGATCAATCACAATTATTCACAGCTGTCACAGTAACCGCAAATAATGAATACATGACAATTTATAAAAACTAAATGTTAATATATAACTACTTAGAAAAAAAAATAGCAACAATAGCTTTGTCTATTTTGTTACAGGTTAAATACTATAATATATTGATGAGTTTGTAATATGTATAAACATACAGTTTCATTTTTTCCCTTCGACAGCACTCAGTGAAATGGAGGAGAAATACAAAGGCATAGGCACAGTGTCATTGTACTTCCAAGTAGTGCAGTGGTTCTTACGTGTGGGATTACTACCAGAGCGGCATGACGCCTTCGAAGCGCTCCCGTATCCAGCGCACCAGCTGTACAATGTTTATAAAAAAAGGTAATCATATCAACCTGTAACATTCTTGATAGGACAGGGACATCTTTCTATGTTGCTTAGGATTTGCTAAAACTGCCATGCTTGGCAGGTGGGCAGGCTTTTGAACATTTGAAGTTGCTATACGTCGCTGGTCCAGGTATTTTAAGTATGTCATAAACCAGATACTATACTACCGTCTATCGGAGGCTATGAGATCTTTTTGGTCTTACCTGTTAGGACACCTAAGGAACGAAATGGGGTTTCCGCCATCCCCTTTGCACTCAGTCGGTAAATTTCGACAAATTTCAGTTGTGTCGAAAGTGTATTTTTTTAATTTGATGCAACTACCTTTTATTTTTAAGCGATTTCAAAAAGGAGAAGGTATTCAATTCGACTGTTTTTTGTTAATTTTTTTTTTATAGGATAAGGGTGACAAACGACCACACAATCCACCTGATAGTAAGTGATTGCTGTGACCCATAGACATCTACAATGAAAAGCTGATGCGTTGTCACCTATGAGGACTAAGATGGAATGCCTCGTTTCCAGTAAAAAGGGTCTCCGGTTCTCTACACTCACCATACGACGAAACACAGCAGCATTAAGCTGCTATTTCACGCTGGTATTCTGTGAGAGCGTGGTCCTTCCCCGGTCGAACAGCGACCCATTCAAGCTACGACTATACCAGTGGTATAGCTGCAGCATGGCTCTACCACGTTTGTGTGTTACCTCATAACTTTTTTCTAGCTGAACCGAATTTGATGATTCTTTTTTTATTTGGCATCTCATGTAATCCCATATAAATTTGATTTATGTCTGACCAGTGTAGTTTTTGAGTTATCCTTAATAATTTACATCGAAGTCGGTTGTACAAACCGCTTACCACTATTCTATAATTAAACATAACTACTCGGCAGTAAAGAAAACTTCGTAAAGAATCCTGCATTTCTCAGAAATTAAAACTAAATGTTTAGAAGACCTCGCCTCTTCCGAATCCTATGGCAATTTATAGCATGGCTATAATAATATGGGATTCTCTTACGCCGGCATCACACATCCAATTTTATTAAAACAATATATTATAACATTGTTTCAGACGCTTGAAGCTACATCGGCTACAGGATAACGCACCGCAAGACGAGGAGGCAGCACATCGGTCCTGTTCACTTTTATACATTGATCAACTCATAGAACACGAGTTTGGCGGGAAAAGAATACATGAGTAAGTTCCATTTTTTTGATCTTATTTACTGAACTTTTTTGCAGGTTTACAGCCGAAGTTGATTTCAAATATGAACCATCTCCATATACCCAAACACAAACCACACAACTCCACATACACAAACCATTTCAGCATACCTTTCTCAATTTTTGTCACTACATCTTCTTTCAGACCACAATGTTTCCTTATCTCACTATCTCTTATCCTGTCACTCAGTTTAACTCCTATCATACTTCTTCACGCTCTCATCTCAACTGCATTTATTCTGCTTTCATGTTTCTTCTGCCATACCCAACTTTCACTTCCGTACATGAGTGTCGGAACCAACACCCCCTCATGCACAGCCAAACGAGCCTTGTTAGACACCTTCCGACTGCTCATAAAGGAGTGCAAAGCTCCATTCACCATGTTTCCTGCATTCACTCTTCTTTCGATATCATTCTCACACTTTCCATCTCTTGTAAACATTGAACCCAGATACACAAACTCTTTCACCTGTTCAATTTGTTCATCTCCAATCACGATATTGCAGTCTGTCACTGCCTCATCTCTTTCAAACATCATCACTTTCGTCTTCCTTACATTCATCTTCATTCCCTTCCTAACAAAAGCTCCACTCATAGTAGTTACCATTTCCTGCAACTCCTCGGCCGAAGACGCAAGTAATACTTGGTCATCAACATAGAGAAAACATTTGACGAGTAACTCATTCATTCTCAACCCGCTTTCATTCTCTTTTAAATCTGTCAAGCAATTGTCCATGAACAGATTAAACAGCCACGGTGACGCTACACATCCCTGTCTAACACCTTTTTCGATATTAAACCATTCAGTGTATGCCCCGTTTATCCTTACACAAGCACTAGAATCCCTATAAAGAGATAGCAATGCTCGTACGAGGATACTGCTCACACCGTTCACGGACAGTGCTGACCACAATTCATTCCTTACCACTCTATTATAGGCCTTTTCTAGGTCCACGAACGCGCAATAAACCTTCTTGTTTTTAGCCAACTTTTCGGCTATGCACCGCAAGGAAAAGATCTGATCCGTACATCCCATTCCCTTTCTAAATCCCGCTTGTGCATCCTATACTTTTTCGTCTGTTTCATTCACAACCCTTTCAATCAACACTTTCGCATAACATTTACCGACGACGCTGAGAAGGCCTATACCGCGGTAATTTATGCAGTCCTGCCGTGACCCTTTTCCCTTATACAAAGGCACGATTGCGGCTTTGCACCAGTCTCCTGGTACTTGCCCATTTCGCCATCACAAATTGAAAAGGTGGTACTACATGCAGTTCTATATAGACATTTGGAGAAGTGTTAACACTCATTTACAGTTGGCTAGTTGATGCCAACATCAATATAATATTACTAATCATATTACATTATATGATTTGAATTTAAAATTTGGTCACATTTGCGTTAATGCAAATTTTAAAAATGTTCAAATAAAAGAGTTCTCAATTTTTCAAAAATCTACATATGGATCAATCAGCAACCTGAAATGGCAATGGGCCGGCTATATAGCTAGACCAATTGATAACCGATTGAGAAGGCAAGTTCTAGAGAAAGCAGCGTCGGGTACCGGCAAGCAGAAGTGTACGACGGTTCCCCACTAGATATAGTGATGAACTCGTGGCTCAGATCAGTGCTTTGTGGCGTTACTCCAAAGTCACAATTAATTTGTACAGCGTTGGTCATGTGAAGGGCTGTGTTGATGATATATACAAATAATAATATGTTATTTTGCCAAGAAACTATGAATTTTACTCTTTCTCATACAATTTTTATAGAGAACTCTCATTTTGATAGTTTGTAGAAAGTACTTCAATAGAGTGTTAATTATCCTATTTTAAATTACGTATAAAGCACATTTTATTTCGCCAACAGAATATGGATCAAAGGTGGAAGTGAGTGTGGAGGCGTATATCCCCCACCTTCACTGTATTCCCTACTGCGACTGTATCTATTACCAGACATAGCGGAAGAGCACAAACACTCTCTCGTACTCTACCTGTTGCTTGATTACTCAATGGCCTATGATGAAATAAGGTAAATATTAATTATGTTTATTGAACTTATCAAAATAGTAATCTTAGTAAATTAGGATATTTTGGAGGTAGTTGTGTGTTTCCTTTGGGATAGTTACCATACTCTTTGGTTGTTTGGAGGTGCTGTAAGAGAAACCATCAACTCCTTTCGTCCTGTAGATATCGATCTAATAAGGAACATTTTCCTTATTGGTTTTTATAATTAATTGAATGAAGAAATTATTGAAATATAACCAAATGAAAATAATAATCCTTTTATTACGGTCTGCGTGTTCTTACTTGTCCGGGTTGAAATTTTCTTTCCGTAACATTCACGCATGTATAGACGCTAGTCGATAGAGATGAACCACTTAATATTCACTGCTAAAATTGCTTAAGGTGACACTAGTCGACATTATTTCCATAGAAATTTCGGAGGGGTTTTACTCCGCTGTTTGACAGTGTACATCCAAAATTAAACATGATATCGTTTTGTCTCATTATTAAATTTGTCTGTACGGAAACAGAATAGTAAAATAAAATGTTATTAAAAAGTTACGAGCTACCAAAGATTCGTTTTTATTGCCAATTTTAACACAACTTTGGGCGTAAATTAGTAATAAAAGAAGTGAAAAATTTCCAAAACAAAGTCGGTACCGACACAACTCAATTATCGAAGAACTCAATAAATTTTATTTATAATTGATTAATGCAGTGGTTTTTTCATAAAACCCCTTCTTCCAAAGGCCTTTTCGTATTTTTTTACGCGCGCATGTTACTATGAATTATCGTGCATCTCACTGAATAATGTCTCCCCCGGTGCGGTGCGGGAGGACGATGCTTACACACACATGCACAGGCGGTGACGCGCGCTTATAAGTATTCGAGTTTTATTCGAAACGAAAAGTTTTGCTATTTTGTAATTTGGACGCCAAAGACAAAAGACGGCATCGAAATTGATATAATTGAAAGAGATGATGCGTTTTGGACGACAGACAATATTTTAAAATTTTCGTCTGTAATATAACATAATTATAAAAGTAAAAAAAGTAGTCTATATTTGATTACTATAATAAAATTGCAACAATTTCATTGGTGCCGACGGGGATCGAACCCGGGTTGCTCGCGTAATGTGATACTTACACCGAGCGCTAACCATCTGAGCTACCACGGCTCTCAATGCAAGTGTTATAAATAAATAAAGAATTACAAAACAGTTTAATTATTTATTAGACGACTTTTGCGGCGGACAAACAAAGTATATTATGTGGGATTTTCATAGGTACCTAATGTTATTACCTAGATACCTACAATCTACAGTACAACAAAATGTCACAAAACCTCGCCGCGTCGTGGCCACAAAATTGTAAACTTTAGGTAGGTACGTCAGTACTAAGAAAACAATCTTGATGGGTCACTTGTCTTGATAAAAACCTGTGCTTACGTTTAGTGATATTGAGTATATATTATAAAAAAAGCCAGGTAAGTAAGTATTTTTGAAAACAATTTATAGGTAGGCAGACCAATTACGATTATTATCTAAATATTATAAATGCGAAAGTTTGAATATTTGGATGGACGGATGAATGGATGTATGTTACTCAATCACGCCAGAACGGCTGAAGGGATCTGGATGATATTTTGCTCAGAGATAGGCTATAGTCTGGAATTTTTTTTTTCAAAAAAACGTTACCCCACACTAGGATTTTCTCCTGTATCGTGGAGGCAGTTTACAAACATCCAGACCCGGAACAATTATTTGTAGACCATACAAATACTTGTTCGATTGATTCGAACCCGCGGCTCCCAGTACAACAATTCATTGCTAAGCCACTGCGCCACGGAGCTGCCAAATATCATATATGATACCGTTTATTCAGGTATTTCGTTGCCGTGGGATAATTATCGAGTTACACACGTTCGAAGCCGAACTCTTGAGTGATTGCTGCATGACCACTCGGGGAAAACTAAACATAATAAAATAAGCAATCTATATTAGGTATATAGAGCCACAGAGGTATACCTAATAATTTCGCGGTTTCACCCGCGTTATCACGTGTCCGAGATGCGTGGCATGACATGACACCTAGTTCAAGCATTTTATAATTGCAATCAAATATTTTATTTGATTGTAATGTATGGAAAAATTGTCATGGTTAATGGAGTACTTTTATTTTATCTGTTGGCATATTATGCGCGGTTTTTTCCAGTTTTAAAGAAAAACGTACACGATACATGAAAAGTGTGTAGGCAAGAAATGATTCTTGATAAATTTGCTATCAACCTCTTATACTTATTAATCAATTAAATTTAAACTTTCAAAATACCACAGCAACGTGAAATGAAAGAGTTCAGAAATAAAGATGTAACTAATCATTGCTACGCTCACCCGGGAGATAGATAAAAGAACTCAATTAATTTTGAATTTATTTTAGCTACTAGCTGTACCCCGCGACTTCGTCCGCGTTTAGTTTAGGGCGTTAATTTTGTTGCAAAGACACCTAATAATTTTTCTAAAATTTAAGCAGGCTAAGTTACTTCTTATAACATGAGCTATCTACTAGTGAAAGTCCCGTCAAAGTCGGTCCAGCCGTTTTGGAAATTAACCGCAACAAACAGACTTACAGATATACAAAAATGTTAAAAATTGTGTTAATGTTATAAGTACCGTATACAGTTTCATACGCAATTAGTAAAAAGCTGTTATTTTGACATTACAAACAGACACTTCAATTTTATTTATTTGTGTAGATATAGATAACGATTGAACTAACGACTAACCTAACCTCGCTCATAGAAGCTTTCAATACTGGCTTCTCAGTTCGCACCGGGCTAGGGGTTATGCGTTTTTGCGCGTCAAGCCAAGTAGGTATTGAATTATTTTAATTTTACATTATCTCTTAAACTATGTACTATATAAACATGGTATAAAGAACGAAGTTTATCTTCATAAAATTGTCTTGATAATGAAGTAACTTTGGTTCGTAAGGTGCCTAATAATTAAATTTTCATTTTTTTTGTCACAAAATGCCTAATTGTGGCTTATATATAAGAAATAGACATATGTTATCGCTGACTTTTTTTAGACGAAGTAAAGATCTATATTTTTCTAGAACATTGTATTTACGTATCCCGAACCATAACAGCGCTTTTTCTTCTGACTTCCTTAACAAATATAGGCTAGCTGAGATATATAGCCTAATGCTGTATAGCCTATATTATTCAACATGAATCTGGCTATAATATCCAAAAAAAGATTTTTCAAATCTGACTGGTAGTTCTAGAGATTAGCACGTTTAAACAAACAAAAACCCTCTTCTGCTTTATTATATTAGTATAGATGTTGCATCGTGTTCGTGTAACTTCGTTTTCATTCTAACGGTTCGGAACACCGTACGAACAAGACATGCGTGAATACTAGTGTCGATATGCTCATCACTGATACTATCTCTGTCGGGCACGATGCCAGGTGAGACAGCGTGCTTTTTGGCCGCGCCCACCAGCGAGTTCGAGCCCGCGACTTGTGCCACCTTAAGGAACAGTTTGTTTTGTCAGTATCGATTACAGAATAAATTGAAAATCATTATTATATTGCAAATATCTTTCTATGTATTTGAATAAAACGTGGTAGAGCCATGCTGCAGCTATATAGCAGCTTGACACTGCTGTGTTTCGTATGGTGAGTGTAGAGAACCGGAGACCCTTTTTACTGGAAAAGAGGCATTCCATCTTAGTCCTCACGGGTAACGACGCATCTGCATTTTGATTCTTTATTGAGGATAAATGTAAATGTCTATGGGTCACAGCCACCACTTACCATCAGGTGGACTGTGTGCTCGTTTGTTACCCTTATTCTATAAAAAAAACGATAAAAAGTTTGAATATACATGGTTATTTTTCAAAAAGTAGCCAAATTTTATATTAAAGTTCAAATAAATAAATTATTATGCACCGATATTACATTTTTTTTAAAAACGAGTAAATAAAGTTTCTACTTTTATTTGAATTTATCCCAAATTAAGAACACGCGTAAGAGTAGGCAACAACTACTCTTACGCGCGTTCCATTGTATGTTATTCAGTTCCCGTTTTCTTATTATTCAATTCGTTTTACTACTAATACTTAAGATAATAACTACATGACGCGAATTATGATTGCAATTTTCCTTCTACTCATAATAAATAAAATTAAAAAATATATTTTAGTTTATCAATGACGTAACCGACGACTGTCATTATGGCGTATTTAAAAAAATGGAATAATATATTTACAACTGAATTACGCAAGTAGTTGGTATATCAAAATGAAATCCGTTTCTCTTGTTAATGTGAATAACACATTTATTTACAACATAAACTCAAAGTAGTGGATCGGAGCGCGAACGAGCGTCCTGATGGCGTAGAACGATTGGATCGACTGGCGAGGCGAGAAAAACCGCACTGGTTGCTCCCGCGCAGCTGAGAGCTCCCAAAGATTGCCGACTATATTCGTTATACATGACGACCACGAATATTTTTTACACTTATTACCTGTTCTTGAGCACTTTTAATTTCTGTTAACGCAGCAATAATTTTACTGTGGCGGTCTTCATAACTTTGGGACACTTTGACGTAAACACGACTCTTTATACACAGATAAAAGACTAACGATGAAAGTGCCGACGAGTTTGCAGACCGGGTCAGATAGTATAGTGCCTATAAGTGCCTTCGTGCGCAATCCACCTATCTTCATAATTATTCACTATTTAAGTTATCGCTCAGTGTACTCGAATAGTTTGATTATCTGTCAATTGTTCTGCGATTGGTAGGCTAATTACGACACGTACGTTACTTTTTTGCCGCGGTAAAGATTCACTTTAGTGTCTTTGCGCACCACGTAAACTTTTATTGCTTAAAATGTAATATCGCACCATTTCATAGTTTCCGGGGTTCAAATATTTTCGTTACGTCATTTGTAACGAAGCGTTCGTAATGAGGTCATGATTAACACTGTCAACTGTCGGCCGGGCGAACCGTACGCCCGTCCGGTATTTAACGGTGTAACGGTAAATAAAAATAGCGTGGCAGGACAAGGCACCTTACCGAGCAACCTTTACAAATTTGTGCGTGCGTAAAATAGTACGCTTCAGATATTTATAAATCAGTTAAAATAACCCATTACCACGCATTTTGAATTTAAAGATAAAAATGATAGAATGTTTGATATTTTTCTAAATTAATTTTTCTTCACCATTTTCCCACCCTCTTGTCACCATTTTGTTCCTAAAAACAATATCTGCGCAGCCGATAATTTTTATTATCGGCTGCGCGATAATTTTTATTATATTAGTTCGCGACTAATTTTAGCCCGGCCAAGATAGAGCTCGCGGACTTTACAATATGTGAGCGTTTGTGGCGTACACTTTTGGATTTTCAATTTTTTTTATAAATAAATTTTCCCGTGTCAAAAATATCTCTTATTCATCGACATAACAATTAATGAAAATCCTAGTACCTATTTTGCTCCTAGTATTATAAGGATACGAGGTATGTTCAGAAAATAACGGGAATATTTAAATTTTGTGAGCTTGGGAGTTCGATTGTCAATTTTTTTATTATGTAGGTATACATGCCCTGAAGTATGATAAAATTTTCAGCGGTATTCATTATTTACTTTATCTGTGGCAGCCGCTGCTAAGGTTGACTGACGTGTTTTTAGGAGCTCGGCAATTTTCGTTTGTTAAATTTTGCCTAAAAAACGAAATAAAGTGTGTGAAATGTTAAGAAAAGCCTATTTTGAGTCTGCTATAATTAAAACAAAAGTTTACGAGTGATATAAACGTTTCCAAGATGGCCGTGAAGATGTTGAAGGTGAACGCCTCGGACGTCCCAACACATCAACAACCAATGAAAATGTGGAAAAAGTAAAAGAAATGGTTATGAACGATCACCGAATCATAGTCAGAGTTGCTGGTGATATTGGCATATCGATTGGCTCGTGCCATTAAATCTTTTCGAATGTTGGGTGAATGAATGAATGGGTATGAAACGCGTGGCAACAATTTTGTTCCAAAATTGTTGAATTTATAAAAAATGATGAAATGAAGCGAATGGAAAATGCTAAATGAAGCTGTTAAAGCAACCGTTAAAGCGACCACGCAGAATTACTTAAACGTTAACAGGTGACGAAACATGGGGTTACGGATTTGACGTTGAAACTGAGGATCAATCGTCCCAGTGGAGGCATTCTGACTCGCCAAGACCGAAAAAGGCTCGGCAAATGCGATCAAACGTGAAGGTTATGCTCACTGTGTTCTTCGATTTTAATGGCATAGTGCATCATGAATTCTTGCCACGATGCCAATAAGGAGTACTACCTACAAGTTCAACGCCGTTTCTTTGAAACAATCCGAAAGAAACGCCCAGATTTGTGGAAAAAAATCATGGTTTTCGCACCACGATAATGCACCTGCACCAGTTTTTGGCCAAAAGCAATACTGTAACGATGCCCCACAGGACGCATATTCGCCAGGCATGGCTCCGTGTGACTTTTTCCTAGTTCCAAAAATAAAGAGAACCTTAAAGGGCCGTCGTTTTACAAGCATATATGACATTAAAAGCGCATCGCTGAAAGAACTAAAAGCTATCCAAAGATCGAATTTGAGAAGTGTTTCAAGGGTTGGCAGAAGCCCTGAGACAAGTCATCATCGTCACCATTACAGCCTTTCACAAGTCCACTGCTGAATATAGGCCTCCCCCAAGGAATGCTACAAAGCACGGACCTGAGTCACCTCCATCCATCGACTTCCTGCATGTCTTACCAGGTCGTCACTCCATCTCGTGGGGGGTCGCCCTACACTTTGCCTACCGGTACGAGGCTGCCACTCTAGAACCTTTCTTCCCCATCGGTTGTCGGTTCTTCGAGCTATATGGTCGGCCCACTGCCACTTCAGCTTACCAATCCGTTGGGCTATGTCGGTTACTCTGGTTCTACTGCGGATATCCTCATTTCTAAGTTTACCATGCAAAGAAACCCCGAGCATAGCCCTCTCCATAGCTCGCTGAGCGACCTTGAGCTTCCTCTTACGGCCAGCAGTGAAGGACCACGTCTCAGATCCGTAAGTCATCACTGGCAACACGCACTGGTTGTACAATTGAAACCGGCTTGTTCGGGAGGCTGGAATCGTCTGCGCGCGAGACTATTCGTAATGACTCGAAAACAGCACGTAGAGCTCAGAAGGGAAATGGGTCTGTAGTTCTTCAAGAGAGCGTTGTCACCTTTCTTGAAGAACAAGACCACCGCACTTCTGCTCCACGCCTCCGGTGTAATGCCACCATGGAGGACGGAATTAAAGAGCTTCTGAAGGACTTCAAGTACCGATTTTCCACCCGCTTTCAGAAGCTCCGCTGTAATTCCATCCTCGCCTGGGGCCTTGCCGTTTTTAAGGTGCTGGAGAGCCATTCTAATCTCGCTCAGACTGACGTCCGGGATATCTTCGGAATAGTGTCTGATAAGACTCGCTCTTGGATCGTTACTCACACTTGCGTGTGGCTCCAACTATGACGTGTACAGCTGCCCATAGAATCTCTCAATCTCACTCACCGGAAACGATGCTGCCACACTCGGTCTTCAGCCTTGACAGTTGGCTCTTTCTGGCAGACAGAACTCTGGCAAAGACTTTGGAGCCTTGGTTCCGCTCGATCGCTTCTTCAATACAAGCTGTATTGAAGTTACGTAAGTCCCGCCGCATGCATTTGAAGATCCGTCTGTTCAGTTGCCTGTATGCTTTCAAATCTGTTGAAGAATGTAGCTTCATCTTCCGTCTAACAGCTATGAGATTAAGAGTGTGATCGGAGAGTTTTTGTGTTCTTCTGCGGCGGGTCAGTTTCGACGAGCTTGTCATTCATATCGTCCACTTCATTGCAGTCTTCTAGGCACTGAAAACAGTTTTGTAACTCGAGCTGAAAGATTTCAAGACTTTGAAACAGAGCACGAGGGGGACGGAGCGTTGACTTCATTAGACGAGACCTCTCCAACTTAACGTTTAGGTTCAGTGTGCCTCTCTAACCATTCGGTGATCGCTACCAGTTTTCACCCTCGCGATCACGGAGACATCACTGAACTTAAATTAATGTTAATTTATAAAAAAATTTTTTTAAACACGAAAATTCCTGTTATTTTCTGAAAACACCTCTTATTGTTTTGTATTAGAGACAATACAATTTTTTTTTAATTTATTCTTAGAAAGAGTGTTACATAATTTACATTTCAAACTTTGCCAAACTGTATGCCAGTTTGTCGGCAATTAGTAGTAGTTGCAAAAGTAACCGTGTCTGGTGTTATATAAGAATATCCACTATCAAAGAAACAGGAGATGCTCAGCAGCATCTTCCAGATAACAACTTAAAATAATAAAAAACAGCAGTTGCCAAGTAGGAGGTCCTCAAAACTTTTTTCATGGTGAATCGATTTTGGTAATTCTTTTTTATTTGAAACTTGGTGTTTCTCATGTGGTCCCATATAAATTTGATCAAGATCTGTGACCAGTAGTTTTTGACTTCGACTACATTGCTGATGTTCTAATTTTATTTATATTGAAGTCTGTTGTACAAAATTTTTAATTTTACCACTTGTGTTATTGTAGATATGAAGCGGTCATTCGCAGACTAATGCAGTTTCCAACTATGTTCGGTTTGAGCAACACTGCTATCAAAGCAACGCAAGCTTTTTGGCATCTCGACCACAGAGACTTCGACGTAAGTTACTTAACTACTCATTAATGTAAAAAAAATCAACTTATGTAACAAATACTATCATAAAGTCAAACCTAATGATAACTAATTTTAATTAATAGAATCAGGCGTTACTTTGCGGAAATCCATTATAACGAGTGTTATAACTTAATTTGCTTAATTCCGCGTAAAGAAAGAAAATGTCTTCTGCCCAGTTTTTTTTCCTTTTTTTTTTCCCACCCTCCCTCATTTGCGTCCACTATACCCGTCACCACCGGCCAGGCTTTGCAGAGTCTACTTCACCTGAGGATGCCTAGCGTAGAGGAGATATGCGTGTCGTATTATCGACAGTAGTGGTGTGTCGTTCCTAGTGTGGTGGTGCTGGAGATTGGTGGTGACGGGTATAGTGCCAACCCAATTGAGGATGGGATGACCCTTCAAACTGAGTTGGACACATTATTTTCTTTCTTTACGCGAAATTAAGTTATAACAACCTCAAATCTTTTCCTATCATTAATATATATTATTATTGAACATACATATATACATAAAGCGTTATTTTGATAATTTTTCAGTTCGCATTAGACCAACTGCAATGTCTGACAGGGAATACACTGTCAGACTGGCAACACAATGTTGTTTTATCCTCTTTACTCGCACAGAAGAAAACCCAAGCAGCTCTACAGTATTTACATGTACGGAAACCGGCCCCAATACAGAGCCCAATGCGGAACAAGGATGGTGATATGGTCAAAGGATCCAAAATAAATGACCATGACAAATTAGACGATTGGCAGGCTTGTTGTAATTTGTACCTTGCAAGAGGTTTGCTGTTTGAAGCACTAGATGTTATTAGAATGTGCGTGCAGAATGCTGGAAGCTCCGAGGATAAGGTTCAGGTGTTGAACTTCTTTTTTAAAGGTATTAATCATTATTTTTATAAAATATAAATTAACCAAATTAACTAATTTCTAATGTTTTTTGCTTGGCAACGGTTTGGCTTTAGAGTTTAAATGTCATAGTTTCTCGTTTCTGTTCCATATAGAGCCGATATAAGTATAAAAACATCATTAATATTCTGCATATAAAGTTTGCTGCATCATTGACAGATACTAAATTCAAACCACTTTGAGTCTTTTCACTGGCCTGGGCCTGCAGTACCTCTACAGCTGTGAGGTAATTGAGGAGTATGTAAGAGGTCCGCATCACCAACAAGGAGGTTCTTAATAAAACCTTGCGATGTCTAGATATGAACAATGCTAGTGGACCTGATGGTATACCAGCTATAGTTCTAAAGTTCTATGCGCCTGAGTTGTCTTCTGTGTTGACGTGCTTGTTCCGCTTCACATTCAGGACTGGAACTTTGGTACTAGCCCAAATCTTGGAAGCTAGCCAATGTGCAACCCGTGCCTAAAACAGGCAGCTGCTTTCAAGTATCGGCCAATTTCAATTATCTCTATACTCTGCAAGATTATGGAGCGTATATTGAACGCCCACTTCATGACATACCGAACAGAATGATCTCGCTGAACCACCAATACGCCGAAATTTGATAGCAAACTACTGTAACATTAATATTCTAATCTAAAATTTAATTAAACTTTTAATAAAAGTACAAACCAACTTCAAAAGTAAAAAAAATACTTCCACTCGCACGAACACACGCATACATACACGCACACACGCATACATACACGCACACACACGCATTCACGCAAACCAAATAATACTTGTGACTTGCTAATTGTTTTATATGAAAGTATAGACCTTAACTACCAAATAGTACTGGTATAGGATCATAATATCTATTACCCCATATTATCCCATGGGTGTCGTAAGAGGCAGCAGAGGGAAGTTGAATCAGGCGATGATCAGCAGCATCTTCCTGGTAACATATAAATAAAAATAAAAACCTGCGGTTGCCAAGCGTGGTAACTATGGCCTCCTTATGAAGCAATTTATGAGGGACTCCTATGTTCAGAAGTAAACTTTTGATAGGTTGTAATGGTTTAGACCTCAAGGATTATTTTAGCATATTGTTGCGCGCCACTACGTCGACGACATTAGTTACCACTAACGCCCTGTAGTATCGAGTAGCAGAACTAGGAAAGTCAAGAACCTTTTAGAAATTTCCATGGAAGAACTTTCTGGAACTATCGACACCTAGTCAATCGGGACCGATAGATGTTTCTACAGTAGAAGGTTCTGGAAACTATCTGTGAGGCCCTATATAAGGCCGGTATAGACCGTAACCGAGGCAATATTGAATTGACGATATAAGCGAATACTTCGAAGCAATACAACTGCGAACGAAAGTGATCAGTAGTACAATTGTGTTTATTATTAATGTGGTTTAAGTTGTAATTAGTGTTCTGTAATTAAAGTGTCAATTTTTGTAATTCACTCGGCACTTTTTAATTGTCTCGAACCCCAAGCTCGTAACAATATTAAACTCTTATTTGACCTGTTTGTAGCTTGTTTTTTTTTAAATGTATTTAGATTAAAATAGTGGTGTACATTTTATTTTTAATCCTAATTGTATTTCACAGGATGTCGTAGTACGGGACAGCTATCGAAGATCCTGCAGGTGACACTGCTGCCATCGGAAGAGGAGGTGTTTATTAAGTACCTAAAAGACTGCAATGACGTCCACACGTCTGATATACTCATCATGTACTATTTGCAGCAAGCTAGGTATGAAAGCACTATTTAATTAGTTTATTCAATGTTTCGGAGTTATGTGCATCATCAATATTGTTACGAGCTTGGGGTTCGAGACAATTAAAAACTGCCGATTGAATTACCAAAATTGACACTTTAATTACACAACACTAATTACAATCTAAAATCACACTAATAATAAAACACAGTTCGCCGTTATTTCGCTACGAAGTATTCTCTTATATCGCCAATTCAATACTCCCCGGTCGTGGTCTATACCGGCCTTATATAGGGCCTCAGATAGTTTCCAGAACCTTCTACTGTAGCGGCATCTAGAATGTTCGAGTACATATCGGTCCCGAAATTTCTGGAAGAATCTCGACTCTCCTAGTTCTGCTACTCGACACTAGAGGGCGCTAGTGTAACTAGTGTTGCCATGTACAAGACATTAATAGTGGCGCGCAATACTTTCTTTTACTCGACACTAGAGGGCGCTAGTGTAACTAGTGTTGCCATGTACAAGACATTAATAGTGGCGCGTAACACTGCCCCCTCCTAAGACATGCTCGTCCCGAGCATTATTGGCCCCATAATAACGCGCCAGTCGATCCACATGGACAATCTTAGGAGTACCTCTGACACCTTTCTGTATCCGGTAGGTTACGTCATTGATCCTTGTCACAATCCGGTACGGTCCGTCCCATTTAGCTTGAAGCTTAGGAGATTTCCCTTTGCTGCGAACTGGATTGTGTAACCACACTAGTGAACCTTCATCAAACCCCTTGTTGTTCATTTTGCGGTCATACCGTGTTTTCATCTTCTCAGACGTTTGCTGGCCCGTCTGTCTGACGTGCTCATAAATGTCATTCATTTTGTTCCGCAAGTCATTTGCATAATCGGTTATACTGCGTGGGGCATCAGGTGGTATTCCGGTGATCAGGTCTGCAGGCAGCCGCAATTCTCTCCCAAAGTTTACGAAAGCTGGTGTCACTGATGTACTTTCGTGAACAGCGCTTCGATATGACAACAAAAACGGTTGTATGTGCCTGTCCCAGTCTCGTTGCTGTTTTTCCACAACTTTTGCTAGGTACCTCTCCAATGTCTGATTAAATCTTTCTACCATTCCATCAGATTGTGGGTGGTAAGAAGTTGTTCGCGTTTTCTGAGTACCCATAACTCGGCAAGTTTCCTGGAATATTTGAGACTCAAAATTCCTTCCTTGATCGCTGTGAATCTCTAAAGGTACTCCAAAACGACAGAAGACTTCATGAACTAGTTTATCTGCAACGGTTGAAGCTTCTTGATTTGGAATGGCGAAGACTTCTGGCCACTTAGTGAAGTAATCCATCACGACCATGAAATACTTGTTACCACTTTCAGTTTCTGGAAACGGCCCCGCAACGTCAATGGCTATCCTCTCCCATGGTGCACCAACATTGTACAATTTCAATGCGCCTCTACTACGAATTTGAGGTCCCTTTACAGCCGCACAACTTGTACATTTGCGGCACCAGTCCTCGACATCGTCACGACAGTGGACCCAGTAAAACCGTTCTCGGATCTTCAGGAGAGTTCGTTTAACTCCTAGGTGGCCTCCTGAACAACCACTATGGTACAGCTGGAGAACATCCGGTACTTTAGCCTTAGGGACAACCATTTGCAAATGACACCTGTCTCCCCGACTATTTTCCCATTTACGGCACAGGACTCCATCCTGAATCTGCAAGCTGTCCCATTGGGCCCAATAGCTTTTCGTGATCGAACTCATTGCTGAGACGTCGCTCCACTTGGGCTTAGGAGCATTGGCCTTCATCCATTCCAGAATCGGCTTAATGTCCGAATCTTCCTGCTGTGCATGTTGTAGGCTGTCCTTCCACTCATTGCTGAGCTGGTCTGTCCTGAGCATTCTCACAGATACCACTTCCTTACCCTCTTGCCTAGTACAATGCTTGCAATCTTCAGGGCAAGGTCTTCTTGACAATGCATCTGCATTGCCATGAGATTTCCCGCTGCGATGTTCGATCACAAAGTCATATTCCTGCAGTAGTTCAATCCATCTCGCAACTTGTCCTTCCGGATTTTTGAACTGCAATAGCCATTTCAGTGCAGTATGGTCAGTTCGTAAGTGGAATTTCCGCCCTAGAAGATATTTGCTAAAATGCTGCAAGGACTTTACCACAGCAAGCAATTCCCGTCTTGTGACACAATAGTTCCTTTCCGGCTTTGACAACGACTTGCTGAAGTACGCTATCACAATCTCTTGATCACCATTCCGTTGAGACAACACACCGCCAAGTCCTATATCACTTGCGTCTGTGTCAACTATGAATTCCTTGCCCGCATCAGGGTACCCCAAAATAGGTGTTTTGCACAGACGGTTCTTGAGCTCCTGGAATGCAATATCGCAACTTTCATCCCAGCAGAATTGTCGCTTCTCCTCGGTTAGCTTGTGCAGAGGTTTGGCTATATCTGCAAAGTTCTTCACAAATCGCCGATAATAAGAGCATAAACCCAAAAATGCTCTAACCTGTGTCTTGTCTTTTGGGACCGGCCACTCTTTGACAGCAGCAATTTTCTCTGGATCCGTGCGGATACCTTCTTCCGACACTACATACCCCAAAAAACTAACTTGCCGTTTGAATAGTGAGCACTTCTTTGGACTCTTTGAGGGTTGGCACTCTTGATCTTCATGAGCACGCGTTCCAGGTTTTGAAGGTGTTCCTCAAACGTACGGCCTACGATGATGGTGTCATCCAAATAGACGAGGCAGGCATCTCCAATTAGCCCGGTAAGTACAAGCTCCATCAACCTTTCAAACGTTGCTGGAGCATTGCACAATCCAAACGGCATGACTTTAAATTGCCACAGGCCCTTTCCTGTGGAGAATGCAGTTTTCTCCTTGTCCTTAGGGTCAATTTCAACCTGCCAGTAGCCACTTTTCAGATCGAGCGTACTAAACCACTTTACGCCTGTAAGCATGTCCAGCGTGTCATCAATTCTTGGCAAGGGATAGCTGTCCTTCTTTGTAACGTCGTTCAGGCGGCGGTAGTCAACACAAAACCGCATGCTGCCGTCCTTCTTCTTTACCAGCACCACAGGTGAACACCATGGACTAGATGAAGGTTCAATAACACCATCCTTCACCATTCCCTCAATCATGGTTTCCACTTCCTTTTCACGTGCTACAGGCAATCTTCTTGGCCGCTGACGAATAGGCAATTCTTGTCCTGTGTTTATTTTGTGTTGAACTAAGCTAGTCTTTCCTATGTCAGCTTCGTTTGACGAGAAAACATTGGCGTACTTGAGTAACAACTTCTTCGCTTTGACCGTTTCATTCGGGGAGAGAACGCTGCGACAGTCTTCTAAAAGTGTGGTCACTCTAGTTTGTCCATCCTTGCTGGGAGTCCCAGTCGATAGATATTCGCACCGACGCAACCAATCCACTTCCTCACTAGTACCAACCAATGTGCCTTTTTCTATAATCTGTTCCTGATCACAAAGGTTCAGCACACGTACTCCTGAGATGTCGGCGGTTCTGACCAAGGTTCGAGCCACTTTCCATGGAAGGTCATTGTCTACCCTTTCCACGAGTACACAACGAAGAGTTTGCCCAGGATTCCGTGGAAGTCTAACCGGCACAATCGTTTCCGATCTCGGCGGAAGAACAATCTTCTTAAGGCTGTACACATTCCCTGGTAACGCCCCTTCCACCAAAAGTTCCTCTTGTCCACATTTCAAAACACCTTGCTTAACGTCGATCTCACAACAATTCTTCCTCATAAAGTCTAGGCCCAGGATGCAGTCGTCCATTATATCAGCCACGATGACATTATGCAGGTAGATCATGTTGCCTAGCTTCAACTCCATCTCCTTCTCTCCACGGACGGGTATGCGCTGACCGGTGGCTGTCACCAAATTAATGCGTTCTCGGTTATATGCGGAGTCCCCAAGGAACCGACTTATAAGTTGGGAACTGACAACCGTGCGAGAGGCTCCAGTGTCTATGGTCAGTTTACACGGCGTTCCGTTGACTTCGCCCTTGATGATTAGGCTGTTCCCATCATGGGTTTGTGAGATCGAAATCCTTGGGGCTCTTTTAACATCAGCCAGCACCCGCCAGTTTCCCTGCTGTTGCTGGGCGGTGCTGTCAGCCACACTACCCTCTCGATATCGATCACCTTCCCTTTCTACAGTTCGTTTAGGGCAGCTGGATCGAAGATGGCCCCTTTCCCCACAGCCGTAGCACCTAGGGCTGTAGCCCTCATTGCGGTCCTGAACTGTAGCTGCTGCAACCTCCCTGACGCGGTGGGAACGATGATCCTGCCGCACGGCTTCCACCTCCAGTGCATGGGTCAAGGCGTCCTTAAGCGTCTCGTGGTGCCCGAGCCTCACAGCAGCTCTGACTTCAAGGTCGCGGATGCCGTCGATGAATGTCTGCACCAGGTTCCCTACAATGAGCGCAGGTACAGACTGGTACGCTTTTCGAACCAGCTTCTCCACCTCAAGGGCCCACTGCTGCAGGTTTTCGTTACTGCGTTGCACGCGATCTTTGAGCTGCGCACGAAAGACGTGTTCCAGGTGAGCATCGCCATATCTTGCCTCCAATGCCTCAAGGAGCTGCTCGTAAGTTACTTCCTTACCGAGAGCTTCCAGAACAGTTAAGGCCTGGTCGCGTAGGCCTAGGGTGAGAGCAGTCATGGCCTGACTTTTATTCCAGCCGTTCGCTTTCATGACAGCCTCGAACTGGATTTTGTAGGCCGACCAGGAAGAACTCCCGTCGAACGGCGGCACTTTGAATCCACGTAGCGAAGGTGTTGTAGCTACTACGGGAGCTGTAATTCCATCCCCAAGTTTGAGGTCGTCCAGCGTTTTCTTCACATCAGCCATCACGTTGTCAACCCGATTGTTCACTTGGTCGATTCGGGTTTCAGCTTCCGACAGGCGGTTGTCATGTTGAGCAACCCTATCCTTCACCTCCTTTATCTCTTTCCCGAAGGTAGCGTGAAGGTCCTTCCTGAGGAGCATCTGTTCTTCCATACCGCGCTGCAGCTGCTCTTCCAACCGACGGGTCTGTTCCTCTTGTCGGCGGGCCTGTTCCTCCTGTCGGCGAGCCTGTTCCTCCTGTCGGCGAGCCTGTTCCTCCTGTCGGCGAGCCTGTTCCTCCTGTCGGCGAGCCTGATCCTGCAGCATCATTATCAGAGCACCTAAGTCGGGTGCTGCAGATGCAGGAGCTGCTGACGGGCCGGCCTCCGTGGTTAGCAGCTGCCCCTCCGACGTTTGCGGCGTTGCATTACCAATTCGTCTCTGGTCCGTCTCCTGTTGGCGTTGACTTCGGGTACGGATACCCTCCGTGTCGTCTTTAGGTAAAATCGGCATATTTGATCCCACTTCTGACACCAATTGTTACGAGCTTGGGGTTCGAGACAATTAAAAACTGCCGATTGAATTACCAAAATTGACACTTTAATTACACAACACTAATTACAATCTAAAATCACACTAATAATAAAACACAGTTCGCCGTTATTTCGCTACGAAGTATTCTCTTATATCGCCAATTCAATACTCCCCGGTCGTGGTCTATACCGGCCTTATATAGGGCCTCAGATAGTTTCCAGAACCTTCTACTGTAGCGGCATCTAGAATGTTCGAGTACATATCGGTCCCGAAATTTCTGGAAGGATCTCGACTCTCCTAGTTCTGCTACTCGACACTAGAGGGCGCTAGTGTAACTAGTGTTGCCATGTACAAGACATTAATAGTGGCGCGCAATACTTTCTTTTACTTGACACTAGAGGGCGCTAGTGTAACTAGTGTTGCCATGTACAAGACATTAATAGTGGCGCGTAACAATATCATCATCATGCAGCTCTTCAAAATCCCTTATTGTGGTTTATGTAAAAGAAATAGGCATATGTTACCACGGCCTTTTTTTAGGTGAAGTAAAGATCTATATTTTAATAGAACATGGTATTCACGTATCACTAACCGCTACGCCAGCGCATGTGAATAAATCATTTTGGGAGCGCTTTTTCTTCTGACTTGCTTAACAAAAATTAATATTTAAGCCAAGCTGATAGGTGTAGCCTAATAATGCTAGCTTATACGAATAACGAACATAAAATATTAAACAACCGTTTATTCACAACTTAAATTCAAAATAAACGCAAACAAGCTGATCGACTGGCGAGGCGGTGGAAAACCGAGCCGGTTGCTTCCGCGCATCCGAGGGCTTCCGAAGATTGCTGAACGGTCGAACAGCTCTTTCTGCATAAACGAGCACGTTTTGTTATATTATTTCTTACACTTATTACCTTTTCTTGAGTACATTTAACTTCCTTGAACGCAGCAATAATTTTACTGTGGCGGTCTTCATAACTTCGGGTCTTTTTGACGTAAACACGACTTTATTGCACCTCATAGATAAAAGACTAAGAGCGAAAATTCCGGCGAATTTGCAGACCATAGTATAGGGCCTCCGTGCGCAATCGACCTATCTTCATATTCACTATTAAGTTATCGCTCACTGCACTTGAACAGTTTGATTAGCTGTTGATTGTTCTTCGATTGGTAGGTACACGTATGTTAATTTCTTGTCGCGGTAAAGACTCCCTTTCATATAATCTGTGCATCACGTAAACTTTCATTGCTTAAAATATAATATCGCACCATTTCATAGTTTCATAATATCTGCGGTTCGTATTTTTGTTCAGTCATTGGTAAAGAAGTGTACGTAATGAGGTCACGGTCAACAGTGTTAGCTGTCGGCCGGGCGAGTGGACGTAGGTACTTTGCTATGTAACGGTAAACGGAAGAGAAGGGCGCGTGAAGACGCTCGATAAGGTACCTAACCAAGCGTCCCTTACGAATGTGTGCGTGCGTAAAATATTAGATATTTATGAATGAAAATCATTTAAAATAATGCATTACCACGCATTTTGGATTTCAATGATAAAGAGGACAGAATGTTTTCGATTTTTTTTTTATTAATTTTTTCACCATTCGCCTATATTACTTATTATGAATTTTCACTGCAAATTTGGCCGTATATTGCAAAATAACCTTGTATAAAGCTTGGTCTATAGAAATTTTCCTCTATTTTCTGTATTTACCACTGCTATGTTTTACCATGTTGTTTTTACTTACAAGTTAATTGTTTTAAAAAAGGAGTAATTTTCTCAAATTACTTTAATTGTCGAGAAAAAAAAAACATAAAGACAGCCACAATTCTATTATGATCATTACTTAAAAAATAATTATTATGATTTCGTCAAATTTACGTAAATATTATTATTACTCCGAGCTGCAGTTGTTTCTCTCGGTTGTCTAGCTTGGTCGTTCAGGCACAGCGCTACAGAAATTCGCGCACTCCGCCACCGCGCTCGTCACCGCCAGCAGCGGCTGCAACAAGTGAGCTGTTTTTCAAAAGTCTTGCAAACCATATGTCCTCTTAAATCAAATCCTTCTTATAACGGGAGATGCTCATGTCCAGTCATGGACTTTTATGGACTGATTAAGTTGAAGAAAAGGAGAAATAGACTACACAGCCCGGTTTAACTTACAGATATTTAGAAGCGGAGGAGTACAACAACAAACTGAAGAAACAGAACGGGCGTGGTATAGAGGTGTCGAGTTCATCGGAGTCGTTGGCAGAGCTGACGGAGCGCTGCAACACGCGCGACACGCTGCTGAGCGCGGCGTGCGCGGCGCTGCCCGCCGTCGCCTGCGCCGTGGCGCGCGTGGCCGCCGTGCCACTCGAGCCGCACGGTACGTTGCACTTGAGTCGTTGGCAGAGCTGACGGAGCGCTGCAACACGCGCGACACGCTGCTGAGCGCGGCGTGCGCGGCGCTGCCCGCCGTCGCCTGCGCCGTGGCGCGCGTGGCCGCCGTGCCACTCGAGCCGCACGGTACGTTGCACTTGAGTCGTTGGCAGAGCTGACGGAGCGCTGCAACACGCGCGACACGCTGCTGAGCGCGGCGTGCGCGGCGCTGCCCGCCGTCGCCTGCGCCGTGGCGCGCGTGGCCGCCGTGCCACTCGAGCCGCACGGTACGTTGCACTTGAGTCGTTGGCAGAGCTGACGGAGCGCTGCAACACGCGCGACACGCTGCTGAGCGCGGCGTGCGCGGCGCTGCCCGCCGTCGCCTGCGCCGTGGCGCGCGTGGCCGCCGTGCCACTCGAGCCGCACGGTACGTTGCACTTGAGTCGTTGGCAGAGCTGACGGAGCGCTGCAACACGCGCGACACGCTGCTGAGCGCGGCGTGCGCGGCGCTGCCCGCCGTCGCCTGCGCCGTGGCGCGCGTGGCCGCCGTGCCACTCGAGCCGCACGGTACGTTGCACTTGAGTCGTTGGCAGAGCTGACGGAGCGCTGCAACACGCGCGACACGCTGCTGAGCGCGGCGTGCGCGGCGCTGCCCGCCGTCGCCTGCGCCGTGGCGCGCGTGGCCGCCGTGCCACTCGAGCCGCACGGTACGTTGCACTTGAGTCGTTGGCAGAGCTGACGGAGCGCTGCAACACGCGCGACACGCTGCTGAGCGCGGCGTGCGCGGCGCTGCCCGCCGTCGCCTGCGCCGTGGCGCGCGTGGCCGCCGTGCCACTCGAGCCGCACGGTACGTTGCACTTGAGTCGTTGGCAGAGCTGACGGAGCGCTGCAACACGCGCGACACGCTGCTGAGCGCGGCGTGCGCGGCGCTGCCCGCCGTCGCCTGCGCCGTGGCGCGCGTGGCCGCCGTGCCACTCGAGCCGCACGGTACGTTGCACTTGAGTCGTTGGCAGAGCTGACGGAGCGCTGCAACACGCGCGACACGCTGCTGAGCGCGGCGTGCGCGGCGCTGCCCGCCGTCGCCTGCGCCGTGGCGCGCGTGGCCGCCGTGCCACTCGAGCCGCACGGTACGTTGCACTTGAGTCGTTGGCAGAGCTGACGGAGCGCTGCAACACGCGCGACACGCTGCTGAGCGCGGCGTGCGCGGCGCTGCCCGCCGTCGCCTGCGCCGTGGCGCGCGTGGCCGCCGTGCCACTCGAGCCGCACGGTACGTTGCACTTCAGTTGCTCGGAGTCGTTGGCAGAGCTGACGGAGCGCTGCAACACGCGCGACACGCTGCTGAGCGCGTGCACTTCAGCCCGACATCACCATAATTGCAGCCCTTCACAACTCCACTAACGAACACAGGCCTCCCCTGAGGATTGCCACAAAGCATGCTACTGAGCCACTTGCATCCATCGACTACCTCCATCTTACACTTCATTTACCGGTGCGTGGTTGCCACTCTAGAACTTTTCAGGCTATCATCATCATCATCATCATCATTACAGCCCTTTAAAAATCCACTCATGAACATACGAGTATATCTCCCCCAATGATTGCCACAAAGCACAATCCTGAGCTACTTGCATTCATTAATTACCTGAGTGCTACCTACACTGCGCTTACCAGCAAAAGGCCACTCGACAACCTTTCATTGCCATATCATAATAGTTTACTTCCATAAGTTCGTAACACAAGTCACGTTAATAAATACATTCACGTAATAAACCTTATGATCTTTTTTCAAAAACAATAAAGGGATTGTGACTTTGTCTATTTATTTTTCTTCTATTTATATATATTTTGGTTGTCAGATGTCTTATAACGGGGTTATAACTGGTTTAACTTGTCGTTTCTAGTCATTTTAAAAGGTTAGTATTTAATACAATTAATTTATAAAAAAAATAATAATGATATGTAAAAAAATAATAATATAAGAAAAATAAATATATTGTATCATAAAAATATTTGGTGTAGTGTATCCAGACACAAAACGGAGGAGTGTGTATGGGTAGACTAAATGGCTCCTGGATATCCTTTACTAACATTTTACTTAGCATTAGCCTATAATGTAACACACACTGTATTTAATAATTAAGTAAACTTTCTTTGTGTGTTTCCAGTAATTGTACCAAAACCGATGTCCGTCTACGTGACAGCAAGATCTCCTAAAAATACATTTACTTATAAATCTTCATTTATACAGGTAAATTGATACGATTTTTTAATAAATATAAAACTATTTTCAAGTCCATAGAACCATTCAAGTAATAAACATCATTAGTGTGTAACAGTGCGTAGAGCAACACGGGCCGTCGGCAGATTGGAGAGGAGTAACCATAGGGTTTTATCTCGATACAGAACTGTCTCATTTTTTGCGGGGGGAAATCTGCGCACACAAAAACAATCATCTGTCACTACAAAACACATAATTAAAACTATAAACAACAATTTCACGCACAAAAAATACGTAATAACTCATGACTGGATAATCGGGCGCTTATTTACCTAAAGTTTACATTTTTAGCATTAAAGAAAGATTATTATTGACATGCCTTTTTGAATCCCGTATGCGAGATTGCTTGAATTTCCTGAGTTTAATAAAAATGTTACTTATGTATAAATATTTCATAGGACCAATTGTAAATTTGATGTTTCATTGAATTCTTAAAGATTTTTTTTTAATTTTAATAGTAAAACAATTTACAAAGAAAATTTATATGAGAATTTGTTCATCTATTCCCGCTGTCCCCCACTGGCGCTGACATTGGGGAAAATAAGTAGCTGTATCCGCCAATCTTCCCGTTAGACCCTACTGGTAGACACTGGGGAGAAATTGGTTACTTTGTTCCTCAGTGCCGGATATCGAAATCAAAAAAGTTTCGTTATGATTTTGTTTTCATGATTATTATATAAAAACATAAAATTTTTAATAAAATTAAAATATAATTCTCAGCTTTTAACATAATATAAACGTCGTTTTTATTATAATATAAAGAGTTTCACGAGTTTCTGTGTAATTTTAGTTTAGTATTTATGAAATATGAGGCAATCCCGCGGTCGCAGGATTCAATTAAATAAATTTGATTTAGAAGTTCATGTCCATATTAATCTTAACGCTATAAAATGTTAACTTTAGGTAAATAAGCGCCCGATTATCCGACCACTAATAATGACAGTATCGCTCGGTGCCAGCGACAACTCGAATATATCACATCTGCATACTGTATGAGGGCAAGCGGCCTGTGTTGGTAAACAAATCCGAAATAACACGACCGTAATTATTGAAATTTTTAAGTTTAAAAAGAAGTAAATGCCAATAATGTGCTTAAAAATAACTTATATAAGAAAGGTAATATTTTTGGGGAACGGAACGCCTGCGTATGGCTACTCTCCTCCGGTCCGCCGATGACCCGTTTTGCTCTATAGCGTGCATCATAAAATACAAATAAAAAATATTTTTCGTCAAGAAAAAAGACGCACTGTGGTGTCAATACACTCACTTTTAATTGAAAAGAGGGTCACAAACCGTCACAGAAACAATGTGAGAAAAGGAGTAAAGACGAAACGTTTAATTTTCACAGGCGAAACACACGAATGTTGTCTTACGCTCATTTATTCGTGATAATCAATCAACAACATCATCATCATCATCATCATTACAGCCCTTCACAAGTCCACTGCTGAACATAGGCCTCCCCCAAAGAATGCCACAAAACACGGTCCTGAGCCACCTGCATCCATCGACTTCCTGCATGTCTTACCAGGTCGTCACTCCATCTTGTGGGGGGACGCCCTACACTTCGCCTACCGGTACGAGGCTGCCACTCGAGAACCTTTCTTCCCCATCGGTTGTCGGTTCTTCGAGCTATATGGCCGGCCCACTGCCACTTCAGCTTACTAATCCGTTGGGCTATGTCGGTCACTCTGGTTCTACTGCGGATATCCTCATTCCTAAGTTTATCACGCAGAGAAACTCCGAGCATAGCCCTCTCCATAGCTCGCTGAGCGACCTTGAGCTTCCTCATACGGCCAGCAGTGAAGGACCACGTCTCAGTTCCGTAAGTCATCACTGGCAACACGCACTGGTTGTACAATTTCGTTTTAAGGTTTTGAGGTATGTCTGGAAGACTGCAATGAAGTGGACGATATGAATGACAAGCTCGTGGAAACTGTCCATGCGGTCGGAGCTAAGTTCTGCAAGACCCGCCGCAGAAGAACACAAAAACTCTCCGATCACACTCTTAATCTCATGGCTGTTAGACGGGAGATGAAGCTACATTCTTCAACAGACTTGACAGCATACAGGCATCTGAACAGACAGATCTCCAAATGCATGCGGCGGGACTTACGCAACTTCAATACAGCTCGTATTGAAGAAGCGATCGAGCGGAACCAAGGCTCCAAAGTCTTTGCCAGAGATCTGTCTGCCAGAAAGAGCCAACTGTCAAAGCTGAAGACAGAATGTGGCAGCATCGTTTCCGGGACACCTGAGATTTTGAGTGAGATTGAGAGGTTCTATGGGCAGCTGTACACATCATCGTTGGAGCCACACGCAAGTGTGAGTAACGATCCAAGAGCGAGTCTCATCCGACACTATTCAGAAGATATCCCGGATGTCAGTCTAAGCGAGATTAGGATGGCTCTCCAGCACATTAAAAACGGTAAGGCCCCAGGCGAGGATGGAATTACAGCGGAGCTTCTGAAAGCGGGTGGAAGACCGGTACTTGAAGTCCTTCAGAAGCTCTTTAATTCCGTCCTCCATGGTGGCATTACACCGGAGGCGTGGAGCAGAAGTGCGGTGGTCTTGTTCTTCAAGAAAGGTGACAACGCTCTCTTGAAGAACTACAGACCGATTTCCCTTCTGAGCCGCGTCTACGTGCTGTTTTCGAGAGTCATTACGAATCGTCTCGCGCGCAGACTTGACGACTTCCAGCCTCCCGAACAAGCCGGTTTCCGAAAGGGCTTTAGCACCATAGACCACATACATACCCTTCGGCAAGTTGTACAGAAGTCCGAAGAGTACAATTTGCCACTATGTCTGGCGTATGTGGACTATGAGAAAGCCTTTGATTCCGTCGAAATTTGGGCGGTGCTGCAGTCCCTTCAGCGGTGCCAAGTTGACTGTCGGTATATCGAAGTGTTGAAGTGCTTGTACAGTAGGGCTACGATGGCTATCCGAGTACAGAACCAGAGTACGAAACCTATCCAATTGCAGAGAGGTGTAAGACAGGGTGACGTCATATCCCCGAAACTCTTCACCGCTGCATTGGAAGACGTTTTCAAGCTTCTGGACTGGAAAGGATACGGTATCAACATCAATGGCGAGTACATCACTCACCTTCGATTTGCCGACGATATAGTCCTTATGGCAGAATCGCGGGAGGACCTAAGCACTATGCTCAATGACCTCAATAGTGTTTCCCAACGGATAGGTCTTAAGATGAACATGGACAAAACAAAGATCATGTTTAATGTCCATGTCACACCTATGCCGGTAGTTGTTGGGAGCACTAAGCTCGAAGTTGTTGACGAGTATGTTTACCTGGGACAAATAGTCCGACTGGGTAAGTCCAAGTTCGACCGAGAGGTCAATCGACGGATTCAACTCGGCTGGGCAGCGTTCGGGAAGCTACGACACATCTTCTCGTCAGACATACCTCAATCAACAACATGAAATGAAAATAGTCGATATTATTAAAAATATCGAAATTATACGTGCTCGGCGGTGAAAGAATACTTTGTGAGTAATTCTGCTTGTCTCCAGTCCGCTAACGCACTAGAGCAGCGCAGCGGACTAGTTGCTACATTACCCTCTCAGAAATTATAAGAAGCCTGTGCTCAGCAGTGAGATGTTTACAGAGTGTAATTTTGAATTTAAAATTATATTTAATATTGGAGATACATTAATTTTTACAAAATAATTCTAAAGATTTATTGTTACAAAATAAGAAGTAACCGACGTTAGGAGTCGACGGCTCCATGGTTGCAGTGCCAAGAGCCCCGGGTTCGAATCCCGCACGGAACAAGTATTTGTATGGCCTACAAATAATTGTTCCGGTCTGGATTTTTGTCCTTGTTAAATTTATGTATGTAAACTGCCTCCACGATACAGGTGGAGGTAACCTTTTTTTAAAAAGAAAAAAACCTGTGATGTGGTTTAATTCAGTATACTTTTATACCAGGACACGATAGAAAATGCAAGTGAAACGTGGGTTAATAAGCCAAAGATGAGAAAGGGCTTAAAGCGGGCATTGGCGATTGAAGAGACACCTTTTATTTGCACTCCCAAATTAATTCGAACAAAGAGGTAAGTTCATTACACTAAAAGTTGTTTACTAAAAGGAGTATTTACATGAGTTACGAATTCCAAGAGTAGGTTCTTATATTTATTTGTCACACTTATTACTCTTTATCATTACCATCATTATTTCTTTATATAAAAATAAATTGCTGTTAGTCTCGATAAAATTCAAAAACGGCTCCATCAATTTTGATGAAATTTTTTGTGTGTGTTTAAATGGGTCCCGAGATGATTTAGATTCACACTTGGACCCGGTGAGTGGCGATGTTGTCGAGATCCAGAAATCACCCGGGATGGATCGCTAGTAGCTTATAAAAACATATTATTTAACAGTGGTAGAGCCACGCGGCAGCTTTTGCTGTCGCACGGATGGGCCGGCTCGAACCGGGGTGGTACCACGACCTCACAGAAAACCAGCGTGAAGTAGAGGTTTACCTCTGCGTTTCGCTTGGTGAGTGCAGGTGGCCGGAGGCCCTTTTTACTGGAAATGAGGCATTCCATCTTAGTCCTCACGGGTGACAACGCATCTACATTTTGATTTGTAATAGAGGATAGATGTAGATGTCTATGGGCCGCAGCAACCACTTACCATCAGGTGGACTGTGTGCTCGTTTGTCACTCTTATCCTATAAAAAAAAACATAGGCCACCACTATAGATTGCCACATAGGAGGGCTATTTGCCATAGTTGCCATGCTTGGCATGCGGGGAGGGGGGGGGGGGGGGCAACTGCAGTTTTTATTGTTTATAATTTCACTATACCGGCGTCTCTCGGAAGCCATAAGATCTTTATGACATTTATGACCCTATTAGTAGTCCTTTACTACACCCACAGCTAAATGGTGTGACGAATTCTCCCGCAACCACATGGCACGTTTTACATGAATCTGCTTATAACAAAATGTTGCGGTTTGTTTCGAATCAGCTTATTATATCATATAGCCAATGTTTTGGTTATTTCAGCTTATTCTCCTCCGAACAAACTGACAGTGAAGCAACGCCATCAAAGCGTGCGAAATTCGACATAACGGGCAGTCCGAAAACGCCCAAACACGGCGCATACAAAGCGAGCGAAAAGCTAAGCGAGCAAATGGCCACCCTACTGGACATGCCTGAAGTACAGAGCCCCGGGTATAAATACAATGAAAGAAGTGGTGCAGGGACACCGCAAAGCATTTTGAAGGTAAGAATTTCAACATTAAATTTAATGTGTTGACCTAATGCGCTGCTATGAAAAGTAATAAATAAGAATAAGATCTGATGTGATTTCTGTAATTACTTATATTAAAAATATTAAAACCCCCGAAATAAAAAGGGCTGGTGATTTTCAAACGACCAAACAGATTTTCTTGAAATATAACTAAGAACACTCGATTAAGACACCTTTCAAACGAAAAAACTTAATCAAAATAGGTTCATCCGCTCAGGAGCTATAATGGACTGAGCGTTAGCCTCACAAATGTGACCATTCTCTAAAAAGAGACAAAGCGACTGAGCAAGAGTTTAACTACTGGCCGCAGGTTAGCTTTGTCTCTCTCGCACTTTCGGTCTGTATTCACTGCACAACTGAATATGGAACGCGCAGTCCATTCTCTCTATGTCTATGGATGCCACAAACAAACACACTTATACACACTACAAACATAATATAATAACACCCTTCTGTTTTCGTCTGGTGTTTTTGTTTCTAAACAGTAGTGCACGCATTGCTGATGCGGTTTAAAGAGAGACTTATAGTGTCTTTATTATACTGAAACAACAATGAAGATACATTTCTGGAAATAACAAAAGCTAATTTCTTTTTGTTTCCAGACAAGAAGGCACGACGTTTTAGGAAGAGAGGTAGCATGTTCCCCAGTGGACTCCAGGTACTTGGGTGAAAGCGACGACGAGCTTTTGGAAACTGGCAGCAACCATACCCATTATAGCGACTCTAAGTAAGTAACCATAGTCGCATATATATGATATAACTTATGAAATACTTCCCAAAGTTGCTCGCAACATCAAAGGACTGTTGAATTTCTTCAGGAAGATTTCATGGCTCGAATAATCATATATGCCCACACGCAAAATACGCGCTTAGACGTGGAGTTGTGGAAAATAGCCCGCCGTAAACTAAACTACCTATACTAAACTAAATAGGTTACAACGCAGTATATCGCAGACCTTATTACTTACTGACATTTTCCACAGTCGCTTCTTACGACGCCCAGGAGACGCAATGGAATGTGGATTGTCTTACCGTGTCACTACACGGATACTATCCATAACCCATTTACTTTTTGTATAGTAAAGAAATATCATTTGTATGTTATATTTCGCAGACATCTAAGGTTCACAATCCCAACGGCCTCTGAGTCGAGTTCGAGCCCGTCCCCACCAGTGCCAGTGCCTGTGCCGGTACACCGGCCGGAAAAGGAAAGGGAACCGTCAGAGACTAGAGAAGAAATAGAGGTATATTATATAGTATTAGTGTTTTACCTGACTCAGAAGAAGACACACACAATTTAATATAGATCAACCATGTTATGTTTTTCGACTGTATGTAGGTGAACAAATGTTCTGTTTTTCGAGTGTACGTGTTTTTTATTTCTTTGTGAACGGAATTTTATAGTCGCTTTTAGTAAACGGTTTGACTGTTTTTGAGTGCGATTTGTCGTTAGATTTGTCTTAGTCTATGGAATGTAATGGGCTACATTTTATGTTATTAAAATTTGTTAAATAGTATTAGTTCAATGCAGTCAAGTTTTTGTTTTTTAATAATATTTTACTTGTTTGTATACTTTTATATCTTAATTTTTGATCTTTATGGAGTGTGCTTGCAGTTACCTCTTAGTCTTATTCCATTTCATTGGTAATTATTATAATTTTGGAGATAATTTATCATTAATAACAAGTGAAGCATAGAACAGTAATGACAAGAAATATATAGCTGCGAAGTTTCTTAATTATCCCTCTCCGCCGAAATCAACAAAATGGCAGTAGGTTGAAAAAAATATTTTTATATGTTCATGTTTCATATCAATTAATAAATGGCTTGATATGTACATTAGTTCTTGGGTGAATATAATACAATAAAATAAAATGTTTTTATTCAATATAGATTATTACATAATACTTATTGAAAGTATTTTTTTTATTTACCGCTAGCTCGGAAAATACCTCTGTCCTGGGCAGAACCAGTAAGAAACGGGATTTTTCTAAACATATTTCACTTTACAATAATATTGTACAATTTTTAAATAAATTTTTATGGAACCAGCATAGTGGCGATCATCTTATTGCACATATCTTATGTCACTTATAACCCTTTTTGTACAATTTTGTGATCTGAATATGAATTCCAGTTGAGTTCAAATAAACACCAACTATAAGTTATGATGACCTTTGTGTCTCTCCATCTAAGACTTCCACAAATCTTGTTGCTAAACAGAAGATATTTTTTTTTGTAGGATAGGGTGACAAACGAGCACACAGTCCACCTGATGGTAAGTGGTTGCTATGGTCCATATATATCATATAGACGGATAATACGAATCAAAATGTGGATGCGTGACAACCCGTGAGGACTAAAATGGAATGCCTAGTTTCCAGTAAAAAGGGTCTCTGGTTTTCTACACTCACCATACAAACACAGCAGCATTGAAAAATAGCAGATTTTTGGCTGGTATTCTTTGAGAGCGTGTTCCTTCCCCGGTCGAGCCGACCCATTCGTGAAACAACTATACCTGTGTTATAACAGCGGCATGGCTCTACCAATATATATAATACCATGGCCACCAATAACTATAACATTTTTGTTTTACGCAGTTGATGGTCTCTACATTCAATGTCACGTCGTCGAAATCATCATCGTCAACTTAATTACAACCCATCACAAGTCCATTGCTGAACATAGCCTTCCCCTAAGAAATGCCACAATACACACGGTCCTGAGCCACCTGCATCCACCGATTCGTGCAACACTTACCAGGTCACCGAATTAAAGCAGTACATTATGATAGAATTAAGAAATATTTGGGTATAGCCGTGTTACTCTGATAGAAGTAAATTTATATAAGTTTACAGTAAGTACCTCGTTTCTAAAATTGAAATAAAATTATTGATATTGTTTTTAGAATGAAGTGCACACCATGGAATCACCGCCAAAGAAACTGGCGACTGAGGGCAAACTTCAATCGAGAAAATCGTACAAGGATACTGTGCGAGCTAGGTGAGTTGAGTTTTTTTAGTCATGCTGAACATAATCATCCTTATTACAGTTCTACTGAAAACTGCTACACAAAAACAAAGCACGGCGGTCTATCCCATCAATTTCCTGCACGTTTTAACAGGTCGCCCTCCAATAATATAATATACAAGGTTATTTTGCAATAATCGGCCAAATTTGCAGAGCAGGTTCAGAATAAGTAATATAGACAAATTGTGAAGAAAAATTAATGAAAAAAATCTCAAACATTATTTCCTTTTTATCTTTTAAATTTAAAATGCGTGGTAATGCATTATTTTAACTGATTTTACTGCGCACGCACGCATTCGTAAGGGTCGATCGGTAGACAAAAACGTTGATGCCCATAAATCACATTCAATTTGTGATAATTTCAAATATAAATAGAAGCCTTACTTACTTTCAAAAACTGCAATAACGGTATATCACTATTTATATATTTGAACTTATGTTTAAAATTTGGCTACTCTTTGAAAAATAACCCTGTATAAAAATTCATTTTTGTTTCTTCGTATTTTGTGCGCTGCCATACCGTTCATCAGATTGGGCTAAAACTGTCAACTTTTTGCTTAAATTTGTGCGAAGGTTATAGGTATAGTACAATTAAGTTACAATAGGTGGCCCGCGTATCGTACCAACAAATTTATTTGAAATCTGGCTGGCCAGGCAGACGTTATCACACACACATTTCTATAGATTTATTATACGTATAACAAAATCCTCTTTAGGACTAATAGAACCATCAGCAGCCATAATAACAATAAACTAAAAAAAAAAGGAAAACAACCCTTTTATTTACTCTTACGGAAGCGGATAAAAAGTTATGTGTTATATACGGTTATTTACTGTCTACTTACAAAATTTCATGGTAATCTGTTCAGTAGTTTTTCTGTGAATCGTGAACACACAATTTTGGTACAAATTTATTGATGTATAGATTATACATCATTCAACTTCAATGAATGTATTTTCATTCCTAATTAAACAATATAATTCTTCCAAATTTAAAACGATATTTCGACAGTTATTTTATCTGTGACAGCAACGCGCCGGGTACCAGCTAGTAGCAAATAAAAAATATTCCTTGTGGAATCGATTACCATCAGCGATTTTTCCGGACCGATACGACTTAGGGACCTTCAAGAAAAGAGCCTACTCCTTTTTAAAAAAAGGCCGGCAACGCATCTGCGTTTCCTCTCTGCAGTTGCTAACAACAGCTGCCAAGCGTGGCAACTATGGGAAATACCCCCCCCCCCCCCCCATTGTAAGTAATCTATGGAGGAGGCCTATGTGCAGCAGTGGACTTTAGATAAGCTGTAACAGTAACGGTCAATATTTTAACCCCCGATGGTACAATATGTTTAACGTGTGTATCTGTGTGTACACAGAGATATGGCTCCTGAACGGATGAATCGATTATGATTATTTCTGTTGAAAAGTGTCTTAATCGAGTGTTCTTAGCTATGTTTCAAGAAAATCTGTTCAGCCGTTTGAAGTTCATCAACTCTTTTTGTTACGGTTTTTTTTAAGTTATTGAAAAATTTTTTTCAGACGATCCCTTTCAATATCGGCAAACAGCAGCCTATCAGACGATCCCAATGCGTCTATAGAAAGCATCGCAGACATTCCAGTCACGTTGATAAACCCGCGATACTCCGGGGATAAACGACGTAAACAACCAGAATGTTCATCCGTTATAAAAACTGTCGACGATACCAATGTCGAGGAGAGATATACAGAAAATAATTCGTCCGTCTGTGAGCTCAGACCGGCGCCCGCAACACCGAAAGGAAGGAAGGGCATCAGACAGATAAGCGGTGAAAGTACACCTATAACTGTAAGGTAAGTTTATCAATGATTTTTTCACAAGTCTGCAGCAGTCCACTATTGAATGCAGACGTCTCTAATTAAAGAGATTTGATAAGAGATTTAGCACTGATCCCCGATGCTGATGTAGGTATTTTAATTCTGACATACTTGAGATGAACTATACTGACTGGTATTAAAGGCCATTAGGTCTGCTTTTTTTCTTTGTTGATACCAATGAACGTACCTTAACAATTTTTGTCACTAGTAGCCATTGACCTACTACTAAATGGACGGCGGGTCTAGAACAAAATTCACGAAAAATGTGTCCCGAGTCAACCTACATAAAGCACAGGTACATGTAAAGAAATACAAAAAAAAAACTATAACATTCTAATTCAAACCATATTGTCATTAGAAAACTGCTCAATTTTACGTGTGACAATTTATGAGCCTATTTTACTTCTACTAGAGGCCGCACTATTTTCACGTTACGAAGCTTGTAGCAAAAATGATCGATATGGTTATTAGTTTTTGCAATTAATATCAATTTAAATTAAATACTATGTATCTGCAAATTATTATTTTTAAATGATGAAATATTAACAGTCCTTATCGAAAATATGATTCACCATCGTCTTTTCTGACTTTACTAAAGTAGTTTTGAATGTTTACACAATATGGTACGGCATTTTGGACGTGTATTAAGTCGGTCAACAAAACGAAGACTGGCGCGCGATTGGGACTCTTCTTTCAGTTTGGAACTCTTTTGGCTCGGACACTTTTGAACGCGAACCCAAGGTTCATTTAGTAGGTCAATGCTAGTAGCGAACCCATTTTTGTAATCTAAGCTAAAGGATAAGAAAATCATTTTAATTAAGGCAGTCCTTCGGGGCAACAATGCATATGTAGCCCATTTTATCCGAAGTTGTTTATCGCTGTCCATACACTGTATTATCACCATCTAGTGGACTCCAAAGAAACAAAACTTTGGTAGTACAATGTTTTTTTTATACTTAGGTGAAAAGTATGCAAGAATTTCATATATTAAAACATTTTTGTTGCAGAAGTAGATCAGTGACACCTGAAAGGCAGGATTCACCTACAGTGACATTGTTGCGAGCAAATAGAGTAACTCGGTACGTAAATGACTGATAGATATATTATACTATATAGTATATTTGTAAAATGGTGTCCGCGAGTGTAAGCGCAAACTCTTAACACTTATCTTAAAGTACCAAGTATGGACTTGTGGTTCTTGGATTGTTGTACTTTAGAAAAATTCACTAGGATGTTTATATTATAATCTGTTTAAAATTATAGTAATAAAATTTACCCCAAATATCATCATGTGGATGTTGTAAGAGGTTCTTATAACAACTTAATAATATTAAAAAAAACGATGGTTACAAATATTTCCATTCTATAAGGAATTGGAAGAGGGCTATGTTCAGCATTGGACTTGTGATGTGCTGCAATTAATGATTTTTTTTTCAACAAAAGTATAAAAGAACTACACACTTGGTAGAGTCATGCTGCAGCTATATTATGGTTGTAGCACGAATGGGTCGGCTCTGCCGGGGTTGGACCACGCTCTCACAGAATACCAGCGTAAAATAGCAGCTTAACGCTGCTGTGTTTCATATGGTGAGTGTAGAGAACCGGAGACCCTTTCTACTGGAAAAGAGGCATTCCATCTTAGTCCTCAGGGGTGACAACGCATTTGCATTTAGATTCTTAATCGAGGATAAATATAGATGTCTATGGGTCACAGCATCCACTTACCATCAGGTGGACTGTGTGCCCGTTTGTCACGCTTATTCTATATATAAAAAAAATAATCACATTAGCTAATGCCGGTTATTATACTCAACGAAACCTAAGAAATACGTTTTGACAGGTGTCAGACTTATTGAACTAGGCATGCCAACCAATAAATCGGTACGTACAATATTCGATTCTTTAGAAAACTCTTTATTAATTCTTTAGAGTTTATAATCATTTACAGTTTTGTTTAGATTAATACCAGAATAAATTAGAAACGGATAATTTAAAACACTAGATTTATCAGTTTCTTCGTATTTATTACTACTGCTTATATCTAGAGGCAAAATTATATAAATTTAAAATTTGAAATTAGATTATAAATAAATATATTCAGTCACTTTCACTACAACTAGTTGGGCTGTCGTTGTTTAGATTAATTATTATTGGATTTTCAATAATGTATCAAAATTAATGTTCTTTCAAAGTCATCCATAATAATTTTCTTTGTTTTCTCCACCACTTTTGCCCAATTGTTCTTTATGACATGGGTATAATATGCTTCATTCAGCAGAACTTCCATTTTCTTTACAAAGCATGAAATATTTCCATCTCGTGTGTGTTTATGTATAGTTAATAATGTGTTTGCATTAAGAGCATTTCATATAAGAACTAGCCTTTTATTTGGGCCAAAATCAATTCAATAGCATTATAATGGCAGTGAATATTTTGTAAAAGGGTTGTAAACCACTCTTTTCTACCGACTTCAAAAAAGAGATGGTACTCAATTCGACTGCATGTTCTTTTTAGGTTTCCGTACCTCGAAAAGGAAAAAACGGAACCCTTATAGGATCACCTTGTTGTCCGTCTGTCTGTCTGTCAAGACCCTTTTTCTCAGGAACGCGTGGAGGGAGGTATCAAGCTGATACATATCAAATACTCAAGTCTACTGTCTCTTGGAGCTGTGAAAAAATCAAACTTCTAAGCCAACACAATCAAAAGATACAGCCGGTTATGCCACAAATTTTCGACATTCGCAAGAGAATCAAAACCTACAGGGTACTTCTCGTGAACTCAGAATCTTGAAGTTTGGTACGAAGCAACGTTTTATAGCACAAATAAAGGAAAAATTGCGAAAAGCATAAATTTTTAGTTACATCATATAATAAAAATATTTTTAATAATTTTAAACTTATATACCTACGGATTTGTTCGGAACCTTCGGTGCGCGAGTCCGACTCGCACTTGGCCGGTTTTTTTTTCTTTTGGAACGACGTTCCTTATCGGACGGTACGTATTTGGCGGATGGGGGCTAGGCGAGAAAAAGTGTAAGATTTTTCCGTCACGGCCCCTTCTGACGTAGTGTAGCACGCTTTTCTGCCGACTTCCAAAAAGGAGCCGGCACTCAATTCGACTGTGTTTTTTTTTTTCGTTTTTTTTTTATGTGTGTTACCTCAGAACTTTTTTCTGGGTGAACCGATTTCGATGATTCTTTTTTTATTTGAAAGCTGGTACTTCTCGTGTGGTCCCATATGAATTTGATCAAGGTCAGACCAATAGTTTTTAAGTTATTCTTAAATAACTTATATTGAAGTCGGCTGTACAAAATTTTTAATTTTAAATTATTCATATAAGATGTGTCATGAAAGAAATATAATTTTATTATAAAAGACGCCTCGTTCGTATTTGTTAATGAATAATATAATACGTTTATAAATAATAAAATACTACGAAAAGAACTTCGTTCCAACCGAGTGTTCCACGACACTCACGCATATTTTTATTTATGTGTGTTACATCATAACTTTTATCTGGTTGAACCGAATTCGATGATTCTTTTTTTATTTGAAAGCTGTTGTTTCTCATTTAGTCCCATATAAATTTGATCATGGTCTGACTAATATAATTTGACGGCTCCGTGGCGCAGTGGCTTAGCAATGAGTTATTGCACTGAGGGCCGCGGGTTTGAATCCCGCCCAGAACAAGTATTTGTATGGCCTACAAGTAATTGTTCCGGATCTGGATGTTTGTCCTCTGCAATTTATGTTTGTAAACTGCCTCCACGATACGAGAGAAAATCTTAGGAGGTAACGTTTTTGGGGATCCGTACCTCAAAAGGAAAAAACGTAACCCTTATAGGATCACTTTGTTGTCCGTCTGTCTGTCTGTCAAGACTCTTTTTCTCAGGAACGCGTGGAGGTATCAATCAAGCTGAAATTCCATATCAAATACTCAAGTCTACTGTTCCTTGGAGCTGGGAAAAAATCAAACTTCTAAGCCAACATAATCAAAAGATAAAACCGTTTATGCCGCAAATTTTCGACATTTGCAAGGGAATCAAAACCTACAGGGTACTTCCCGTGAACTCAGAATCTTAAAATTTGGTACGAAGCAACGTATAAACAATACACGCACAGATAAATGAAAAATTGCGAAAAGCATAAATTTTTGGTTAAATCATATAATAAAAATATTTTGAATAATTTTAAACTTATATACCTATGGATGTGTTCGGAACCCTCAGTGCGCGAGTTCGATTCGCACTTGGCCGGTTTTTTTAAGCGTACAACAGCAATAGTTTTTGAGTTATTCTTAAGAATTTAAGAATTCGAAGTCGGTTGTACATTTTTTATTTTAAATTATAATTACTTTGCATCCATTTCCTCATCGTATTCTCTTCTACTCTTCAATTGGAAAGCTAATAAACAATTTTTTACAAATCTTCATCCAGCGGATCCCGCATCACCTTTTCCCATGGGTACCTTCGAGCAAAATGCTGCAGTGTCATCGTTTCATCAACGAATATGACGTTGACCCAATTGGTTATATTTTTCATTTCTCTTATAAAATGTTATATTATTAATGAGGCTATGTCATGCCTCCATAGTTATTTTGCGTTTATAATTTTTTATATCGGAAGCGCATGCGTTTTAAAAAGGTTCTCAAAGACTACCATTGTATAAACCGCCATCTACTGAGCTTTCTTGCAACTAAGCCGCAGTAGGATATTCTTATTTAGATAATATCATAAAATTAGTAATGTGAGATATTATTGTTTATGATATTTCTATGTATATAACTTGTCAAGGTTAACGAATATAATAGAATCAGTCCAAAAAGTTATAGCCGAGTCACAAAATAAGGTAAACACAAAATCACAAAAGTATGCGAAGTAAGCTCCCAAAATGGCGGAAGATTGAAATTACGTAGTGTTCTTTACAGTGCGGATTTGCATATATGAATTTATTTGCCTACACAAATTTACACTGACAAAGTAGGAAGTTATAAAATAAATAAACTTGTTTAATTCGTGATTCATATAATTTAAGCAATTCTAAAAATAAAATTTAAATAAACAAATAATAAATTAAATCATTTCAAGATTCGATTAATTGAACATTTTTACCGATTATTCGCATAACAATGAATTTTAAACATTCAAACACTACGGTAAGGTATATAGCGATATATTATTGAGACAACGTCAGGCAAAAAAGTTGACTCTGGTTAATTTTTTTTAATATTTTGCTTTTTCTGAAAGAATCGAACTTGAATTAGTAATAAAGAACTATATATGTGGTAATGAAATAGATAACTTCATAATTCTTTGGATTTACGTAAAAAGTTATTTTGAAACAGAAACTTTTTTATTCAATATAGATTATAAATAATACTTATTGAAAGTCACTCTTTATGTTTCATGGTGAACACAATCGAAGGCTTTGGATAGGTCACAAAATATACCCAATGAATCCTGTGAATTCTCCCATGCATTAAATATATATTTAATCAGCTCAACACCGGCATCAGTTGTCGAGCGACCCCTTGTGAAACGAAATTGATTTTTATGAAGTAAATTATTTATATTAAAGAAATTTAACATTTGATCAAGAATATTTTTTTCAAAAATCTTACTAAGTGTTGGTAGTACAGAAATAGGTCTAAAATTGGCGGGTCTAATGTACTACCAGATTTAAATAAAGGTATTACTTTACTATGCTTCATTAAATCAGGAAACACACCAGATTCGACACTAGTATTAAAAATAATAGCTAAATGAGGCGCGATTGTATCTATTATAGACGCAATAACTTTAACGACAATCCTCCACAGATCCGCAGTTTTCTTAACATCAATTGTTTTAAAATATTTTACAATATCTTTTGATGATACTTTATGAAATGCAAAATTCTTTGTACACGCATTTACATTTTGTTTAAGTAATGATTCGGCGACCGCAGGAGAAGAATTCAGTGACTTAGTGGTTAATATCGGAATATCAGTAAAATATTTCTCAAAAACCATTGCAACGTCCTGATCTGATTCGGTTAATTTGTTACTAACACTTAACTGGTAGTGTGAATTGCGAGAGTTGATCTTACCAGTTTCGCTATTAATTATACTCCATGTCATTTTAATTTTATTAGAAGCCGTCTTAATTTTGTTGCTCAAATGCAAAGACTTGGCTGTGGAGCACACTCTTTTAAATATTTTTGAATATTTCTTCACATATTCCCTAAATTCGACGCTATGATTATATGACCTTTCATGGTAAAGATCATATAACCTATGTCTGCTCTTATGGACTCCTACTGTCGCCCATTCATTAAATGACTTCCGACTGTTCAAGGAGAATGTTTTAGAAGTAAAAGTATTATTAAATTCATTGCAAATAAGCTTAAATAATGTTCCATACAAAAAATTTGGATCATTTTGATATGAAAGTGATGGAAGTTTTTTCACTGGAAGGTTTTTGCATTTACTGGAACAAACACAACTTTCTCATCTACTTGCTTTTTGTTTAATGTAACGAAACTACCTGTCCACAGTGATCAGAACTTAATTTTTGAATTATACGTTTATGCAACGTCTTCACATTTGTAAAAATGTTATCTATACATGTTGCACTAGATTGAGCAATACGCGTTGGCTCTAAAAATAAATTAAAAAGACCATATGATTTAAACAATGATCTAAATTTAATATTGATGGAGGAAGCTTCTAGGAGATTGATATTAAAGTCTCCACATATTACAACAGATTTATTCTGTTTATTAAGCTTAGCAAAAACTTGCTCCATAATTTTTTCAAAAGTATCGTATATAGAACATGGGGGTCTGTAGACGTTCACAACAATGAGGTGCTCAAACTCAACACATGCCATTTCTACAGTTCGCTCAACAGAGAGGCTCACAATATCTTTACGTTCTTTACATGACAATAATTTACTAGCTAATATTAAGGAGCCACCTCTTAAAACCGTTTCTCTATTGAAAGAACTGACCACCTGGTGATTACTGAAGTTAAACATTAAGTTATAAGCTTTTAACCAATGTTCAGTAATGCATAAAATATGAATATTGTTGCTATTTAAGAACAACTCAATTTCTAGCTCTTTGCCTATCATGCCTTGTATATTTTGATGCACCAGGTGTAAACAATTTTCATTATTACTCTGTGGAGTCATACAATTAAAGATTTGTAAGCTACATTCTAAATTATTTAAATTATTACAACTGCTAGAGATTACCTCTATTGTCTCATTTTCTAATTTAAATTACTTGGAACTGATTCCAAATTACATATTAAGTCATTATACTGCTCAAAAGGAGCAGATGTCTGTGTAGCCAAGTCCTTGGCTGAGTTAATATATAAACAATAAGATAGCACATTTGCTATCTGTCTTAAAATATATTTAGATAGGTAATACCTATCTCTAGTCAAAAATTTCTTAATTAAATTATTTATGTCTATTAAATTAAATTAATTATTATAATTATAACAATTAAATGTCAAGTTTAAATTATTATTACATGAAAAGTTAATCATTAATAAATTTAATTTTAAATCTTGTGAGTACGCTTGTACAAAGTTATTGCGGAATGATTAATGTGAAACGTAAAAACGTATTTCTTAGATTTGGTTGAGTATAAACAACTTAAAAAGGAGGAGGATTCTCAGTTCGTATATATATATAATGTATATTTTAATGTAACTATTAAGACAACATTCTAGTTTTTAACTAGAACTTGTAATATTCTTTAGTCCGCACGAAAAGATTAAAAAAAAAAACCTTTTTTTATGTTTTTTTAAACATACATAAATTGCACAATGACAAACTACAACAACAACAAAACAAGTAAAAACTTACTCTACCGGAAGCTCAAAAAAGGTGAACATATTAGCGTAACAACACACACAAACCACTTTATTTATATGTATATATTAAAAAAGCCATTTCAAAAAATCCATATTAAAATTATTCATGAAACCATCAACAGGAGCAGATCCCGCACTCCTGAATTGAGCCCCCGTTCATCTTTAGCACCCATACCTGAACAACCCAAACAGGAAGTTGAAAGTGAACCACATCCTACGAAGACTACTCTCAGTATACCAAGACCACTCAGGTATATATAATACCTTTATTTTCAATTAAGGACATAGTTACATTTATGACGTATTCAAATTGCAAACCGACTTACGCACGCACACATTGAAACAGTTTTCCGGTATATTTTATATATTATACCTAACTAAACTTGATACTTGCTCATACCAACAAAGGAAGAAAGGTTTCAAGTGAAGAGGAAACCATCCGCAACTTTATGACACGCACGCATACATCTTTCTTCTTTTTTTCTTTATAAGCCCGTAAAAGCTTGCACCTAAGACCATGTTAATGGTTGCAAATAAAATGCAATAAATGCATACATGTACGTGTGTGCGTCTGCTTATTATAAGGTGAGCATGGTTTTGGCTTGGTTTTTGCATCACTTGAAATGTACGCAGCGCTGCGTTTTTCTTTTTTTTTTTTTGTTGATACGTCACGTGGCAATGCTGGTGTGCGCTTGCAGCTGTATTACCGTATATGTACCGATTGTAACATGGTGTGTAAGTGCGGAACCTTTTTTTTATAAATTTATTTAATTTTCACTAAGGATTATCTTGGTAAAGGTTCTCTAACTAACGACATACAAGATGATGGTGGAATTCATAATTAGAGGTTTATTAACTTAAGAAATTAGATTAAAACAAAATTAATTACAAGCGTATTATAATGTATTATTAAAAATAAACTAATCGGATCAATAATCAAAAAATGTTAATGCATAGTATTTTACTGGGCAAAATTTAAAAATGTATGTTTTTACACGTTATTTCTTTCAATTTTAACATTAAGGATGAGAGAATACTTAAAATTTCTGAATACTTTAAATGTATTAGAAATAAAATTATGTTCACTCGGTAGCGCAGCATTTAAGACATTTGGTTGCGGCTCTGCAGAGCCATGAGTTCTGAATACTGTTCCCATCGCTGGGCTGGAAGCTCCGCAGTGCCAGCTCCTTCCACTTGGCTGCATCCAGCGCAGAGGGGCTCGAATCGTCAACGACCGAGTCCTTTCCGATCGGCTCGATTCACTGGCGCTGCGAAGAGATGTTGCATCACTTTGCACTTTCTTCCGCATCTACCACGGGGAGTGCTCTGAGGAACTTTTCGGATTAATCCCAGCCCCCAAATTTTACGAACGCACATCATAGCGAAATTCCCGATACCATTCACTCCATCTGGATGCTTGGTGGTCAACCACTGTACGTTTCACTAGGAGTTTTCTTCCGCGTAAAGCCTCTCTGTGGAATAGCTTACCACTAGTTATTTTTCAGGACTGATACGACTTAGGGACCTTCAAGAAAAGAGCTTACTCCTTTCTAAAAGGCCGGCAACGCACCTCCAATTCCCCTGGTGTTGCAGTTGTTCATGGGCGGCGGTAGTCACTTACCATTTGGTGAGCCGTATGCTCGTTTGTCTCCTATAAAAAAAAAGAATACACAAGTGTTTGGTAAGGCCTTCTAATAATTATTCCGGGTTTGAATGTTTGTCCATATGCAATTTACGTATGTAAAAGGCCTCCACGATATAGGAGCAAATTGTACTGTTGTAATAAGTCAAATTGGTCTATGTAATTAATACTGATTTAAACTTCGTCATTTATCACATTGTCTGTTCTTTATGAATACTGTTACGTAACTGTTGGGCAATTTGATATAACCTAACTTAACCAAACCTAATCAATATTAATCACTTTTAATAAGTTAATAATGTTCAAGTTGTTAAAAAAAATTATTTGCTAATAATAAAAAAAAATATTCATAATGCCTGGTCAATTTCATTATTTCAATAGTTTTTATCAAATTGCCTACTCATGTTGGGCATTATTGATATTGCCCGGTGTTTATTAATAGTAATCTGAAGTCTGTGACATCCAATGTCAATGAATGTAAATTATTTTATAGTAAGGACATGCTTCAGTTACCGATGGGCCTGTTATTGTTTTCCATTCTGTAAATGTCAGACTATTGCAATATTTACTTTTAAAATACTGACATTCGATACATGCGGAGTAACTTTCTCCGTTTCTTCTCCAGTTATAGGAAACTCATTTTGAAACGGAAGTTGAATTAAAAATTTTCATTTGACAAAAGAAATTTTAGTTTCTTTACGTACATTTCATTTTATTTCATCGAGATAAACGGTGTTGTTATTGGTTTGTGTGCTTCTACTATGCAGTTGTTACCTTAATTTTTTAGTCTAGCTGATGGTTAATTTTTACTGTGGCCCATCGACATCTACATCTTTCCTCCATTGAGAATCAAAATGCAAAAGCATTGTAACCTCTGAGAACTAACATGGAAAGCCTCAATTACATTAAAGAGGTCTTGGGTTCTCCACACTCACTATGTGAAACACATTATTAACGTAAAATAACATCGTTGAACTGCTATTTTACGCCGATATTATGTGAGAGTGGGGTCCTCTCCCGTTCTGCTGACCCATTCGTGCTACAACTATAATATAACTGCAGCATGACTCTACTACGATAAAAATCTAGTATTTTCTTCTAACTGCTTACTGTATTTTATGAATGTTTTATGAAGTAAAGTCGTTACTAAGAACTACTTCTTTTTTAAATATTTTCGAGAATCATTTCTAACAGTATTTATTTTCAGAAGCAGCTCACGAACACCCGAGTTGGTAAAAAGCGTGGTGGGGTCACCGAAATTAGAAGCGATAACTGAATCGCCCACGAAGTCATCCAACTCCGAATCTCCTGTATCTTCTCCTACCCGGCGAAGCTTGAGGTAAAGTTTAAAATAGTAACCAATTTCTTTGAAATTACAAAAAGAAATTTTGCTTGCCCTACGCAAAGGCCTTGTAGTGGCGCTGTAAGAATATTCACTACCCCATATCATCCTGTGGGTGTCGTAAGAGTCGACAGATGGAAACAAATCAGAAGATGAGCAGCCGCGTCTTCCTAATAACGACTAAAAATAAAAAAGTACGGTTGCCAACCAGCTTACTATGGCAACTATGACAAAATCACCCCTATGAGGCAATCGATAAGGCAGGCTTATGTTGAGCAGTAGACGTTAATAGGCTGTAACAATAACGGTAACGCGACTGTGCGAGATATGTATGGGAATGCGCGATGTTGTTGGCTAATAATGTACTAGTTACTAATGCCTGATAACCTCGCAGTATGACTCACATAAGGTGTCTAAGGCGCCTATCGGGTTCCAGTAATTAAAATCTCAAAGTCACTGATGTTGTAATTAGAAATTTCAAGATATATGTTACCGGCGGTACAATATATTTCCTACTTGATAGCGGCTTAGCGTGGGCTGTGACGGGGAACGACTGGCGTTCGCCGTCGAGCGCACTCCGGACACAAGTGTAAAATGTCAAATTAAAGCAAAATGTATGTAACTACTGTGGCCCTACACGACTAATGGAAATAAATGCTCAGTAGATGATTTTGTGGCCTTTGATAAATGGTGTCACGGTCATAGTATTATTCATTTTTCAATGCATCTTATTCTTCGCACCAAATGCAGCGCCAATAAAATCTATTGCGGTCAATTGCGAAACTTTCATATCGATCAATTTCGATTTAATAACATTTGCGGTAATCTGAATACCACAGTGTTTCTATAGCCATAATCATTGGAGAATATTTTTCCGGAAAACCTGCTTATAATAATCAATCAATCCATGCATCGGTCTCCTTAAATCATGTGCAATTTAATCTTTGCGCTGTTTCGACAATTTATGTCACATACGTAGTCATTGTATGGCAATTTTCTTGTCGTATTGAGATTAAATCTATGAGCAAAGTTATTTTCTTGAAAAAGTCTAAGTCTTCATAGCCTTTAATTTCATCCAAAACTCCGAGCACTTTGTATATGCACATATAATCCTGGATCAATTATCAAAATTAGTTTTGCCTTAATTTTTGCTATTCTTAAAATTTTCTGCCGCAAAACACCTTTTAGTTTCGGAACACTTTGTATATAGATCGTAGTAATTTTTAGGCGAAATAATAACTTTTTAATTTTTTCGTTGCTGCGATCGGTTACATCGTCCCTCTACCACATAGAAACTATTACATGGTACAACCATGTTGCTACCATAATAGTGATCTCGGCCTTTGAAATAAGAGTTATTTATTTACTATTGAAGATAAAGATGAAAGTGAATGTCTATCTATGTTCTTTCTTTAAGTTATGGTACCTATACTTAAGATATTTTAACAATTCTGTTTCCAAACATTTCAGGAGCCGCTCTCGCACTCCCGAAGTAGAAAAACTCCCCGAACAACCAGTTGTAAGCAGCCCTCGTAGTTTACGGTAAGTATTTATTTAAAACTTCAACCAGCCAACTTTACAAAATATTTACAATGAAAATTTTCGTTCAAAAGAATTGGTTACCATTAACATCATAGAAAGTTATATTATTGAATAACGCTACAATTGCATTTTTATAGCTACTCAATTACTACATTCACCAATGATAGCATTAGCATGAGATGAAATGTCAATAAAGCAAATTAAATTATTGTTCCAAGTTTATTATTGTTGTCGTTAATTAAAAGAGGTATGGTTCATAAGGAACTTGCACACTCAAATTCACTACTATATCCTATAAATTATATCTCTTAAATTCATATTTTATACCTACTGCTGAATCTAACATTAATTTGTATGTTTCACTTTTATTTTAGAAGCCGTTCCAAAACTCCAGAAAAGCTCATGTCCCCTAAGAAAGAACATGCTACAAGAGGTCGAAAACCACTGTCTAGACTTGTGCTAGAGGCAAATATTTTAGCTAAAACAAAACAAGTTGCAGAAAAAACTGAATCTGAACCTACAGAAAATACGGAAAAGTCTGAAAGTGTTTTAGAATGTACTCCTATGAAAGCTAATAAACCTACAAGGTTAATGGATGTTACATTTTCACCTATAATTAATAAAACAGTACTTCAAAGTTCTTCAGAGAGCATTTCTTTTAGTGAAAAAGTTATTCGAATTGATGAGTCGAATTCTAGTGTGGAGTTGAAATCATTTCCAGCATTCACAACAATAAACCAAGTTTGCTTTGAGAAATCAGTTTTGCATAGTTACGAAAGCAGTGTAAGTGAGTCATCAGTTCAAAAAGAAAAGTCTAAATTACACGAAACTAGTACACATGATATCAAAATGGAATCATTACCACCATTTACAACAGTCAACGAAACTGATTTTAATAAATCGGTCCTTAAAAGCTTCGATAGCAGCGTTGCTGACAGTACCGCTGAGGAAGATGATAAAGAACAGAACAAGACTGAAGATACTATACCAAAAGTGCTCCCTTCATTTAAAACATTGAATGAGACAGATTTTAATAGATCAGTTCTCAAAAGCCATCAAAGTAGTATTGCAGAGAACTCTGAAGAAGCAACAAAATCAGAGCTTAAAGATGTGTCGAGTCTTATGACAAGCGACAGTGACATTGAAATGAAAGATGAACAGAAATGGAATTACAAAATCGATAACGAAAACACAGCTAGAGATATACAGAAGGAAAAAGAGAAAATAGTAGAGATAGAACGAGAGATTAACGAGCTTGAAGGAGACATGTCTGAAGATGGAGGGGGGAGTAGTGATGAAGAAATTGTTGAAGCTGTGGAAGAAGAAGAATCTATTGATGGTGAAGAAGTGTCTGATGAAGAAAATTCGGCTGAGGAAGTGAGTATTTAAAAAAAATGTATAAACATGTTTTAATGATCATATTCATATCACAGTTAGCCTTTTGATTAATATTTCGCTGAAATAATAAAGAAAATCACCGTGTAGTGTTGACGTAAGAATATCTATTAATCCATAACACCCTCGTAAAGGATAATGCAGTAATCGGCATTTTTAGAAATGTATCTTTTTATCAAAAAGATTACTAAAGATTATTTAACTATTATCGTTCTCTGTAAGATACGACAAAGGGAAATAAACCAGGAAATGGGCAGCAGCGCCTTCCAATAACAACTAAAAAATAAAAAGTTGTGGTTGCCAACCCGTCTGCCAGGCTTGGATCTTTGGATAAAATCCCTCCTATGAGACAATCAGACAATACATGGGAGAGGCCTATGTTCAAGTACGGACTTTGATAGGTTCAGTAACTGTAATAAAAAAAAATTGTACAAGTGTATTGAAGTATGTTAATTACTTTACAGGAATCGGTTTCGGACAGTAACGATGAAATTATATCTATCAACGATTCAGATTCTGATTCAAATAAACAACAGATAGATAAGCAAACATCAACAGATGATTCTAAGACAGAAAAAAATAATATCGAAATACAAAATGAAAGAATTATTGAAGTGCAAGTAGAAAAAGAAACTGAAAAAGAAACGAAAACGGAAAATACTCACGAAACAAATGTTGAAAGAGAAATAGAAGTCAAGCTAGAAAAAAGACGTGAAAATAGCACAGAAAGAATTATTGAAGTTCAAATTGAAAACGATAGTGAAATGAAAAGCCTCGAAACTTTTAAAGAAGAGGAACAATCAACAGATGTTTTAAACCAGGCCAATATATCGTTACTAACTGATGATAATTCTGCTGTGGATTCAGATGTTAATCTTACCTATTCTGATGACAGTAAGGATAAAGAGGAGGTTAAAAATAGCAGTGTGGTGGTTCAAGATTTGGAAACTGGTAAGTTTAAAATAAGAGTCCGATGGAGACTAGGGTTAAAATACAATACGCAGCTGAGTTTAAAATTCTACCCAAATATACTTGTCTTACTTGACAGAGAGGCAGGTGCGGGCCGCGGAGACCAGGTATACACTCAATTTAAAGGCGTACTGAGAGAGCGAAACTTAATTACGAATGAATTGCATTCGTTTGATCGGTTGTTGTCTCGTTATTTAAAAGGATTCACTCTACAACTCGTACTCTCTAGAAACACAATTGCTTGTAGTTCTCGATAGAAAAAAAATCAAAGCAGTCCCTACAGATACAAAAAAAAGTACGGTGTTAGTACTTCGAGGAAGGTCATCACTTTACATTTTCAAAATGTGTATTTGTTTTAATAATACGAAGGAAATACATATATTTGGTCGCGTTCCGCCTACTTAGCTAGAGCCGCTACGATTACTCCCCGTTAGATAGTCGCGCCGTCGCCGTGAGTTCATGTGGACGCGTCGGCGCCGCGAGAGGCACGCGGCGCGCCGTCACGCAACTCGCAGCTTGCTTTCCCGCTCACACGCGCGCCCTGACCGCATAAGTTGCCTTGTCGCCTCGCCACGCTCGCCACGCTCGCCACGCTCGCCACGCTCGCCACGCTCGCCACGCTCGCCGCTCACTCAGTCGACTCGAATATTTCACCGAGTGAACGTGTATTGTTGTGTGATGTTAACAATGGCACCAACTTCGACTGTTGCACGTATGGGCCGGCTCAAGCCGGGGTGGTACCACGACCTCACAGAATACCGGCGTGAAGTGGAAAATCTGCTTCTGCGTTTTCTCTCGTGCAACAAAGCGACCCTTGCCACGTGACTTTCTGCAACATTAGGGAACTTCACTCGAACCTAAACGCCGTCCACTACCATCCCGATACGGCGAACCCGGAGTTGCTCTTTCTGAGCGAGACGCAGGTGTCCTCTCCGGCTGATACTTCGTATCTCTCCTACCCGGGGTACAAATTGGAACACTCCTTGTGCCTCGGGCTCGAGTTTGCGTATACATCAGAGAGGACAACTGTTCTCGACGCCTCGACAGTCTTGAAGGACCATCCTTTGGCTATGCGTAGACAGCGACGACCATCCGCATGTTTACGGGTGCTTCTATAAGTCCCATAGCGGTAATGCCCAAACAGACCGATTCTTCGACCACGTCCAAATGGCTACAGATTCCTTGCTACAGCAGATCCCATCCGCAGAGATTGTGATCCTTGGCGATTGTAACGCACACCACGCCGAATAATCGGTTCATGTTTAACCGATCATACGGGGAAATCTGTTCATAATTTTGCCTTGGCATGTGATCTGACACAACTGGTAACTTCGCCTACGCGAATACAGATGTGGAAGATCATGCACCTTCCCTGTTGGACCTTCTGCTGACCTCTCATTCAGATAGATATCAGGTCTCCGTCCACTCTCCCCTTGGTTTCTTAGATCATTGTCTAGTCCAGAGTGTGGTGCCACTCACACTAACATCGCGGTTGCATTCTGCAGGCTGGCTAAAAAGGCGACCGCTCAGACCCGTCTAGCTATGCCTATCGCCATTACCTTGTTCTCCAAAATAATGGAATTCATTATAAACTGCCAGCTTATGCTGTATTTTGAGGATCACCAGCTAATGAGTGACCGCCAATACGGTTTTCGTCGGGGTGATCTTCTAGTCTAGTGATCGATCGATCTAGTGATCTTTTGGTCTACCTGACTCATAGATGGGAGGAGGCATAAGGCCAAGGGGAGGCATCAGCTGTTAGTTTGGACATTGCGAAGGCATTCGATCGGGCTTGACACAAAGCGCTTCTTTCGTAGCTCCCTTTCTATGGGCTTCCCGAGAAATTCTGCAATTGAATCACCAGCTGTCTTGCAGATCGGAGCATCTCCTCAGTTTCAAAGCACTCCCCTTATTGCCTCGGCCAGTATCGGAATTCTCGGCGTCGACATATCGAGTGACACTTGGAAGAGAAGGCCAAATTGACCTCTAAAACGCTTTGTGAGCTTAGCAGAGCGTGACAGTATTTCATGCCGGCACACCGCCTGCAAGTTTACAAGGCGCAGGTTCGGCCTCGCATGGAATACTGTTCCATTCTCTGGGCTGGGACTCCCCAGGGCTTTATTAAAAAATATAAAGCTGTTTTTGATACCAGCAATATGGTTTTCTTAATTTTTTTTAAGAAATCTCTTCCTGATAAAACAATATCTAAGGCCTATGGCCAGCCACGCCGCGCCGCCGTGGAGTTGGCCTCCGGCGCTCATATCTACTCCCGTCCGCCTGCCACTTGCGCTTAATTTATAATTCACTTTGTATAGCCGCTAGTCGATCGGCGCTCGGTGCGCGGCTGTGCCTTACGCACACACGGACCGCATAAAACACCAAAATCAGTTAGCGCAAGAAGCTCGACGCACTCTTAATACGTACGACACGCAGACACAGGCAACCTTCGATCACTAATAAAAAACTAGATACCCAATCAGTGACAAAAATGTCCTTAACGAATGGGCGCCCACTCGAACATTTGGGTGCGCTCTTAATCTAGTAGCATTCGAATGCTCCGACGGTAAAAATGCCTCAGTGCTCGTTTAAAAAGTGTAAAGATCACACATCCAGGACGTTAAAAAAGCATGGAATTTCATATTTTTGGTAATTTATTATAGATATTTTGTCAAGAAATCATCGTAAAATCATTTTTTAAATTAAGTCTTAGTAAAATTCATTCCTTGTTCAAGCGATGAACCTCGTTAATAGAATTTGATTCTTTTTTATTGGCACTTTGTAATTCTGATTTTAAAACGTAAGGTTGAATTTGTTTTGATCGGCGAGTATCGGTCTATCGGTCATAAAAATTTATTGCTTTTTGTACGTAGCTTTGTGAATACAACTTTAGGCAGTGAATTTAAGATTGAATTTACATTAATGTATGTTTATTTCAACTAGAATTACGTCAAAACAATTGGCGACAGTTTTTAGAGAACTTTTGTATTGGATTGTGTATCTAGTTTTTTCATTAGTGATCGATGCAGGCAACCAATAAATAGAATTTCTATTCAGTTCCATAATTTTTTTTAGTTTTTGGTGATTCGTTAGTAAAAGTACTGACTGCATTTTTTTTAAAGATTTCTCTGCAAGTTGTTATAGTGGCTGTATCTACTTCATAAGATTTACTGCGCTGCGTCGTAGATTACCAGCAAACTTCTTTCGAAATTGATTTAAGCTGCACGCACATTTGTCAACACCGTACGCGCCGTATTTACTGATGACCTCGCATATTTGCACGTTTCAACAGTGGTAAAGCCACGCGGTAGCTTTTGCTGTCGCACGGATGGGCCGGCTCGAACCGGGGTGGTACCACGACCTCACAGAATACCAGCGTGAAGTAGAGGTTTACCTCTGCGTTTCGTTTGGTGAGTGCAAGCGGCCGGAGGCCCTTTTTACTGGAAATGAGGCATTCCATCAGACAACGCATCTGCATTTTGATTTGTAACAGAGGATAGATGTAGATGTCTATGGGCCGCAGCAACCACTTACCATCAGGTGGACTGTGTGCTCGTTTGTCACCCTTATCCTATAAAAAAAAACGCGCTGAACGCAAATCTTTTGTATTTTTACTTTTGCAGTTTTTTCCAACCACTGTTGTGAAACGGTACAGTGACATTGATCACTCGGAATCGCTCGGATCTCTATGGAAAAAATAGCCTGTTGTGTATATCAGTTATCACCATCGTTAGGCACGTGGTAGAGCAATGCTGCAGCTATATTAGTAGTATAGTTGTAGCACGAGTGGGTCAGTTCCACGCTCTCACAGAATACCAGCGTAAAATAGCAGCTTAACGCTGCTGTGTTTCGTATGGTCAGTGTAGAGAACCAGAGACCCTTTTTACTGGAAAAGAATCATTCCATCTTAGTCCTCACGGGTGACGACAGATCTGCATTTTGATTCTTTATTGAAGATAATTGTAGATGATGGGTCACAGCAACCACTTACCATCAAATGGGCTGTGTGCTCGTTTGGCACCCTATCCTATATAAAAAAAAAAGATTTTTTAATGCGAATTTGAACCACCATTAGATTTCATAATAAAATTAAGTAAACAAAATATGCACGCAAAGTAATCGTCCGACACTGTGAACCAAGAGAATCTTTATAATCTTCCCACATAAAACAAACTTTTGCTTCGCTCTTAACGAATTAATTTTTTTATAGAATAAGGGTAACAAACGAACACACAATCCACCTGATAGTAAGTGGATGCTATGGCCCATAGAGATCTATATGCCTCGTTTTCAGTAAAAAGGGTATTTGGTTCTCTACACTCGCTATACGAAACAAGCAGCTTTAAGCTGCTATTTTACGCTGGTATTTTGCGTGAGCGTGGTCCCACCCCGGTCGAGCCGACCCATTCGTGCTACAACTATAATATATCTACAGTGTGGCCCTACCATGTATGAAAATTTGTTTTTCAAAAGTTTTAATTGGTTACACCAAAAATGTTTTTCCGTAGTAACCACGAGCCCAATAACTATAATTCACTATTTTGTAACATTTTTATAATAATTAAATGTCTTTTAATTTTCTATAATTACAGTGACTCCAGTAATGCAAGTTGGAGTTGTGGTCGAAGAAGTCGTTCCTTCAGACGAAGTAGAAAATGAAGATAAAACAATTAATATGGTACAAGACTTGGACGTCGTTGATTCTAAACAGTCAGATAGTAAGTCACATACAGTAGAGGCACAAACTGAAGAACAGAAATCTGAAATATGTAAAGTTCAAAAAGAGCAAATTATTGAAAAATCTGAGAGTAAAACTGAAGAAGAAACAACGAACAAAGAAACAAAAACAAATAAGGTGTCAAGGAAACGTACTAAATCAACTTCAGACAATTCTTCAAAAGAAATAGAAATTCCTAAAATTACTGAATTAAAAACAACTGAACCAAGGACTCCATTCACTCGTAAACGAACTCAGTCTACTTCATCTAATAAATCTACTAATGAATCTGAACCAAATACTTTTGTTAGTACTACAAAGGAAATCGAAGTTGCTAAAACTGATGCAATAAAAACTACCGAACCGAAGACTCCAGTCACCCGAAAACGAACTCAGTCCACTTCGTCCAATAAGTCTAATACAGAATCTGAACTGAAAACTCCTGAAAACCAAACACTAGAAGCTACAACTCCGTCATCTAGAACACGATCTAAAACTCCTAATACTGAAGTAAGGAAAATACTAACACGACGCGCATCTAAAGAACTAGCTGAAAAAGGCGAAGAAATAGATACTGTGTCACTTAATGAATCTCTAACACCAAGACGACGTTCTACTCGTTCTAGAAGTAAAAACGTAGATGATAACGCTAGTGTTGCCTCTGAAAGCTCTGTTAAATCTAATAAGAGCAAAGCCAGTGAAGATGCTGGAGATGTTAAACGTGTAGCAAGAAAGGGAAGAAAATCCATTTTAAGCACAAAAACAGATTTATCAGTTATACCAGAAGTAACGGCAGAAGAATCAGGCCATAAAGCAGAAGATACTCAGGAAGTAATAAATGAATATTCCACAAATAGACGGTATGTCTTTTTGATTTATAGACATTATTTTTTTAATTTTATGTTTAAATCATATTTTGAGATTTATTTTGTTTTCAAGAAAGAACAGTGGCCACTCTCAATGCTAGGACTAGAAAAATCTAATATAGCGTAACTTGATGAAACATATATATAAACATAAGTCGTTTCATTTGTCTATTTTATATACAAAACAACATTTAGTATATATTTTTAAAGTACTGAAAATCTAGTAATTATGCAATATGTTTTTGATGTTATGTAGTATATTATTAATCTTTAGTATTTTAAAATATAAAAGGTTTTTCTTGGTTCAATAATTAACATAAGTCTATACGGTTGGATTTGTCTAGATTTTAATTTCAATTTAGAAGTCGATTTAGACTAGAAAAAGTATGGATAAAACGTAGGTTGGGATCTTATCACAGAGTTGTTTTTATCAGATTATATTATAGTCTTTGGTACCTATGGACTTCGCTAGTAAAACGTAGTTACCTATATATTTTTCGTTTAGGAACGTTAATAATTACGAATGCGTTCAGTAATAAGATACTTAATACTGCGTTCTAATATTTTAACGTGGTAGAGCCATGCTGCAGCTATTAGTAGTATAGTTAGTTGTAGCACGAATGGGTCGGCTCGAACGGGAAAGGACCATGGTCTCAGAATACCAGCATAAAATAGCATCTTAACGCTGCTGTGTTTCGTATGGTGAGTGCTCTACACTCTTCTCTAACCGGATACCCTTTTTCCTGGAAATGAGGCATTCCATCTTAGTCCTCACGGGTGACAACGCATCTGCATTTTGATTCGTAATCGAAGATAGATGTAGATGTGTATGGGTCACAGCAACCACTTACCATCAGGTGGACTGTGTGCTCGTTTGTCACACTTATCCTATGAGCTATATTTTTCAAAAGACGATTATTAAATTTCCCTATTCTATTATGTCTATTAATTAAATTGACAAAATTGTCTACATATTGTGACTAAAGTTACCTTTTTCAAGTAATTCTAGGTGAAAAGTCCACTGCTGAACATGGACCACTCCCAAGAAATGCCACAAAACACATACTGATACCTCCTGCGTCTACTGACTTCCTGCATCTCTTACCAGGTCTTCATTCCATCTAGTGGGGGCCGCCCTACACTTCGCTTACCGGTACGAGGCTGCCACTGGAGAACCTTTCTTTCCTATCAGTTGTACGTTCTTTGAGCTATATGGCCGGCCCATTGCTACTTCAGATAACTGAATTATTGGGCTTTGTCGATTACTTCGGTTTTCCTGTAAATAACTTTTATACGAAGTCTTATCACACTGAGTATTTCCGAGCTCGCTGAGCAACCTTGAGCTTCCTCAAACAATCAAGAAGTACCCCGTCTAAGAACCAAATATCATCACTTGTACACTCACCGACAACGATGTGTAGATCCTCCCAAATTCTTAGGTATCCTGGCAACGATGCAACCACAGTTGGTATTCAACTTCGACAATAATATCTTCAGGCTGTATTGCAGTAGCATAAGTCTCCCTGCATGCATTTGGAGATCTGTCTGTTCAGTTGTCTATATGCTCATATCTGTTGAAGACTGCAGCTTCATTTCCCTTTTATCAGCTGTAAGATTAAGAGGATACGACTCAGGGACTTTCAAAAAACGAGTTACATTTTTTTAAAAGCTGACAACGTTTTCACTAAGGTGCAGTTGTCTCTCGGTTGCTTATCTTGATCGTTCAGGAATAGTGTGACAGCAATAGATTGTTCAAAACATATTCTTCAATTTTTTTGCAACCCGGAAGTCCTCTTAATATTAAACCAAAATTACAAAATGGAAATGTTAACTCTGTTTCCCTCTAAATCCAAATTACAAATTGGAATCTTTCAGATTAACCCGCCATCAAAAATCAATCTTGGAATCCTGGCTACAACCGGCAACTCCTCGCAGTCGCCGGGCCAGTGCCGCTTCCAAATCCGAGGCCTCCGTCGACGAAGATGACGACAACTCAGAGACCCACTCGGTAGATCGTGTACATTTGTTGGACAAGGAAGACTTTGAAGGTATGCCGTGATGTTTATTTTTCAAAACCTTTACATGTTTGTACTTTTATGAGTTGCTCTACTTTCTAACGCTGGTGAATACTTTAAAATTGATGCACAAGGAGAAAAATGCATTTCATAGAATATTCACCTTCCTTATATAACCCCTTTGCAATAAGTACACTAAATGTATTACTATTATTTCTGCATTGTTTTAAGTCACCTGTAAGGCGTCCGCATGTTTCCCTATATCTACATAGTTTTGTGTGATGCTTGAATTTTAACATACTGCAAATGGGGGCACATTTTCATTAAAAAATAAAAATAAATAAATTGATTGTAAGAACATCTTATCATTTATACTTACGCATAAATGATATTGCGATTATGTTACCTAATTAAAAAAGAACATAAATAATAATTTTAATACTTTTTCGTGTTCGGTCTGTTTGATCAGACTTAACTTTTATATTAAAAATATTATATTTTCTGTTAAAATTTTATTACTAAGGTTATTAATAAGGTCGGCGGAAAAGTTTCTTAGTATTTTATAAACAAATTCATGATTTTTTTTTTCAATTTTTAATTACATTTAATTATAATATATATGTGCCATTTTTTTTTTTGGAGTTTATGGCCTGGTATCTAGACCTTTAGGCCAAGTCTTAAGTATTTTTATTCGGTTTATTGTAATTTCCCCACTCCTTCATAGTATACTGCTTCACAATATGTTGATGCGTCACATTGTGCAGTTCTTGGGAGATTTTGGCGGCAACTTGATCCAGCAGACAGCTGATAGTTGGCGATGGTATCTAAAGGTGCCTATGCAAACAAACAGCTTATCTTGAGAATCCATCACCATCAGAGCACTTGTTTCACTGTTTCCACTAATAGTTCACATGCGTAGACACTTAATACACAAAATCGCAACACTTTTACATATCAAAGTCCACTTCAAAACATTATTTAAACAATAATACAGGAGCAGCAAACCGCCGCCGGTCAATTTCCCGCCAAAACTCTCTGTTGAATCTATATGTGCCATTTTGTTCGATAACTTGTTGCCATCTTTAAATATTTGATTAAAAAAAATGCGACAAGTAGTTTTGTCAGTCCTCTTGATGTTAACCTAACACTACCCAAAGAATTCTGAAGAGACCGAAACAGATGAAAATCTGAGGGTTCAAGGTCAGGACTATATGGTGGCTGCATTAACACTTCCCATACAAACTCTTTCAATTTGTGCTGAGTGGCCCAAGATGTGGTCTGGCATTATTATGATGATGGAGATCTGTTTCTGTTGATCAATTCCGGCCGTTTGTTCTCAATTTCTTGCTCGATTCTCATTAGTTGTTGGCAATAGAGATCCAAATCGATGGTTTTGCACGGCGGTAAAAGCTCATAATTAAAGATGCCCTTCCAATCCCACTATACACACAGCATCACCTTATTTCGTGTTAATCCGGGTTTCGCTACAGTCTGTGGAGCTTGACTACCCTTTGACCATGATCTTTTTCGCGCATTTTTGTCGTAGGTGATCCACTTTCATCCATGATCAATCTTTTCAAAAATGGTTCGGTTTCATTACGCTTCAATAGAGAATCGCAAATGAGTACACGATTCATTAGGTTTCTTTCAGTGAGGTCGTGTAGTACCCAAATATCGAGCTTTTTTTGTATAGCCAGACTTTTTCAAATGGGTCCAAACTGTTTTGTGGTCAACCCTCAATTCCTCGGCTATGTCGAACCACGAATGTGCCTATCTTGCTACCTTTTCAAAAATGGCATTGACTTTATCCGTATGAGGGGCAAAAAGCGAAAGACCAAGACGAGCTGCATCTTTGACATCAAAATTTCGGGACTAAAAACGCTTGAACTTTGTGCTACTCTTACTGACACTACAGTAGGTCCATAAAGGTAATAAATTGTTTTCGCGACTTGAGTCGCATTTTTCCGTTTTCTGTAATAAAAGTTTAGAATGTATTGAATTTTTTGGTTAGATTCACTTAAAGAAAACTAATTTTTACGGATTTTATCGCGTATATTAATTTATTTTATATTCCCGACGTTTATAAAGTAAGTTAATATACGCAATAAAATCCGTAAAAATTAGTTTTATTTAAATGTGTAGTGTTCGTGTAAATATAAGAAATCATTGGAATCACTTATTTTGGCGGACAGAAAAAAGGAAAAGAAAGTGTTTTTGCTTTTTATTTTTATTTTTCTTAATGTCCTATACATGTGGTTAAAGAAACTTTATTTCTCAAAAGAAATACATTATTTCACTTCATGAGAAACTTATAAAAAAAATGTTTCACAAGGTTTTTAGGTCGATGAACACAAAAATAACTGATAATATGATATACCTACACAATATTAAAACCAGCCAGATACAAACAGTACAACCAAAGAGATTTTGCTTCAATTTTATACAAACAAAATACGAAGAAACTTTCCCCGGCCTATTATATAAAATACTTTATGCTAAATTGTTTTGTTAACTTTGCTTCACAATACGCCAACTGGTTTGCGAGGAGGTAGGCGCGTTGTTCTTTAAAATGTTGCATGCTTATCCAACTTTATAAATAGCATGCTTTATTGTATTTAATTAAAGAATTTTAATATAAACACTCCTATGTTTTTTTTTATCTAAGAATTTACACATATTTTCATGCACTTTTTTCTGTTTAACTTTTTTTTAGTAAATATTCTTATTTTACAGCATTTGCACAAAACGCTTGAAGCAGCTGTAGATATTTTTGTCGTATTTCGCGCAGGAATTTCGTTGAGCATATTTATACTATTAATATTTATTTTTTAAATTTATACTAATTCTAATATATTATAATATAATAATATGAAAGACATGTGCGATTTCGGTATCCTCATATTTCCATATTTGTTTTTTATCATTATTATTAAAATGTTCTGCTTTAGAATTAAATATTATAATTTATATTTTAGTCAAATAGAAAATTGCTCAACTGAATTCTACCAAAACCCTTAATTTCCTAACTGTTACCACTAACCGACGCTAGGGCAACCCGATGCCGAGGAGTTCCAACGTGCTTCGCCAGTGTCCATTGCATCGGAACCACCCAATAGACCCCGACGTAAGTAAATGCTTTGAATGCTTGATGTAGTAGATTTCTTCGATTTATGCCTACATGCACTATTATCTATTAAACCAGTTGTAAAACAACAATAGTTTAACGGGAAAACTTGCAGCTTCATCATTATAGCCCTTCACAAGTCTACTGCTGAACATAGGCCTCCCCCAAGGAATGCCACAAAGCACGGTCCTGAGCCACCTGCATCCATCGACTTCCTGCATGTCTTACCAGGTCGACACTCCATCTAGTGGGGGGACGCCTTACATTTCGTCCGCCGGTACGAGGTCACCACACGAGAACCTTTTTCCCCATCGGTTATCGGTTCTTCTAGCTATATGGCCGGCCCACTGCCACTTCAGCTTACTAATCCGTTGGGCTATGTCGGTTACTCTGGTTCTACTGCGGATATCCTCATTTCTAAGTTTATCACGCAGAGAAACTCCGAGCATAGCCCTCTCCATAGCTCGCTGAGCGACCTTGAGCTTCCTCATACGGCCATATGGCATAGCAGCTTAATGATGCTGTATATTGAGTGTTTATATTGTGAGTAACAAGAACCAAAGACCCCTTACTACTGTCTTTTTTTTTCAATTTGTAAATCTATGAAGTGTCACCAACAATTATGATAATTAATAAATATGATGAGGCATTCCATTTTAGTCCTGCAGGGGTGACAACACATGTGCATTTTGAATCTTTATTGAGGATAGATAGATATCCAATGGGCTATAGCATATCCATTTACCAAGAACATGGCTCTGAGCGCGTTTGTCGTCTTCACTTTCTATATGAAAAACCTTAAAAAATTAGGAGCAGTTGAGCATTAAAATACCTCAACCCTATAATATATCTTTTTTTTTTGCATTTGCAAAGGTTGTCTGGAAGAAATCGCTTTCAGAATGATAAGTCCATCTGTTGTACATATTATATTTGAAATTGTATTTCAATTCGTATTCTGTATTTCGGTGTTTGTTATGAATAAATAAATATTAATTAAACCTACAAAGATTTTTTTCTGTGTTGTCGCGATTTTTAAGCTTAGTAGGCAATATCTGTCACTGATTAACCTAGATGCTTCCTCATGTCACCAGAATAAATTTTGGTCTGGCAAGAATACCAGCGTAAAATAACAGGCAACATTGAACTGTTATTTTGCTGCTGGTAAGCTTACGCTGGCTGCGTTTCGTATGCTGAGTGTGGAGAATCGGAGACCCTTTTCACTGGAAACAAGGCATTCCATCTTAGTCCTCAGGGGTGACAACGCATCTGCATTTTGATTCTTAATCGCGGTAAGACATAGATGTCTATGGACCACAGTATCCACTTACCATCAGGTGGACTTTGTGCACGTTTGTCACCCTTATTCTTAATATACCTATGAAGTTAATGTTTGTTTGTTGGTATTTTATGCGCAGCCATACCATTCATCCGATGACGACAAAACTTTAGTGAGTGAGTGAGTGAGTGCTGGGAACATCTAGTTCTACAGAATAAAAAATAAGTAGTTAAGGTTAATCTAATGTCATATGTTATTAGATCAACTCATGACATTGCAAGTACTTAATACTCAAAACACAACCCTTCATATTAAAAACAATATATAAAAATATTATTTCAGCACGATTGGGTCGTGCGGCTTCAGAGTCAAGAACAGTACATAATCCAAAAAAGGTTACTAGAAGAATATCAGTGGATATAGGTAAGCACAATGCTTTTTCTATATTTAATAAATCTCTCTTTCTTCCTCCCTCTCTCCCCTCTCTTTCTCCCTCCCTCTCCATCCCCCTCTACCCTCTCTTTCTCCCAGCCTCTCTCCCCTCTTTCTCCCGCCCTCTCTCCTCTCTTTCTTCCTCCCTCTCTCCCCTCTCTTTCTCTTCTCATCTAGCAAGTTGGTTTCGAATACATATTTTATAGATGATGTCATGTAACTTGATCTTGCTTGAATTCCCCGTGTAGGTTTTACGCTATCACACGCAAATACACAAAAGTTGACAAAACAATTTGTATAAAATAATTTAGGATATTATTTTATTCATATAATGATTCGCGTCGCGTTGAATCTCCGTCCCATCGGACTATAATAGAGAGTGCACTTGGGCTTTCATACGCATTTGTTCACTATAATCTTGTCTTGCGTTGATGGCTATTCCTATTGAGTTTAGCCGACGTTACCGAAATCGGTCTGAAAGACATTATTATTTGTTACTTTCAGCTTGCGATATTCCTTAGTTCACTCAAAAATGGTATTTTTTATTAAAAATAAAAGCAGACTTCAAAGAACTAAAAAAGTCAAAAGTCGACTAAAAAAGATAGTAAGTAAATTTAAAAATTAAATTAATAAAAAAATTAGAGATGTTATATGGCCAGATTGTGGTTTTTAGAGATGTAATATGGCACATTACAATTTGTTTTTAAATGTTTTAGTTTTCTACTGTTAAATTTAATTATAAATAGTGTATACTCACATTATTGTACAATTTTAACAAAAAATATATTGACGGGAAACATAAGCATAGCCACGATTGGAATTCGGTACGGTATTTAGCAACTCATATGACTTATGTAAATTTTCATATTAATTTTATAGCCGCAACACCTGAACTGGATTCTCCTGCGGAAGCCAGTCCGCTGCGCGGTCGACGGGCGTCTTTTAACCGCGCGTGTGAAGCGCTACACAACACACCTAAGGGCAGGAGGACTTCTATTGATACCAAGGTCAGTTAACTGTTAAAAAATTTGCACTTAAAGTAAAACACATTGCGAAGCAGTAATGGTTCTAGTCTTGGTCATCAATATAATTATCTAAATGGAAACTGTGCGGGTTCTCTGCGGGACACTGCTGGAGCTTGGTTCTGAAAAACTTGCATTCATTCACTTACTGCATGTTTCACCAGTAGTTCCATCTAGTGGGGATTAATTGCCCTACATTGCGCTTACCATTATAATGCTGCCGCCGAAGAACTTTTCTCTTCCAAGTGTCAGTTTTTTAGGTACTTTTACGTGGTAGAGCCATACTGCAGCTATATTACTAGTATAGTTGTAGCACGAATGGGTCAGCTCGACCGGGGAAGTACCACGCTCTCACAGAATACCAGCGTAAAATAGCAACTTAACGCTGCTGTGTTTCGTATGGTGAGTGTAGAGAACTGGAGACCCATTTTACTGGAAACGAGGCATTCCATCTTAGTCCTCACGGGTGACAATGCATCTGCATTTTCATTCATCATCGAGGATAGATGTAGATGTCTATGGGCCACAGCATCCATCTACCATCAGGTGGAATGTGTGCTCGTTTGTCACCCTTAAGTTATAAAAAAAAGTATACGACCAACATATCTGATGCATTTCTATGATAATTACTTAGGTTCTACTGTGAGTATGCTCTTTTTAGTAATTACATCGTGCAGATTCTCCGATGACATCTACCTTTACAGCTCGCTAAAAGATTTTTCTGATTTAGTTATTCCCACTAAATAAATTCGTGACATTAATTTATTGATTTAATTGATAGCCTACGGATTTGGTGTCTTAATTTTGTCTTTATCACATATAACTAATCACCTTCTTACTAATACGATTGATAATTTAGTGCTTACCTATATATAAAAATATGAGAAAGTCGTTTTAAGTCGCCATTATCGTCATTCATTAGAACATTTGAATTATTAAGAAGTATCTTCCACCTTATACGTTATTATTACAAGCTTTTATTTAACTTCTCACATAAAATATTATTATGCCACAAGTACGCTCTGTCAGTGCTCGATGTAACGCTTATATATTGAGATCGAAAGTATACTGCGAACCTACCTGTGGGTGCAATTTCAGAGGCACGGATAATCATAAGTCAATGCAACTTTAACTAACAATATTGTACAACTGTATTTTAGCACAAATAATGGCTGGGATTCTTACCTAGTAACCAGCATTTAAACAGTTTAGATAGGTCTTTATCATTTAACTATCACTCAAATCTAAAACATTATTTCTAAAACATTTGCATGTTTGGTCTTTAGAAATCTGATGCGGAAAGTGTAACTTCAGTAGTGAGCACGTCTGCCACACCCAAGCGGAAACAGAGGCGGGCCTCCACCGCTTCCGACAGCGCCACACCAGGCACTGAACCTGCCACAAGGTAGGTTTTTAGCCTAGCGTGTCTTAATCTCTAACAATCATAATTTGTTTTTTTTTATTATTATTATTATAAGCTAGTGCTTGCCTACACTTCCACCGAGTAACAGACGTCGGCAAATTATTCCACTAATTTTGTTTCGTCACCAGTTTGATTCAAACGCGTGGAATATCGACAATAAATTGGCTCTTCATCTTATTGCCCGATAGTGGAAAGGAGAGGGAGGAATTAAATCATGTAATTCCTGCGCACACTAGAATGTATGTTTATATACAACGTGTAACAAAAACCCTGTGGTATCCGTTAAGTACGTTATCAGAGTCAGTATTCAAACGTAAAGAAATAACTTTTTTTTTTAAACTTGAACATTAAAAAAATTTATTTTAATTAATTAATTTGCAAATTTTATGTGGTTACATTACCTCTAACTGACACGAGCATCGGTGAAGGTGGGTCTTTCACAATTTTCTTATTCTCCGGATAATGCAGAGGTAATAAAACCACATACAATTCTAAAATATTTTTTTTTAATTAGAATATTTGTTGAGATAACTTTTTTTTAAAACTTGAACATTAAGTTCAAGTTTTTTTGAAAAATTTATTTCTTTACGTTTGAGTACTGACTCTGATAACGCACTTAACTGGAACCACAGGGTTTTTGTTACATGTTGTATATATATATTAAAGTTACAGCCGCGCTGCTCCAATGCTTGTTGGCGAACCTTACGTCTTCGAAATATATTTTTTTCTTATTTCTCAGACATACAGGTTTCGTCACGATATTTTCCTTCACCGCCGAGCACATGGTATATCAGCACTTAAAATTGCAATTACAATTTCGTTGGTGCCGGCGGGGATCGGACCTCGGTTGCTCGCCTACTGTAAAATTTACAGCGAGCGCTTAGCCCCTGAACTACCACGGCGCTATAAACAAATATCTTGATATATAAAAATTACGTGTCACATTGTATGTCCATAATGAACTGAAACCACTCAACAGATTTTAATGAAATTTTGTAAATGTGTATTGCTTGCTCTTTAAAGGTTTTTTAAGGGGCAAAAGGTCGTCGGAAAGGGCACAACAGTCTGCCTGGTCAGCTAGTATATATATATACAAATCCATCTGATGACACACGTTTGTCATTGATGAACATTTCAAGTTCTCGTCATTCTACCAATCACAGCAGCGTTATGCTGCTATTTTACGCTCGTAATTTGTGATATTTGATTTGTGTGGTTCTTCTCATTTCTCATATACACGACGTCTATTGATTTCTAATATTTGTTACAGATCCAAAAAATCATCTGCGGAAAAATCAAAGGAAGCTGCAGACTAGAAGATTTTAAACAAATGTAATTTTATAAGTGCCCAGTGAAAGTTTAAAGTTTCGCATTTATCTAATAAACTGAAGTGCATATTTGATATTAAGTTAATTTGCAGTTAATTTGTTTGTATATTAATAAAAGAGTGCATTTGTTAACTAAAATATTTAATTTGATTTTTACATATACTCAGTCGACGATATAATAATTATACGTTTCTTTTTATTGCGCAGCTGTTAATAAGCAGTCATGAGATCAAATTTGTAATGACTGAACAAATTTAAATAATATACATAGCACTTATATTCCAAACCTCATGCAGATTTCGAATCAAAATGTAATGATAAATTATATTTAAATTATTTGTAAAAAGTGAACACATGAATAAACATAATTTAAATATAAATGCACTTTTAATATCATATATCAACAAAAAAAGTTTAACCTAAAAACCCTCAACAGTTAGATATGAGTATGACATACAAAATTACAGTCCATGCAGTTACTCGTTCCATAATGATTTTAATATTTACTTATAACAAAATAATACTCTGCACACGCTTTAAAAATTTGAAATGTTTTGTATAAAATAGTTTTTTTAAACTATCCTTGACAAACCTATCAATGCGAGACTTAATCTCATATAAACAAACGCACACAGAACAACACGGGCCACCGGCGATCCGGAGGGGAGTAGCCATTTCCCGGTACAGAACTGTCTGTTATTTTTGGCGGGGGAAATCCTGACAATAGTAAACTCACACATAATAAAGCAATAAACTAGCAATTCACACACACATAGATACATTATAACAGTATCACGCGATGACAGTGACAACTTGGATACTGACTCGAATCAGTCGCTTGATCGATCCGCATATTATATGAAGGCGAGAGGCCTATTTGGTAAACATATCCGAAACAATCCGACCGTTATTATTGTAATTTATAAGTTTAAAAGAAGTTAACAGCAATAATGTCATTAAAAATTACTTATGTATGACGCCATATTTTTGTAAATTTGACATAATAGATCTCTTTTTGCAATGAAAAAACTGAATAATTAGGCATTTTTGTAGAATGTCGATTCAGTCGCGCAATAGATTTAGTCTAGTGAGCAGTCCCGCTGTAACTAGTTTTATTGTTCGCATAGGCCACGAGTACTTACATTTTGACTGAGGGGAGGCCTGCGTATGGCTACTCCCCTCCGATCCGTAAGGGGCCCGTGTTGCTCTATGAAATCACACTACTACTGAAATTCTAAATTAAGATGACATTTATTTTAAGAAGACATTTTAATAATTGTTAGTATGAAAATAACCATTCAATTTTAAAGCTAGCACAGCACTCCTTTTCTGTCTAGAAGTTCGTCTGTCTGGGTATACCTTCTTACCTAATGCAGTCGCTAAATAGCAGTGCATACACTGCTGGTTGTGGACATCAGTATCCACTTACCGTCAGATGGACTGTATAGTCAATTCAATTTTATCTAAAAAAATAATAACTTAGGTGTCTTAGTCATTAAAATTAACAAAAAAAATTATAACTTTATAACTAATTACTATTTGTACAAAATTGATTTTTATAAAACTGTTATAAATGTTAAGAATTATTAACCTAACATGGCAGCCGTTCAGTTCGGTAGCTTGAAAAGCCGATGACATTCCATAAAAATTTAGACACTAGAAAAATAGCGATCGACTATAAGATTTTTTTGTCAAACGTTAGATCTAGATTTTTATAAAATGCCATCGGACCGCGTTTTGTAGAAGTCTAATGTCATTTCTTTACTAATGAATCGATGTGAGTTATAATTGTTACCCACAAATATATTATATTAACTATTATTAAATTACCTACGTCAGTCATCTTCATTGTAACTCTTGAGAGATCTTTGATGTATAATGTTGGAATGAATTGGAATTTTCATAGGTAAACCTATTTCTAACTTTACTTCGGACGGAATAGCGTTGCGACTGTCGATTAAATTTTCACAAATTTGCTTATCTTCGGGTTTCAATACTGTCTTCTCCGTACAATCCATCACTTCTCTTTTCTGCCTTACAGGAACTACACTTTCAACTTTTGAGGGATTGAAATTATTTTCACTTTTAATCACATTCTTTTTAATAGCACCATTGGTATTTATCACATTATTTACTGGACTGACAACATTATCTTTAGCAACAACTTCATTATCTTTATCAACAACTTCATTATGTATATCAGATTCTGTTTTAATATGATCATTTTTAATTTGTGATTGTTTTTCGTCACTTATCTGAGAACTACCCTTTAGCGCTATTGGTAAAGGTACATTGTGAGCTATTCCATTGTTTACAAGATTTTGTACATTTCTCTTAACCAAATCTTCACCTTGCTTGTAAGATTGAGGTTCATCAAGTGAATGAGAATGTGATTTGTTGGCATTCAATTGTTCTTTGACAACTTCTGTTTGTTGTTTTAACTCATTCATTACATTATACAAATGTTTTTCGCCTACATCATTTTTTGAATTTTCGTTTATCTGGACAGAACCTTGATTAATGGTGATAACATTTTTTTCTTCTTTAATTTTATTTTCGTTGAGAGATTCAACCGGAGCTGCATTATTTTCGTTCTTATTTACAGTAATAACTTTAGGTAAAACGTTTACGGCATTAATTTGAGGTTTAATATCGTGCAGAGCATTAACAGGTACTATAGTCTCTTTATTATCTACAATATTTTTATTGTCTTTAGTTTCATCATCTCTTTTCAACAAGTTTTCCTTAGGTTCCTTTATTTCCCCTATAGCTTCTAATGTTTCGGCGGCTTTTTTGGCTATTTCTTGAACTGCCTCATTAGCTATCTTTTGTAAAGGCTCTACTTTTTTGTCAACGGCTTCTATTTTGACTACTGGTTTATCAGTAACTCCTGATAGACTTTGTATCGCCATATTTGCAATCTTTTGTATACTTTCCACAGCAATTTTCTTCGCTTCGTTTTCATCTATTTCTTTTTTATCTTTCTCCAACTCTTTTTTAGTTTTCAAAATTTCATGTAATATTTCTTTTTGTTCTTTAATAAGTTCTTTTTGTTCTTCTCCGTGTTGTTTGATGGTCTCCATTAGCTTTTGTTGTTTTAGTATATCTATCTTTTCCTGGTTAGGATCAAGTTTCATACTCTCATCCTCCGGTTTTTCTATGTTAATAGACTCTGGTTTATTATTACCGTTTGTTAATTTATCTTCTTTTAATTTAATTTTTAAATCTTTCGGATGCGTTTCATGTACTTTCGTGATATTTTTTATATTATCTTTTGATCCAGGCAATACTTTTTTAAGTTTTGAATCGACTTGAACAACGGCACCTGGTCTTTTTTCGTTGGAGTGAGATTCTGGCGGTACTGGGTTAGGAGGTTGCACTTCAGAATCTTTCAAAATTTCGTTTGCCAATTTATTTTCAATACTGTTTGGGACAGCATTATTATTGTCAGCTTTCTGCATAACACCTATAATAAGATAAGAGATCAGTTAAAAACTTGAACTTTTACGATTATGTTATGTAATTAAGTTAATCACAGCCTATAAAAGTCCACATCTGAATATAGGCCTCATCTAAGATTGCCTCATAAGAGGGATATTTGCCATTATTGCCACGCTTTGCCGGCAGGTTGGCAAACGCAGTTTTTTTATATTCTAGTTGTTATTAGAACTGGTAACAGTGGCAAATATCCCCTTTATGAGGCAATCTTAGTGGAGGCCTATATTCAGCAGTGGACTTTTATAGGGTGTGATGAATAATTCAGTAAATTCTCAGGGGTGACTACGCAACTGCATTGTTCATCGATGAGAGGATTATGAAGCTGTTTAGGCCAAATATTAACATTTGAAACTTGCATTCAAGACGCGCGCTCGGCGAGTTCATTCGATGGTACCAGTCACCGCCTGGCACACTCCCCGCGCGCGTTGCTCCGCTCACCGCTCGGTCGCTCGACGTGTAGCCAATTAATTGTTCGCGGCCGCCGTGTCGGTTAGACGGTCTATGGAATTTACGCTCGGAACGTTAGGTCGCGTTAAGACCGCCTCTGATAGCGTTGTCTTATTTCGTGCGTTTTACGTGATAACGAGGCTTGTCTTGAGTTTTGAATTATTAACTTAACTTCAATTGCCATTAATTTGCGTCGACGAGTAGCTTGTGTGGCATTTTAATATCGTACGAAGGAATTTTTGCATTGTCGGGTGGAACGCTAAAACTTTGTGACCCGAGAGGAGAACGCGTTCGTGCTCGATTATAATTTTGTGCTAAGTGAACATGGGACATTGAACTTTGACCGACAGTTCTTAAGTTGTACAGTGTGTCACTTATTTTTAAGTTGGATTAACGTTGATTCAGTTATATTTGAAGTTAATTAAATGTATAATAAAATTGATAAACTAATAAAGTGAAATAAAAGCAGAAAGTCTCAATTGGTGAACGCCCACTGGAGTAATAGCACATTGTGGAGAAAAGCAGCGCCTGTGGGTCTGCTGTCAGATTACATCGGTGACGTCAGGTTACATCTACACACTTTCACTCACCACTTTACATTCACTTACGTACCACCTGACTGCGCCTTGTGGTCGACCCTACCTCCGGAACTCGGTAAGTTTGTGTTTGCTTATCAGCCACTATATAATAATTATCCATAGGCAATTTGGGCCCGAAACCTCTGGTTGCCCGTCGAGTGAGCTACTGATGGGCCCTAGCCCATTCGACTTCTGTCGGGGCAACTGAGGGCCGTAACAGAAGCTGTTAGTTTTGCTATGTTCGTAGGTATATATAGGCCACAGCCTTCACTAACCACCAGGTGAACTGTGAACCAGCTTGTATATCATATATATATATAAAACTTGAATATCGTTATTCATACCTTCATTTTTGTCCAGTTTCTCGAAGAAGTCCTCAACCATTTTGTCGATACGCTCCTGCGTGATATACTTGTCGTCGTATTTGCTCTCGGCCGCTTGTAAATTGGCGTAAGTGCCGAGCAC